TGCCTCAGTTTCAGGGTCCTGGTATTGTGCTTGCTGGCTCACCGTCACACTGTAATGGTTACAAGGGTACTCGAATAGAACGGCAACATCATTTATGTTATTAGCAACACCTGTTGTTTTTCCTATGACATACTTGCTGAAAAAAAAGGCCTTCAAGAAGAAATTCTCCTGTTCATAGCAGGGTTCTTAAACACTAACAGGAAAGTGAGGCAGATGTCAGTCAAGCTCACTTTAAACATACCCCCGCAGTCCTGAGATGAGGTCTAATTAGTAAGAAGTAAGAGAAAACACCTGTGTGGGTGTACTTTGGGTTATTATTAATGATGTTGTACTTACATGGTGCATATTTCTGAATTAATTTGTGTTTTATCACATTACCAGACAGCAAACCCACGGTAATGTAGTCATGGCTACACAGTCTCTCCTCTTTGGTTTAAGGTGTGCACCTCAGTGAACAGTAGGATGTTATTGTCTTCCATACCTCGCTCAGGTGCAACTGATAACATTACAGATTGAATTATATTCAGGTGGTTTCAGGGCCCTGGTGTTGTGTACGCTGGCTCACTGGACTGACTTAGTGGCTCTTAAATGACAGAGAGACATCCACCTGTTCTTTTCCTGCCAGTGATGCCTGTTGGTCTGATCGTTCACTGAAGAATCAGGGCTTCCATATGATATTTAGAAAGGTTTGTTATTATTAAGTTATTAGTGGAGAGAAAGAGAGAGAAATATCTGAACAGAAATTATTTATTTTGATGAACCAGTACACAAACAATGTAACTCTTAAGAGTATTTATACAAGAGTATAAAGGAGTTTCTTGACGACATAACTTATTTCTTTCATTCTAGTAAAGAAAATATAGAAATACAAAAAACAATAAACACACAAATAATAAATTAGCTTTGCTGACATTTACATGATAAGATAGTGTTATAGTCAGCACAGCAGGATTTGAATTCTGTTGTCTGCAAACATCGTCATATCATATCTTATACACTGTGTTATTCTACAAAATAACTACAGAGATGACTCAGATAGAGGAAATACTTTGTGAGTGCCTGTTGAGATATGCACAAACATTTTATGGTGCTCGTGCTAAAATGTACCCTTTCATCTGCGTGCCACACATTTTCAATCCTCGTGCCACCCCATCTCACTGCATTGCATGGTAATTAACAATCTCTCATCAAAAGTCAAATTAATTTTCTCAGTTCTTTGAATAGCTCCATGCCCTTCTCCTCCTGACTCTGCTGTGGCTGGCAGCTCAGTGTTGAATGTGTCCTGATGATTGCAGTGACTCCACTGGTGTCAAGCAAGGCCAACTTTGTTAAACACATAACGTTTCATTATCTGTACTTATTGTCTCCTCTTATTTTATATTGATCTGACTTTTAATTAATTTTGTGTATTTTTTTTTTTAGTATTTTATTACGGGTTGACTATGAATATTTAGTGTACTGTGCACCCTTTGCAATTAAAGATTTTCACATGCTTGTATACTGTATCTAAAACACACATGTACAGTATTTGTAAGTTCTCTTTTCAGTTTAATTGAAGGGTTAAGTGTTGATCTGCTTCACGTCTTTAAGCTGAACAACCCTCCTAAAAACACACTGGTTTATCTAAAAAGTGCTTTGTCATAAAGTTAAAACCAGGTCTGTTTTACTTAGCTTGTGAAAAGTCAGAGATACGTGGTTTTTACAGGACAGCAACACACACACACACACACACACACACACACACACACACACACACACACACACACACACACACACACACACACACGCATACAATCAATCATCTCTCTCAAAACCAATTTTCTCTCCATGCAGCTTCAGCTCTTGGCTTTCAAAGCCGTTCCTGTTTTTCTGGACCCCGCTCCTCGTGAGGTTTAAGGAGGCTGTTGCCATGGAGACAAAACCATACCTCCTCCCTGTCCCTGGGCTGCACCAGTATGACCAGAACGATTTCCTCTGAGTCAACCACACACCAGCACTACACCTCATTCTGACAGGACATGTCTCACATGGGAAGTCACTGGTCTCGCACATACTCAGAGCAATCTTGTGGTCGGTGTATGTGTGTGTGTGTGTGTGTGTGTGTTTACTTCCACAGCGCAGATTGTGTGATGGGTGTGTACTAGAAGTCCTGTGAGATTACACACCTGTGTGAAGTCTGGATGTGCGTCTGTCCCCTAACAGAACGGACACCTGCAGCAAACATAATTCTCACCACCCTCTGATGGTGCAGGTGTGAATCACTGTCTCTCTCCTCCTCGCCATCCCTCTCCCCTCTCCCGCACGACCCTCACCCCTCCAGAAATAGCCCCCTGTGCATGAGTCAGGATCCCAGCCCACCTTAAACTCATTCAAACCCCTCTGAACAGGAGGTGAAAGTATGAGAACAGGGTGGAAAAATGTGACAGAGAAACACAGAGAAGAGTGACTGAAATGGAAAACCATCCGTGGGGAATTGAAAGGCAACGGCAGCATGGGTGACTCCATTGGTGCCGAGGGAACACTGAAAACTATGAAAATGGAAAAGGTGGGAAGTGAAAGAAAGTAATGGAGAGAGATATGTAAGTGTGAATCCTCAATAAAGGTGTCACTCCTTTAGGAATTTCTATACCATTGTTTTTTTATTTCAATTGTCTTTTATTTGAGTGTGCATTAATCTGCACATATATCGCCCACTCCCACTCTTCATCAGCGTCTTTTCACTGCCTTCTCTTCATCACTCCTCCTCATTCCATCTCTTTGGCTTAAACAGAGATGCAGAATAGAAAGGCTGGCCTGTTCTTAAGAAAACAATCTCTGATAGTGGAATGTACTGTTAAGTACATGTATTGATATGTACTCGAGTACATGTTGTACTGGAGTATCTGGATTTCATGCCACAGTATACCTCTACTCGACTACAGTTCAGAGGAAATATACTCCACAATTAATTGAAAACCGTACTCACTTTACAAATTAATATTTTACATACAAAACATCTGATGAAATGTGATTGAATGTGTGAATTAAAGTTCAAAAACTATTATAGATCTTTTAATGTAAAGATTTGTGGCTTTTCCTTGGAGAAAACAGTGACTCTGGGAAATTATGATGGAAATATCTTACTATTTTCTTACTATCTTTACAGACCAAACATACCATAAATCATTTCAATTAATCAAGAAAAAAACAATTAGTTGACCATCAAAGAAGATCATATTTGCTTACAACATTGTATAAAATTAGCTCTACCACAAACAACTTAAGATGCTGTTTGAACTTAATTACACAAGTAATAATAATCTAATGATATGATATACAATAGTACAAGAGTACCTTTACTTCCTATACTTGAGCTTGTACTTTTACTTAATTAACATGTTCAATTCAATACTTGTACACTACATGTACCGGAGTGTTTTTACATTGTGGTATTGCTACTTCTACTAAAGTAAAGAATCTGAATCATTCTTTCATCACTGACAATCTCACTGTGTATCTGCTCTGGAGCTTTCATCACTTGCTCTTCTTCAGCAGATGGAGTTGCCCAGCTACAGTGTTGAATGAAGTATTCATATCTTTTACTTCAATAAACATAGCAATCCAACAATTAAAAAATTCTCTGTTACTTAGTAGATGTCTTGCATTACTTAAGTACGCAAGTATTATCAATAAAATCTTTAAAGTAAATTAAACTACTCATTATGCCGCCAAAATTGGCTTTGCTGTTTGGTTATACTAAGTCATAGTAGTAGTAGAACTAATTGTTTTCATTTTTTATACTGTTGGGTGGTTTAATGTACTATATAACGATGCATTGTATTATATATGCTTATTATAGCTTTTTAAAATCTTAACTCGCGAAGTAACTTGGTATCTATAAATGTAGTAAAAAGTACAATATTTCTCTCTTAAATGTAGTAGAGGAGAATTATTAAGTAAATGAAAACACTCAAGTAAAGTACAAGTACTTAAGTAAAGTACTTGAGTAAATGTACTCGGTTCCTTTCCACCACTGCCCAGGTGTCATGAGATTGTAGATGATCAAATGTACATTTTTCTGACCACTTCTTAAGGATGTTGAAAGTTGAAAATAACAGCTCCATGACAACATCCATCTGCTGAAGAAGATCATGTGAAAGCTCCGGAACAGCTACTAAATGGACAGTACTTCATATCAACTGCTGTTTCCATGGTCAAGAATAAAACTTAAGTTTATAATATTCCATTCTTGTTGCTTGCAGATGAGAAAATGCCCCAAATATTCAGTCAAGAGGACAACTCTCACACTGCAGCACTATCCCCTTGGATGTGCTGTTTCTACACAGATTAAAGGGAAATCCAGTTGCTTGTAGGTGTGCATTTGTATATTTAAAAAAAAAAACATATGTGCACACTGTGATAACTTTTATTGTCTGTGTATAACGTTTTTATAATGTTGCTGTAGATTTAGTGGTGTGGATCCTGTATTTACTGGTGCTACGTGGGTTGGTTATCTTCACCTGCAGATTCACTGTAACAATGCCTGCATGCTTTAAAATGCTCTCTATGGGCTATGGTCATCTGTCTTTATCTGCCTAAACCAAATGGGACACACACACACTCTCTCTCTCTCTCTCACACACACACACACACACACCGACTAATAGAGGGAAGTTTGGCCTAGCAGAGGGGACAATAAACCTTAATTAAGATTTTGTTCTGCTCAAAGGACCTGCACCATTTTGAACCTGAGCTCTCTTATTAGCCACTGGGTGTTAAATTGTCTTAAAAAACAGTGCCAATTTCTAATACTTATACTGATAATAAGCCCCCTCATACAGTTTTTAACATTTTACCTAAAGGCTTTTATGTCATGCCAGCTCACAAGTAATGACCAGGTAAAGCTTTCATGTGTTGCTCATGGACAATTCAGCAGCAGCTTTCCTATTCTCCCTCCTCTCTCCCTCTCTCCCTCTCTCTCTCTCTCTTTCAGCAGTCTATCTGACCAACCTCAAGAGTTTGAGCCGTGACGTATTTACTAACACCGCCACGCGAGTTTTCACACCGGTGCTCCATCTGCTCGCGAGGGCGACTATTTGGGGGACCTAAACTGCGCCTCGCAGTAGATCCGCGCGGACCGTTTTCTTTTCCGTTTATCAGCCGCACTTGACAACAAGCTTCTTCCTCCTGCTCAGTCCACCTCTGTCCACCAGGAGGGAGTTCGCTCTCCACCGAGACTGTGAATACTAAGTCGTTTTGGAAGTTTTTTGGACACGTTTTCTAACATAAAAAGTGAGACTTTTGCCTACAGACGAGGGCGCAAGAAAAAAAGAAGAAGAAAAAAGAAAATGCTGGATCGTAGTCAAACTGTTCTATCATTGCTCTTTGGAAGCCTGGTTTGTCTTTTGGGGACCTCTGTTGTAAATGCAGACGGTAAGTTAATTTTATTAAGTTATTTTAATAGAATAAAATTATAAAAACGTGTCAACAAAACTGCTAAGTCACAATTTATTCCCAAACGCATGTATAAGCTTGTATTAAAATGTTAAATCTTCTATCATGAAGTTAAGGTTTAACTGGTACTCAGAGCTGGTGGAAGCGCGCGCTAACGTCTGACACCTGCCCTGCTGTCTCGTGCGTTTTGTAATGATCGCCAGAGAGCACGTTCCCTCTTAGCCCGTGGGGTTGTTTTTCCCCGACTAAAAATGTTTCACGCAATATCCAAAAAGCCTCATACGTCCAGTAAAGCTGTGCGTAAGGGACTTACTTTCACAAATCCTCATATTTATAAGGTTGAACTCTCATTTTAAACATAACAAGATTTTTGGGGGTTTGTGAACATTACTGAGGTGACAATGAGTGAGACGGAGTGCTCTTGTGGTGCAGTGAATGGATTACACCTGTAGTCAACCGTCTCAGGAGGTGGACAAAGCGCACAGATATCAAAGCTCTGACACGCAAGTGACATGTCGTAGTTATTTATTTTACAATATATATATATATTAGTAGTAGGCGTCAAATATTACTCTCTCCTAACGTTATATCATCTTGTTTTGTTGTGTATTTTATGTATATAACAAGCAGTTACCCCATTAGGATAGACATGGTTTGATTAATATCAAATCATCATTATGGCGCACATGATGAGGATATAGACTTTGTTACCAGTCACAAAATACATATTTGCACATCTCCAAAGTATTAATTATATGTTGCTTTACTAGTTCAGTCTCACCATTTCAACCATTGAAATGGATGCCTAAAACCCATGTTAAAGAAAATTGGAAGGACTAAAAAACCTGAGGACATTTAAGCATAAACAATCTAGTATAGCCCCCCCCCCCCCATAACAGGGCTTTTAGCCTTAATTTTCCTTATCTAACAGTAATGTTCAACTTAATTGGGATTATTCTCTTGTGAACAAATGCATCTGTTTTATCTTCATGTAAGACAGAAAAGATTATTGAATATTGTGCAATTTAAGAGGTTAACAACTGGACCAAATCTACCTTTGGGTACAAAAAAAGTGACCAAATAAAGTTTCAGAGGTTTCCCTCCTTGCTCTCTCTTCCCAGGTCGAGTGTTCGTGTTGGACTTGCGGAACTCCTCCGGCCTGCAGGGCTTCAGAGACGCTGAACGGGCTTGTGCCTCACGACATGCCCGCTTGGCATCATCAGAGGAGCTCCGTCACGCTGTGGTAGAGTGCTTCTTCTCCCCATGCACCCGTGGGTGGCTCTACGGAGGCGCAGTGGGGTAAGAAAAAGAAGTATTTGTGTCTGTAATTGTGCATGTTTGTGCATGAGGGTCTTCATTGTTTTAAGGCACATGTAGGGGACTTGAGATTTCCAAAGATGTCAAAGGTCATTTTGGTGTGAGCGCTTCTGTGTGTGTGATGGAGGTTGCAGGAGTGGATGAAAGAGAAAGGAAGTGAAGGCATCAGCGGCAGTTATAGAGAGAGTGGGAAGAAGAGAGTGACACATTTCAGGGGGGAAAGAGAAAAAGGAGAGAGGAAGAGAGGGAGAAAGACTCCTCTGTTCCTTCCTGGAGGAGGAGGGAATTCTGAGCCGGGGTGTCATGTCGACAACTGCCTCCATTTACACCTCTCATCTCCACGGTAACATGACAGACAGACAGACAGACAGACAGACAGGCAGAGAGACAGAGAGACAGAGCGGAGCAACATAGGTACATCGTTATAGTTCGGTGTTTGATTGACAACTTGTATCCTTAGCTGTAATTGCAGAGGATAGAGAGAAAGTAGTGCAGTTGTCCTGGTCTACATGGTTTCGAATGTAAGGTGATTCCAGGCCTGTAGGTAATGGGGTTCAATATGGATGCTGGTGTGGTGCTTGTGCTTTTCAAAGCTCAGCTGAAATACTATTTTCCTGTTGAAGAAGAATTAACTACGTAACTAATAATTCATCAAGGCCCAACAGACATACATATATTTATATATTTGTAACTCAACTTTTAAACTATTGCTGCAAGTATTATTTTCATTATGAATTAATCTGCCAATTATTTCTTGATTAACTGATTAATCATTTTGTCTATGAAATATCAGAAAATAGAAAAAAAAAAAGCCAGCAGAGTTTACCAGAGCCCAAGGTGACATCTTCAATTTACAACCCCAGAAACAGATATAACAAATATAAACAATAATAATAAACAAGGATAAGCACAGGACTCTGTGAAGCTGTGCAGGTCTTTTGAGCTGAATGCTAACACTAACAAGCTGGCATGCTCACATTAACAACGCTAACATGATCATGTTTAGCAGGTACAATGTTAACCATATTCACCATCTTAGTTTAGCATTGTTAGCTAACATTTGTCAATTTAAGCTTATTCGGTCTAAAAAAAAGTTATTAAGATTCATCCTGAGGGGGACATGGATGTCTGCACAAAATGTTAGTATCCACAGCAGTTTTGAGTTATTTTGGCACCAACCTACCTACAGACCGACTACCTATCCCTAGAGCCATACCTCTACGCTAACATGGCTCTCCTGAACAATTCCCATTCTCTGCAAAGTTACTACATACTAAATGGACTAAATAAGATATTGTAAGCTGATAAATTTATGGTAAATAAAATGTAAGCAACTAATTAAATTAGTATAAGAAGTGTGGAAACAACTTATATTTTCCTTACTCATTAGTCAAATGTTATGAAACTGAACCTGCTTCAAAATGGCAGCTGCCCTGTGACGAATGCCCGGTCAGAGGAAAAGCTGACTCGTTATTTTTCCTTCCTCCCCGCTCTCTATGTGTTGGCCAGCTTTCACACCCGCTTACCATGTTTGACAGTATATCACCCATCTCTGTGCGTCTGTCTAAGTTCATCTCTAACACGCCCTCTCAAACCTTTTCCACCTGGACCCGGTTTATTCTTCTGCAGTGTTGATGGAGGAACCTCTCTGTGTCCAGTGTTACATCACAGCCACTTCATCTCTCTTATTGTTTCTTCTTTTAATTTAGCTTGTCTGCTCCCTGTAAGGCTGCTCCTTGTCTGCCTGTTGTAGAGTAGATGTCCTGTAGGTGTTGGCCACTGTCCCATACGGTCCTGTCTGTTGACTCATCTCATATATCAGTTTTTACACAAAAGTCAGGAGCTCAACACCATTACTCTACATTTCTGGTGACTCAGTAGTGATCATGAACAAACTACATTCAGGACTGTAAACTGGTATATTACAAGAAAAAACTTTGTGCGAGCTTTGTGCACCCCTGTGTTGTCGGCTCTTGAGTAAAAAAGGATGTTACAGCAGTATCACGACAGCCGCTATTGTGGGAGTAGTTACTTCATTATGTAAGATGAGATAAGATAGACTTTATTGATCCCACACCAGGGAAATCCACTTGTTACAGCAGCTACAGATACAACACAAAAAGAAGAAAATACACATAAAAAAGAATAAAACATAGGAAATCTAATAGAAATATAAAATAAGAGTTATACAGTATATACACCTTTGATATATACAGATTGATGGAACATTGCAAAGATAATATATATTATATATATATACACACACACATATTATATTATAGGAGCTGGTATGCATTTAAATCTCAAAATCAACCACTGCACACTGGAATGACTTTACTGCGATTTATAAGAGTTTTGCCTGAAGCTTCTTCAGGTTCGCTCATTAAAATTACATGAGCACTCACAGGTGTGATAAATAGACTGCATCTGGGTCAAATGTCCTGCTATCACAGTCATTTTTTTAAATCTTTTTTTGTGTTTTTACATGTGAAAAAACTGAATATTACACAAAAATACATAATACAAAAGACATAGCATGATAAATATAAAAACAATGTGATTACTCTAACAAGAATTATTTTACATAAATACATTTTAAAAAAGCTAATATCCATGTTCAGCTGACTGAATAGGATATGCTCAATAGGACAGATATCCTGTAAGTCCTACCACTGTCCCTCTACAGCACTAAATGGGAAGGCCAGAGGACCTAGTGTCTCCTCTCTCTCTAAGGGTCCAAATTACCTGTAGAGAGAGAAACACATTAACATTCATTTTCATGTCACAGAAAATGAAAATTAAAGTGCCTCCCTTCTGAAGAGCTGATTGATGTGTTTTAGCCTTTAATTTATTTACTGTTAAACAGCAGACATTTACTCTATGTCTTTTAACTGTAAATAAATAAAGGCAGAAACACGTGTAGGGGTTCCTTAACCGTTTCTTCCACTTATTTCTATGTGGTATGAATTGTGCTGTTTTTCAGAAGCTAACACTCGGGTGTTGGTGCCAGTTCACCTATAGTCTTCAGAGTTGCATTGACATAGTATTTAGGTCTGTTGCATAACAACAAGTGCTTCTGAGATTGACTCCCCTACCTTAACATCTTCCTCTTACCTGTCAGTCACAGATCTGCTGCCCCGGTAACCAAACACAAAAAAAACCCCAACCCAACCCAAGACTGAATTAACACTCAGTTTCATACAAACACACACACCTTTGAGTCCTCCCTGTGATAGTTGTGTCATGTAAGGTGAAGGTTTTGAGAAATGGTTCTTTGATTAGGTGAAATGTTCCCTGCCTCCCCTGATAGATGTCAATCTCTCTCTCTCTCTCTCTCTCTCTCTCTCTCTCTCTCTCTCTCTCTCTCACACACACACACACACACACACACACACACACACACACACACACACACACAGTTATAGTTTAAAGTGAAAACAGCCTTTGTGGTTTTTGTCTCTCTCCGAGTGTTTTCTTGGCGATTTCTCTCTTTCTGCCCGTTTCACTCTCTCACAGATTTTTGTCCTTATAAGCTGAAGTTAGCATGGCACAAGCATGCAGTATGACTCACACCACTTCTCACAGTCTCGCTGCACTGCCAGTCAAATTCTTTCCAATTACTGATGCTTTGATTAACACACACACACACACACACAAACACACACACACACACACACACACACACACACACACACACACACACACACACACACACACACACACACACACACACACACACACACACACACACACACACACACCCACACACACACACACACACACACACACACACACACACACACACATACACAGACTCACACACAAGCCCACATTAAAGTCTGGCCCACTACCGTTTCCAGTTAATGATACTTGATTAATAATATAACCGGTCAAACCTGTTATTAATGAAAAGTGTCTGACTTTTAATGATATTTCTGAACTCATTCAAACTTTGATTGGTGTCGGGAGCTGCTATGGGAACATGATTTGATTGGCCTGGGAAGTCTGAGTCAGCCTTATCTGGTGCTTTTGGATGACAAATAGGCTAATGATGCTATAAACCTTAATGTGGCAACAAAAATAGACTATTTACTCAGCATTTTTATCCACTGCTTGTAGGCGTTATGCACTGACCGCATTATTCATTTGTTCCCTAATGTTATGATTTGTTCTATCTGAAGCTGTGTGTAACTTAAGGCTTCTGTATGGGAACATCTATTCGTAATGTGTCATAGTGTGATAATATTGTGCCACAGGCTACACTGATACTGCATGTCTGAGTCTGTGTGCTCCAGGACTCTGATGTCACGTTGTAATAATATTTGAGTAAGCACCAAATCAGAGCAGTAAGGGGTGCATATACCCGTGTGTGTCGTCATGTTATATGTATATATAAACCAGAGTTGCAGCTTTATGGGTGACATTAACCAGAAGAACTCTCACCTCACTTTCATCAGTAGTAGTAATCACTGTTGTTGAATAAAAGTACTAATACATGAATGTAATAATAGTCCATTACAAGTAAAAGTCCCGAATTCATAACCCATAATGATATAATGGGTTATTACTTTACATAATAAGTATTATCAGCAAAATGTATTTAAGTATCAAAAGTAAAAGTAGTCTGCAGGAAAATGACTGCTGTGACTAACATTATTTAATTGGTGCATCAGTGTGAAAGCAGCATTTTACTGTTGTAGCTGCTTGAGATGGAGCCTGTTTTAACTACTTTATATACTGTTAAGTATTTTTGTCCACTGGTTCCCAACCTGGGGGACAAAAAAAAAAAAAAAAAACAAAAACAAAGCTGTATTACACAAATTTGTCTTCTGGATTTATATTTATTTATTGCTTTTTTGGGGGGGTAAAATATTGGATTATTTTAACTCTTTGGTAGAACTCCAAACAACTCATAGATATCTGAAACATGACAAGAGGACTCAATTACCGGTTGCTTTGTTTAAGAGGTTACAAGCTAACAAGATTGGGAACCACTGGTTTAATAAACTGTAGCATATTATATTTATGTTAAATCTTATTCTGAAAAGTAAGTAGCAATTTAAGTTATCAGATAAATGTAGATTTTCCATTGAAAATGTAATGGAGTAGAAGTATTGAATAGCATAAATAGAAGTAATAAAATACCTAATTTTTCTACTTTTACTTTTACTTTTTTATACTTAAGGGAGTATAGCAAACACATAGTGACCACCCAGATTGGCAGAGTCCCTTAGGGGTGCTTAAATGCTTTGCTGTCGGCCATTTCCTCTCTTATCCCATTGTAACTAATGAGTGTGTAGGTGCAGGTTGCGTTCTCCAACATTATTTGATCAATCTATCTATTTATTGATTTGTAGGACCACCGTGTGTAATGTGGTGGGCAGTGCACTGAAAGCAGTTGATGTGAGAACAGAAAACGCCACAGAGGACGCGGCACACCTGGACGCCTTCTGCATCAAAGACAATGGTCAGTAAACGCACTAACGCGGATATATGCACTTATAATTTTTATACATTTTATACTGTACACAACGTTGTGAGCAGTGATCAGGATATGAATGGATGAGCTTTGTGTGTATTTGTGTGTAGTTCTCCTTCCTGAGATATTTACTGAGGTGTGAAAGAGGCTGTGTTACTGCGTTCCTTCCATCTACACCTCTACTTTCAACACTCTCCATCCTGCAAGTGTGTGTGTGTGTGTATGTGTGTGTGTTTGTTTGTGCTTGTCACTTCTATGTTTTTACTCATATCTGTCGTTATATACCAATCTTTCTGCCTTCTCCTGAATATCCAAGTGTGTGATGTGTATGTGATGATATAAGTTGATCCATGAATGTACGTAAGCCCCAAAAGAACTGAAGCTAAATTCCACACACCTATTCCACTGGCATGGATCTGAGAGGGGAGGGGGCCAGTCAGTGGTTGGTTTTGGATCAGACTATTATTGGACGCCACCCAGAAGAGATCTCTAGTCGTGCCCCATAAACAGCAGAGCTACTGTGGCTGTTTATATAGTACACACCCGAGGCTAACACAAACACACTGCTGTGGGAAAAATGAACAGTACAGATCCACTTAAAGCAATGACACAGCTCCACATAGTTGTGGTAACGGCTACAGTTATGTTTATGGAGCTATGGTTATGGTTATTGTGATGAAAGGGGGTATGGAGGTATAAAATACCACGTTAGTTCAATTATCAGGGCAATGCACAATATGTGTAATTTGAAAATTACATTACAGTAAATTACATAAATTCTGTTGGGTAAAAACTGTTTTAAATGTCCAGTGTGGAGGATCTGTTGGCAGAAATGCAATATAATATGCATAACTATGTTTCAATAGTGTATAATCACCTCAAAATAAGAATAATTATGTTTTTGTAACCTTAGAATGAGACTTTCATGTTTACAGATGCTGCATAGAAGCTGCCACGTTGAACCTCCGTGTTTCTACAGTAGCTCAGAACAGACAAACCAAACACTGGCTCTATATATATAAACTGCAGCTACAATACTAGATTCCACAAAATCCTACACCTAAGACCATTTTGCATTTTTTATTGTTTAATTGTACTACACACTCTATATTTCAACAATTTTAATGTGTTTGTGTAATTTTGGGCTCAAATCATTTTAGCCCAAAATATGATAATGTTGAGGTAGTTATAATGGATCACAGTGCACATTGGATCTTGCTTAATTTTCTATAAAGTTACTTTATTGTTGACAAAACAATAAAGTAACTTTATAGAAAATTAACAATCACACTGCAAGGTCCATTTAGTAACTGCTCTGGAGCTTTCAGCTGTATCACAGGATCTTTGGAGTTTGCCCAGTTGTCATAATATTCTAGATGTTCAAATTTCCATTTTTTTCAGCACTTTAAAGATAACCAATAATATTATTATAACACATTAATTTTACCCACATTGTTCAGTTATCCAGCAGTGCAGAGTCAGCTGCAAAGCCAGACATAGGTTCCCTTGGTCAGGTAAAATTCAAATCAGCCACTGGACTGACATTGTCTGCATGGAAGGAAGAAAAATACATCAAAACTTTGTTTTTGAAAATGCTTGGCAGTAATGTAAAGGATTGTGATTTGTTGTAAATGAACTAAACTGTGCAAACATTTTTTTTTATCATTTTACAATAATGCTACTGTAAATTGAGTAGCTTTATTCACAAATATTAGACCTTCGTTCTGGAAAAAAACAGATTTTAATTGTTTAATGTTAAAATAAAAAAGCTGAATGTATTATTAAAAGTTTCTTATTGTGGAGAGTGAATAAGTGAAACTAGCATTGTTTTAGTCAGTGTGTCAAATACACTGTGTTGCCTTGGTATAATTACCATAAAGAATTAGACCGGAGTCAAGACAATACGTAGCCTTTATCTCATCCTAGTGGTATTGTTAGTGGTCGTGCTTGTCAAAATTACATCCACATTTTCCACAAACCCCATTGCTTCATGTTCCCCAGAGTCATTCCTATCTCTTTCTGTTTACAAATGGGATAGCGATGCTGTAAAACTGGATAATAATAATGAGTCATGTTTCATTAACCACACTGTGTAATACGGAATAGGGATTACATGCATCTCTGTGTTTGTCGTTGACAGGTGTGCCATGCGGTGACCCGCCATCCTTTCCTAATGCCCGTCTACAGGAGCACTCTGGATATGAGCTGGGAGATGAGCTGCTGTACACATGTGTGCCGGGTTATGTAATGCCCAGTGGACACAGTGCCTTCAGCCTGCTGTGCGACAGCTGTGGAGAGTGGTATGGACTGGTAGAGATATGTGTCAAAGGTAAGATGGTGTTTAAACTGTTTATGTTGGTGAGTGGGACAGAAATGAAAAGAGGCAGTAAGAGAAAGAGAAAGCCCCCTTCTTGTTTGTCCTCTTAGAAGCACTGAGCTTTGACCCAGACAGGAGACCGCTCTGAGGTCAACCTCCTCACTTCTTTCTTGTTAGCGCCCATTGTTTTTTGGTGACCAGTGCCAATTCCTGGCTTTTGGAAAACAGAGTCTCAGTTGTGAGTTGGGATGGAAATGGCTGCTATGACACCTCAGTGTGAGATGCCATAGTGTGGCCCAGTTCATAGCAGAGGGAGAAGAGGGCAAGAGTTGTCTGTGAAGACAGAACGCTGGGCCTGTGTCCTTCGTAAGCTACCAGAGTCGTAGTCATGTTTGTGCTCTACAGCAGTGGTTCCTGAAGATTAATGTGAGGCGTCACAGGGAATTTAAAGAGGAAACAAAACCAAACAAATTTCTGTTACTCAAAATGATATTACATTTTTTTCTTATTTTACTCTATTATTACTCTTTATTGTATTGTGATACACTGATATACTTTCATAATCAAGCCAGTAGAAATCCTTCAAGTGAGCAGATTATAACCTGTAATGAAGGATCATATTTAGACATTGCTTTAGTTTAAAGGAATAGTTCTACATTTTAGGAAACACGTATTTGCTTTCTGGGTGAAAATTTGATTAGCATAGCTTAACATAAACATTGGAAACTGCTGCCTGGTTCTGTCCAAGGTAAAACAAAATCAGCCTGTAAAACATACTAATTAACATGTTATCTAGTTTGTTTATTCCATCCAAAAAGTGTAAAACTAAACTGTTCCAGTGTTAAGTTCTACTGATTGCCTGACAACCTCACGGCAACAACTGGAGTAAAGAAATGAATTGCCCCAAACAGGAAAAAATTTGCTAGGTACTAGTAGGCATTTTTTGACTTTTGACAAAGTAAGGCCAGCTATGTCCCAGTGTTTCCTGTCTTTATGCTAAGCTAAGCTAACTGTCTGTATGTTCATATTGAGTGGACGGAAATATTGGTGTGGTCTCAATATTCTCTAACTCTGACTGGAAAGAAATTTTGTCCACATTGTCAGAATCTGAAACTTGTCTATGAAGTGTGTCAAATGCCTCTTGAGTTGCATTGCATGATCGCGAATGTTGAAATTGGGTGTGCTTCATTACCTGACCAAGTATATGTGTCCTTGTTGTGTTTCTGCAGATGAGACTGAAAGTCACATAGATTATGAGGACAAGTTCACAGATTCGTATGGAGAGGAAGTGCGCCACAGCGAGAGACCAGAGGAGGCTCGTGGTGAGGTGTATGAGGAGGTGCATGGAGCTTCATACCCGGAGGGGAAAATGAGTCAGGAGCAGCAAGAGACGAGCTTCAGTGTCGAAGTGGAGGAGGAGCATCAAGACCAACATGGAGAACATGAAGTGGAAGGAGATGTGATTGGTAGAAAATCGGAAGGAGCTGTAGAAGGAGGAGAAAAAGATGGGGAATGGGCTGTTGAGGACATCATAGGCCATCCGAGGTGGGAGCAGGAGAGGAGGGACGGGGTCACAACTGACGCAGCTGCAGCCACAGAAGCACCGGTCTCTCTACTCTCCCAGAAACACCTCTTCTGGTTCCCTTCTGAGGCCTTCCCGGAGGACGGGCATCCCGTCTCCACCAATCCAGTCACACAGACTACACAGAGGGCCTCAGGCCCCCAATCAGAGGAGAGTGAAGAGCACGAGAGCCAAGAAAGGCACCAGCATCCAGTTGATGTTGGCGACCATGATCGTGAGCCAGACAGCTACGATCCTCATGATGCTGATGACCGAGATGATCATGATGACAGCAACCATGACGACAAGGATGCCCATGACGACAGTCACCATGATGATCAAGACGACCATGACAGTCACCAGGACGTAGATGGCCGTGATGATCATGTGAAACATTACATTCCAGCTCAGCATGATGATCTGGATAGACGGGACCACCACGACAATCATGACGATCATGATGACCATTATGACATGGGTGAACATGAAGAGGAGCGTGATCGCATTCGCTACAGCAGCGAGGACTATGATGATCGAGATGATACTTACGATGAACATGAAAGCTATGAAGATCATGAAGATGTGACTGACGATCCTGGTGAGGATGATCAAGAACATCCTGATGGCTCCAAGGAGCATCCAGACCATGATGATCATGATGACGAAGGCCAAGAGCTGGTGGAGGATAACGACCGTTATACTGATCACGATGCTCATGAGCACGATGATCATGACAGCTACGACCATCATGATAGCCATGAAGATGTTGATGACGGTCATCAGCATGTAATCATTTCTATAGCAACAGATGAACGTCAGAATGTCACTCAGAAGGGAGAAGGAGGAAAGGCCACCACCGATGAGACCTGGTTGGACGGCTACCCTGTCGTTGCAGAGGAAACTGAAAATGAGGACTCCACAACAGAAAGGGTAAGACCCGAGGATAGCGAAAGGGGGACAGTTGTCAGGACAACAGACAGACCCAATGAAGTGGAAATTCGGAGACCTGTCCCTTACACCACCTTACCAGAGGTCTCCGAGTCTCCCACCACAGACCCTGCCTTACAGCAAGGGGGAGTGGAGGAGATGTGGCCCGGCTTCATCCCCACCGCTGCTCCCTTCCCTGACCGCTCACAGCCCTCAGACTCCCCCTCATACTCCGACCCCCTGGACTACGACACACAGCAGGCAGCTCCCACCCACTCCTGGCTTGGTGACCTCACTGAGCACCCGTTAATCAATCAGGACCCAGCTGGACCGGTGCTGGACAACGGTGACACCCTGGAGGAACACACTGTGCACAGCCTGCCTGGTGAGGCCGGCGAGAGGGGTGAGATGGAGGGAGATATGGGGGAGACGATTTGTACAGGTGAGAACTGCCCTCCCCATCCTCCGAGCTCCTCCAGCCGAGGTCCCACAGTGGCGGCCATAATTGCGGTGATGTGTGTGATCGCTGCAGCTATAATCGTCGGGGTGTGGTGTTACCGACGGCAGCAGCAGAAGAGCTCAATGTACGAGATGAATGGGAAGGGCCAGAGTCAGACCAGACAGGGCCAACAGATAGAGATGCAGCAAAAAGTGTAAGAGTGATAGAAGAGGAAAGAGTGACGCTGAAGAGGACAGAGACATTTAGGAGGAGTTGATGAAATTGAGAGGAAAGCACAGCCCTTCATCTTGCTAGAAAATACTGCGTAATTGAAGATTTTGGATAGGTATGAACAGATTTGAAGAGCCAAACCTTACGTATGTGATGCAGAAATGTTGTAAAACAATAAGAACCGATATCTAACTGAGTGAAACCTGAATGAAACAAGACGTTAGCAGTTCTGTCTGTCCCACTCATTGATTTTTAAGTTTTACCCATCTCTGTTATACCTACCCATTATTTTCAAAGCTCTGACATCTAGCTGGACAGGTGGAGGGGGCTGTGTCTGGACTTGACTCAACTCCAAGAACTGAAAAAGGAGATTACAATGAAATGACCATGTAGGAAAACCACAAGAAGGCATGCCTGCCTGCCGGAATATATGAACTGAGACTTCAACCTCCAAAGCTCTTGGACATTGTGGTAAAGATTCTCTGTGTAACCTTGCTGTTGTTTTTGTTGTCTTCATTGACTGCTCGTTTAGTGTTGATTTTTCTGTATTGTTCTTGATTCTCAATCTTTTTCTGTTTGTCTGAGTATCATGTTGATGAAAAACTGTAGTCCACTTGTTACTCCACGATAAGAGCGCTGAAGTTCAGAACACTTCAGATCATCACAGCAGATTTGCGCACAGCCGGGGTTCTGTCAAACCAGCATGAATGGAAAAAAGGATGATGACGATGATGTTGGTTAGACCAAATGAGAGAGAGTCGAACGAGCAGTATGAGGTATGCGGGGAAAAGTGTGTGAACGAAGGATGACAGGTGAAACATTTTAAGATTTTCCTGCCTCTGTTGATTTTGACAGTCGACTGGTGAGAGATACAGAGCGGGTGTCCATCCAGACTGCAGACTCAGCCCCTGTGTGTGTGTGTGTGTGTGTGTGTGTATCTGTGTGAGAAAGATTGAGAGAGTGTGTGTGTGTGTGTGTGTGTGTGTGTGTGTGTGTGTGTGTGTGTGTGTGTGTGTGTGTGTGTGTGTATCTGTGTGAGAAAGATTGAGAGTGTGTGTGTGTGTGTGTGTGTGTGTGTGTGTGTGTGTGTGTGTGTGTGTGTGTGTGTGTGCATTTGTGTGTCTCAGGTCCATGCAATCCACCGGTCAGCGGTACGTCGGTTTGCTGACGGCATTCAGACCAACCAGAGATCAAACATTGTGGTGCTGCCATGGCAACAGAGAGAAACTAATAGAAGTCTGACATATTGTGATGGCTTAGGGTGTTTAATGAAAAATGTAGTTAGATTAGTAAGCCTATGACTTTGGGTTAAAATTAGGGCTGGACCACATGCCCTAAAATATATGTCATGATAAATTGTTACATTTAGCTCTATAATTATAAATATTGTTTACTACATCAATGGATTATGATTCCTTACTTGTTTGTCCCGATGAATCACAGTATGAGAAATTAAAAAAGGGTTGTTTAAATAATTTATTCAGCTTTATTGGAAATTCATGATGTTTATAACTTCATAAAAATTTGGTTTAAAAATGATGATGATTTTACAGTGTACTATAGCTCTATGTGAATCCATGGCAATTACACTTTTGATTTTTCTGTACTGTGCCAAATACTTGAGAGCAAGGTTGTGTTAAAAAAAACAAAAAACTCGTAAAAAAGTGCAACTGTAAATAAATTTAAATAGTTATAAGAGGGTTTGAATTTAGATATTAGAGTTTGTGATTCTGGTGATGTATAGAGACTAAGATTAATTAAATGGCAATAACTTAATAGAAAGTGCTTCACTTGTAATTAATGTCAAAAGTGGTTGGTTGCTTGAAGATTAGACACTTTATTGTGTCAGCAGTCATGAATGATGATTTCCTTATTCCTCGTATTTCTCCAACTTAACATCCAGTGTTCTATAAAAAGTGTTTTTATTGCTTTATTTCAATCTTCTTCATTTCCATATTGTGTTGACTGAAACTGAGTTGACACAAATGTCCCAATGTGGAGACGGCATGGGGAATAAAGTACCTTTTGTCTATAGATTTCTGTAAATATAAATCTGTAACTGTAATAACTTGCTGTACATACAGTACTGTAGCTTTACTGGTGTGTGGGAAATAAATTTAACTTGTGTTAAATGTGTGTTTCTTCACCAAGACGGTCAATCACAGTAGACAGTAGATATCACCTCTTCATGTCTTACACAGGGTCAGCTCATCCACTTTACTCAGAATATACACTACTGCCTTTTACTTCACCTACTATTAGACACTGCTGTTCAAACACAAGTACTGTACTCCTGATAGCATAAATAAAGACCATATTGTAGATTGAAGCAACAACCTCTCATACACACCAGCTTTGCCACATGATCCATGCCTGAAGACTGATCATAATCATCAAAGATCACCTGGGTTATGCGCAAAATTATGACAAATTTAAAAGAAAACAAATTAAAAGTTTTTGAAATTGCTGACTCTAATTCACATGATGCTAATATATTTCCATGCCTCTTTCTTCTTCATCTCAAACAGCCTGATGTGTGTGACGTCAGGATGAAATGTGTACTGTATGTGTGTTCTCTACATCACAATAAACTCCTGAACCTGGTTTTAACTCTTTATTTCTGTCAAGGTAAAACAGACACATTCTCAGTGAATGACCTGTGACCTAGACTCCTGACAATAAGCCTTTAATCTAAACTTTTAACCAAGCCGCTTATACCACCCATTATTTCTTTGTAATATGTATCCGAAAATGTTTAAAAAAAACAAAAGAGGGCAGATAAAGCATTGGGGGAAGGAGAAGTAATAAGAGAGACAGGTAAATACAGGCAGGAGAGGAATGAGAACACAGAGAGAGAGAGAGAGACGCTGTAATACAGCGAGAATGTTCCCTAGTGGGTTTTTAACATCACTGTGTGACAAACTGCACAGAGACTCAATGTTCAAACATTATTAAACAACTCAGTGTTTTCTCTGGATGTCTCTCTGCTCAGCACAGCCCTGAGCTTCGTCTAAAGGACCCTCGCAAGCATCCTGCTGTCAGTTCTCCATCCACTCTTCACTTTATTCGGGCTCCAGTCAAAAAAAATCAACCGACTGAAATAAAGTATTAGTTGATTAATTAATAATTAAGTGATTTTTAAAGCAAAATACAAAAAATCTCTACTTTCAGCTTCTTGGTTATGATGAGTTGCTGCTTGTCTTTGCCGTGTGTGACGATAAATTAATAGTAGATTGATTGATTTTTGGGTTCTGGATGGTTTGTTGGACAGACCAAGCCATCTGTAGACATGACATTTAGCTTTAGGAAATTGTAACAATCATATTTCACTATTTACTTTCATAAAATACTTTCATAGACCAAACAATTAATTGTTGAAAACCATGCTCCTGCCATAACCGGCAGATGTAGCTATAACCGTAGACTAAAGGGGTGATGTGAACTGGCCACATCCCCAAAACCATTAACTGTCTATTACACTGTACAGAGCGAGGATTACTTGAAACACCTGATGTTTGGCAAGTTTTATTAGCAATTCATTGTAAAAAGTACCCTTTTTGAAAGACAACATACATGATTCACAGTGGAGGAATGACTCCATATAACAGCAAGTAAAAATATTTCTATCTCTATTATCATCATTGTCTTTAAATCCGTGAGCCACTCATCTGGATATTTAGTGCACAAAAGAGGAAATTTTAAATACTCAGAATGTGGATCTGCAGGTGAAAACACAGTGAGCAATCAGAGCCTTGTACAAAACACAGTAAATACAAACTGGGGAGTGTTGGTGCTGTTTTGTTGTTTGTGTTTGTTTTTCAGTGTTTCGGCGGACTTTCCAACATGGGGAAATTATCCTCGTCCAGGAACTCATCTATAAACTCCACCACCTCCCCCTGCAGACACACAGAAAAAAAAACAAAAACTGAGACAACTCAGGAGGGTCTGTTTTGTTTCATAATGATATTTTGCAAACTGAATTAGCATAAATCCTCCCACTCACAGTTCTATCTGTGATTTCTCATACCTGGCATTACTAAAGAGATTACAGTCAAGAACTGAATGGTATTAACCACTTACACCATGTAATCCTGGTTTATGTTGGGTTGCCCCTGATGGCCAAGGTCCTTGTGCTGCATCATGCTGACTAAAAGAAATACCAGTGTCATGCTGCCACCCCATGGCCGTCTGTCATATTGCAGCCTGATAAACACAGGCCCCACATTGTGCTGCAGGGTGTCATGTGACCAGAGTAAAGTATCCAGGGTTTTTCCATAAATTACACAAGGACAGAGCCTGTGAGAGCCACAAACAACCTAATTCAAACTCTAACTGATTTCATGGGAATCACGCAGGTCTATTTTTAAGTGTAGACTGTAAGTAATGTTCCCTTCACTTGACCAAAGATTACCTCCTGGCTGGAATTATCCCTGTGATGTACTATGGGTGCACTCACCTCATCGTCGCTCACCAGGCGCTGTTTAGAGAACTCCAACATCTGTAGCTGCATGGTAGTCTGATTGTAGTACCGCAATGCCTCCTGTAGCACACACAGGCACACAATAGGTTGTTAAAATGAACCAAAGACAAAACATACAATGTTAGTTGAACCTTACAACAATAGTTTGATATTTGGAGAATATGCTTATTTGCCTTTGTTGCCAGGAGTTACATTCAAAGATTGATACCGTTACCCTCAGCATTGAAACTAAAGCAGAAGTTCAACGTTTTGTATTCTTGCCACGAGGTCGACTACCACTTACATTTCTGACCATCGATTATAAGGCTACAGCCAGCAGATAGTTAGTGTATTTGCACACAGTGGTGCACACAGAATATTTTAACTTTTGTCACATTTCTAGAAGTTGGAACAACCAGCAAAGGGTTGGCTGTGATTGTAATTCAAAGTGATCCTAGTTTGATCACCGATTGACTATGAAGACTTTTTATCTTCAAACCTAAAAAATGAAAAATTACCCATCACCCATCATCAAGACAAAATCCTCTCCAACTGGGGGTCCGTCGTCTAATGTGCATCTATTATGCACTTGACATGAAAAAGAACCCCTGGCATAATACAAAGACAGAGAAATGTAGACAGCACAGAGAAAAAACCTGCCTGGCAGCACCTCAAACGCTCACTAATCAACAAGTTGTATCTGGTTTGTTTAATCCATACAAAAAACTAAGCATAAAAAACAAAAAGTTGTGGTTTTATGGGGTTTATTTCTATTTCTTGGCAGGATGCAGTGACTTTCTGGAGTGTTCTTAAAGATGTTCAGAAAAAGGAAAACCTTCTTCAGACACTTAGGCAAAGGAAGGCGAAGGCAGGAAGTTCAAACCGATAAACCTCACTAAAAACTTAACACTTTGAATAAAACGCTTCTCCTCATTCTCCCTGAAAACCTTTTTCTAGGGACAAGAACTGTGTTTGCTTTGTTGAGGCTGCGTAAGGTTTGTAGTGATTAATATGTCTCACTGATCTGGGGAGGAAGTCCTCCTCTGTCAGTCCCCACTGGCTTTTGTGGTACTGGTAATAGGCCACATTATTCTTCATAACCTCATCACTGGGGTCAAAGAGCATGTAGCTGGCTGCACAAGGTACTGCGTTCTTCAGATCCTTTACTGAAAACACAAAAATGACAGCACTTAATCCACAGATTTTCCTTAATAAGCGGTATAACCCAGTACATCTCCATTAAGAAACTCCAAAGGACAAGAGTGTTTTCAGTGGGTTTCAAGACTATAATTTAAAAAAAGGTATAACATGCATGTAATGGGTGTCAGCAATAAGAACATGGTACTCACATTTGTAATAGGCGAACTGCAAGTAGTGGTACATGGTGGCCACAAACTTCTCAACCACAAAACCCCCTACGACCGGTGTCAGGTCACTTTCACACGTCACTTTCCTGTCAAGGACCTCTATGTAGTGATCTGTAGAGGGATATAATCAAAGCTCTGCACTAGACTGCTTGAAGAGTTCAGAAAGATTCAAAATAAAATGATGAAAAAGGTTCAATTTAGCAATAACAAGAAATATGTTAGAGAGACTCAGAACTGGTTCAATTTAGCAATAACAAGAAATATGTTAGAGAGACTCAGAACTGAGGCTCTGCCAGCTGACCGGCTATAGAAGGGTAGAAGTCTTTAAAGTCTTTGATGTCCCTGGGGCCCTCAGACGCAGCCAGACACTCATCATAGACCTTGAAGAAGTCCCGCAGAGCCAGCTCCATGTCTGACACCGAGGTACGGAAATTTTCTCCATTATACGCCCGCACTGCACGCACAAACAATGTCTGCAATAACACACACACACAGAAGAAATATATAATTCAAACGTCTAATGTTCAGTTTGGGTGTGATTGCACTGCGGAAGCATCCCATGAGGTTAACTAACAACCACTTTCTTACAAAAGCCAATTATACTTTTAATGGTATAATTAAAGGTCCAGTGTGTAACATTTAGGAAGGATCTATTGTCAGGAATGGAACATAATATTAATAAGTACGTTTTTATTCATGAATAATCACCTGAAAATAAGAATTGTTGTGTTTTTGTTATCTTAGAATGAGCTGCCTTTATCTACAGAGCAGGTCCTCTTCTACGGAGTCCGCCAGGTTGAACCGCCATGTTTCAGTAGCCCAGAACAGATAAACCAAACACCAGCTCTAGATAGGGCGGTTTGCAGTTTTCGTACATTTTGAGGCCACCGTAGATTGTCCTTTACGTTTGGAAGGGAAGGGTTGAAGCAAGGGAATTGCAATCTGCAACTACACTGCTAGATGTCACTAAATCCTACACACTGGACCTTTAAGTTAAATTATGTGTATCAAGAGCTGAATAGAATATCCTCTCTCTCAGGACAAGCTTATAAAAACTGACATAACATCAGAAAAAATACACATATACATATAAAATACATACATTATCTTACAGTAAAAGAAGGTGGGTGAGTCTTCTTTAATGGGGCCACTACAACCCTGTCAAACATAATGATGGTCTTCATTTTCTCCCATTTTGGGAAACACTAGTGTCTATGAATGAGCCGTCCCATGATGTGGCCAGCTCACCACAGGCTACAACCACATCAGCGCACCCACAGAGCCAATAATAGGATGCTTTTAGTGTGTGTGTGTGTGTGTGTGTGTGTGTGTGTGTGTGTGTGTGTGTGTGTGTACGTTCACAAAGACGTGGGTATGGGTGTGACTCTCACATGCACATAGCCTTTCCACGTTTGCATGTTTACCGTGTCTCTAGGATTAAAACTAAAGAGAATCTGATTCTACATGTATGTGTGTGTGTGTGTATACCTCATAGGATTTGGTCTCCAGGTCTTTGAGGTGTTCTTCGGCTCCAGGCAGACTCTTGTAGTAGGCCATGTTCCTCTGCATCATCTCATCATCTGGATGTTTGAGCAGGAAGGTGTGGGCAGCAGACACCGCCTTGGCCAGGTTTTCAGACTGGGAGAAACAATACAAGCACACAGACATTTATTATCAGGAGATTGAATAATACAAATGCAGTGTTGTGGTACCAAAATAATGAGTTGTTACCAAGGACTTTAGAACTGATAAGTCACAGATAAATAACTCTGAAACAGGGATTAAATGGTGGATTAACAGAAAACATGTGTTAGTTTTGTTATGCTCAGTGGCGGATTGGGAATTATTAAGGAACTGTTTCTATTGATTTTCAATTATCAGGTTCTTCCTTATTTGTTTCTCACTTACTCAGTAGTTTGTTTACCATTAAGTGTCAATTTTACAATGGGCAATATTATACTTTCTCATGTCAGTGGCCTTAAAGGAGAAGAGAATTACCTCCTGTCTGTCCACATTTTGTACCACAGAAGAGACTCCTTATAGAGGTCTACTCTTTCATATGGCTGTCTGCACTGTACGTAGTAGTAAACAACCCTCTTCTCCTCTTTTGGTTATATCTATTTCTTTGACTTAACAGCACCCGTCATTTGTTGTCTTGCCTCATCTTATTTAACTTGTATAATATATCTAATGTCCTTAAAACAAATAACTTAGATTTTTCCATTAAACACCTGGTTTTATGTTGCTTCCCTATTCCCCTTTTGAGGCGTAACATGTGCCATTATCTGGAGACTGATATCACATTAAATTACTCTAAAGATCAGCTGATGGTGCAACTGAAGAAACCCTGAAACCACACTCTTTTAAAACCTTAGAAAACTATTCACATAATCCCCCAGTGTTACCCAGTTACACCCCCCAGTTGTCTTCTACATGTCTCTGTACCTTTAATGGAGGGCCGAGAACTTTCTACCAAAAGACATTTCCTCATTCGATGTTTTGATGGTGGTGGTGTAAACACGTCAGTGTGTGGATATATTGTTTTCATACCAATCAAACCATTGTGGGTGTAGAAATGTTCCATCATAGAGTAAAGCTGATCACTTAGATTAATTTGGTGATACTTTACATTTAAATCCAACAATTATTCTGTATATCTGCATTATGTTTCTCAACTAATTTTACTTTAATTTGTCTTACCTCATGTGTTGTATGTGTTAATTAGACCATAACCATCAACTGCGTTACCCCGAAATCTAATCATAATTCCAACCTTTGCCCCTAAATGAACAGTGATTATAACCTAATCCCAAATCCAAACTACCTCCTACAGTGTGGTGGTTTATTGTAGAGGCGATAACCAGTAAAAGGCCCTCATGTGTCTTTATGAGTGTGTAACCCTCCTTCCTAACAGGAGGGACAAGACAACACAGGCAGACACAGGTAAACGTTCAGGACCTCCTTTGTGCATCCGTGGCACGTAGGTGACGTCAGAACGCATTTCAGGAGTGACGTTACAGTCATGTATGTCCACAGTAAAACCATCATCTCACTGATCATCATCACAAGTAAATAAACACACATGTATAACCACACACGTCCTCTGTCTTTTGGCTTTAATGTGTATTTGACCCTCCTGATGACCTCATATTTAACGCATGCTCTTACTTTGAAGTAGGCGAACTGCAGGTATTTGTACGGCTCTCTCCTTTCAAACTCATCTATGGTGTCCCGGCTGGGCATGGTCTGCCTGAAAGCGGGCAGCCCCTGCTTGCAGCGCTTGAGGCACTGCGCCCTCTTCATCACATTGCCAAACGCACGCAGTTCTGGAAACTCCGCAAACTTCTGCTCGTCGTCCAGCCGCACGGAGCTGCAGTTGAGGTTGCAGAAGGCCTCGCTGTCCCGCAGCAGCCGGTACAGCCGCAGGGACACTTCCATGTACTCCACCGTCTCCTTCCACTTCTCCCCGGTGTACTGGTCCAGCGCGTATTTGTAAGCGGACTCCAGAGGCATCAGCTCATTCCTGGGGAAGCTCCTGAAGCTGTATTTTTCATACTGGGAGTTCACGACTGAGGCGGAAAGTGCGATTAATAGCGCAGAGAGGAGTTGGGAAGAAGTGGAGGGTGCCATTTTTGAGTTTGGTAAATGGTGGAGGGGCTGGCTGGGATGATCCCGGACTTGTCTGACGGTGTGCGTGGGTCTCTAGGACCGCCTCAAGTTCCACCACGTATCCGGACAAAGTCTCCCCTCCCCCGGGCGCAGGGCTGGAGCAGTCGCTCCGGCGCGGGTGGGGGCTGCTGGAGCTGCTCCTCCCATTAAATCACATAGTAAATCACTACTGTTGTTCTGTCCATGTACAGAACAAGTGAAAACCTGACAGAGTTGACTTTTATATAACACAACACATATCTGAGGGAGGAATTATTTTACTTTTGAAATAAAGGGCAAAGTAATTAAGCATATTTTTAAATTGCAGGGCTGACCAAGAAGATATTATTCTATAAAATACTTCTCTCTACAGTTAAAACTTCTCTCCTCTCGGTCACTAATTTAACCCCTGTTGAGAGGGGAGTGTCCCTCCCCCTCCCACTGCCACGTAGAGACATTCCTGCCTGGTCTGCAGCCCCTCCAAAGGCCCTGAAGCCCACCAACACAACATGATCATAAAACAAGATATAACAAGAAACTTTATTTGTCATGCTCTTTGTCAATATTTGACTTCCATTCAGAGGCGTATCCAGATGTTTGCATTAATCTGATTTAAATGAATCCAGAGGGGGAGGTGTCTCTCTGAAGCTGTATGGAGACCCCTACGTTACCACGTTGACACATCTCAGGGGCTGTACTGCGCAAGAGCAATACGTGGTGCCCAAAACTCTCATTCAATCCCAAAGGGCGTCAAGTCAGCTAGAAAAAAGCAGGATGCGACAGGAAGTGTGTGTTTCAATTTCAAAATAATAGCACAATCGGTTACTCAAGCTTTCTTTGTATTCCTTTCTGTCACAAACAGACATCGGAGAATATCTTTTCACTCGTATTTATTTCAGTTTTTTCAAGAAAACATCGCATTTGGACCACCAGGTGAGGTTTTAGCTTCAAAGTTTAACCGGATGTCGTGCATTATTTGTCTGCCTTGACACGTGATCGTTCCTGTGCTGGGACCAGGGGCAGGACTTCTATCCAAGTCGGAGTAGAGGAAACCGAAGTACCAGCGACCAGGGAGGCAGCGCGTACACAAACAGGCCGTACACACTGTTATCTCCATCGTCTGATAGATTTTTTGGCAGTGAAAATGATCCAGTGTGTGCAGATTATGTTGTATTTGTCGGTTCTGGTGGCGTTTGCCGCCTGCAACGCTCCCCCGGTACCGTTAGACGACATCTTCATTGAGAAAACTTTCGTGCCAGAGCAGTGTGTGCGCGCAGTCAAAGTCGGGGATTATGTCAGGTATCACTACATTGGCACGTTTCCGGACGGCAAGAAGTTCGACTCCAGGTGAGTATCACGCAAAGAGTAAATTCATTCCCACGTTAGTCACTGCGTGCAGAGCAAAACCGGGTGCACGGTGCGAACAGCGTGCGCGATGCGTAAAAGTGCGCGTTTAGTGGTTCGCCCCTGTTAGCCACGCAGGCAGGGAGACTGACTGAGCTCTGGACCCATAAATGCATAATCCAAAGGCTCCAAAAGCCTTTATATCAATGACCACCAGAGGGATTACACAGAGGATCCAAATTCGAGTTTTTTTTCCATTAGAGGAGATTTATTATAGATTAATATGATCTTACTTAATCACACTCCATTGTGAACCAATTCCATATGTTCAATGCTGCTCCACGACATCTGAAGGTCCCTAGACTCCACTTTGGGAACCACTGACATAGTCGACAGTAGTAACAGTGTATCAGTGATCACCCACCAAGGGTCCCCATACCCCCAAGGGTCCCAAAGGCCCAATGTTCACTGTGTGCCACTTGTTCTTTGGTAATTTAATAAACTGCACATTTGTTAAAGAATGTAAACTAATAAAGTGCAACATCAGTAAGGCTGGCCCTTGCAGTATTAGTTCATTTTGTTGCCCTATTTTGTAGAGGGGCCCATATTTTTCACATTTTAATCTGGCTATGTGTAAAGATGATGGAACTTAAATCTCGCATCCTGAATAACTTAAGTCTGAACTTAAACTGATAGTTTATAAGTAAAAACAGAATTTGCATTAAACACTATAATAAGATCTTGGAGCATTCACTCCCTCTTGAGTCCATTTTGATGAATCGGAACATTTGGCCACTGTGACATCATATGAAAGTTTTGCCAAAGTGAGTTTTTTTCTGACTTTTCAAAGCCAGATGAGTTTAATTGTGCTCTGTGCATTTCAGTTACGACCGTGGCAGCACCTACAACGTGTTTGTTGGCAAGAAGCAGCTGATCGAAGGCATGGACAAGGCTCTGGTGGGGATGTGTGTCAACGAGAGAAGTCTGGTCAAGATCCCACCTCACCTCGCCTACGGAAAACGGGGATATGGTGCGTATGTTTGAGTGTGTTTTAAACTTCCTGTCACATTAGCGCATCCCTGTGTTGCATCACGCCACTGGCTGATTACTCCGAACCCATCAGTGCATAGTTTAACATGTTCTCCGTTAAGTTTGAGGTCCGGCCAGTGTTTATTCCTCTGGGGTGTCATTATAAATACACAGATGAGTGCTCGCCATAACAATGAGAGAATTTAGTTGGACATGGAGCATAAGGGACAAAAATTGTAGTCTTTCACAGAAGGCACCGTATTATGTTGTACTAGAGTCAAGTGAAGCAAAAAGGAAGTGGGCTGCTCCCAAGCGTCCATGTTGAATGATGTCATCACAAACCAGGAAGCTGGTCAGAGGAAGCTGCTCTGGATCAAGATTTTTCAGCTGTTAGCAAATGCTGGAGCATCAGCAGCTGCAGATAAATGTTATCTGTATATAAATATTGGCCACCAGGGAGTGTTTGTGTCAGAAAATGTTAATAAAATTGGACATGATTGTAGAAGAAAAATGCCAGGGCTTTGTTTACATGTATAGACCAGTGCATCAGTATATGTACTTGTATGTGTGTGTGTGTGTGTGTGTGTGTGTGTGTGTGTGTGTGTGTGCATGAAATAGTTTGATAATGGGAGAAAGAGGTGGCGTGTATGGGCAGGTAAAAGCTGGGGCTGTGTCCTCTACCACCAGTCTGTCTTAGAGGGAACATCAGAAAAAAAGAAGAAAACAGAGAGGTGAGATTTTGGAGGAGGTAGGAAGAGATTTAAACCGGAAAGAAACCTACCAGCTCATCAGGAGTAAAGGTTTTATGGCTGCCTCCCACACAGTCCTTGCACCCCTCCTCCACCTCCTCCTCCCACCTCTTTTGCTTCACCTTTGTCTCCTTGTTATGTCTTCTGGACACTTGTTGAGCTACTCAAAGGCTCAAAAGGCAGCTTCATACACATACAAAGAGCAGCAGTGAGAGATAACCGTTATTTTTACATTTTACAACCAGAAATAGTGAGTGAGTAATAAGTGACTCATGCTCATGTTTGCAAACACAGCTGGCTGAGATGTTGCACTTATCAAAATAAAAGTTGGCTTTAACTTGATGGACGGATCAGACAAGGCTAACACTGAGGACACCACAGTCATGTGCTATTTCTGGAAATCTGGGGGGGTTTATTGACATAATATGGGGTTTACTTTGTGCAATTATACATTTATTACCAGGGCTGCAATTAACAATTGTTTAAATAATCAATTCATCTGCAGATTATTTACTTGGTTCATCCAATCTTCCATTTTGTTTTGTATTCAGTTTTGTCTATAACATGTCAAAAATAATTGAAAAAATGTATAATCAAATTGCTTATTTTATTTGATAAAAAGTCCAAAACTCACTCATTTACTAACATATATGACAAAAAGAAACATCAAATGTTCATATTTGAAAAACTTCAACTGGGAAACATTAAGAATTTGTGCTTCAAAATTGGACAATTGGTCAATTATCAACATAGTTTCTGAATAATTTTCTGTCAGTTGACTCATTGATTAATCAACTCATCATATTAGTCCTACTGGAAAGTAATCCATAATATGCTGTATAAACTTTTAAACAGTATGAGGCCCTTAACTGACCCAAATGTAACCATAATAAAGAATCAGCCAACAACTACTCACACTATAAATAAACAAGACTAAGATAGCAAGAGTCTGTTTGAAAGACTTGCTCTCTCTCTCTCTCTCTCTCCAGGTGACATCATCCCTGCTGACTCTATCCTCCACTTTGACGTCCTGCTGCTCGATGTGTGGAACCCGGAGGATGGCGTCCAGATCAAAACCTACCACACACCCTCGATCTGCTCCAGAAAGGTGGAGGTGTCTGACTACATTCGCTATCACTATAATGGCACCTTGCTGGACGGGACACTGTTTGATTCCAGGTTTGTTTTTTATATTATCTCAGTCACACACAGGCGGTCACACAAAACATATTAATTAAATATGTAACCTCTCGCCTTCATCCTTCCCTGTAGCCACACCCGCATGCGTACCTATGACACTTACGTCGGGATTGGGTGGCTGATCGCTGGTATGGATCAGGGCCTTCTGGGAATGTGTGTTGGAGAGAGACGCATCATCACTATGCCACCGTCACTTGGATACGGAGAGAACGGAGACGGTGCGTATTAATACTTTCTTTATTAGTATGTGTTTCATTGAGTCTGATGAGATTCCCCTCCTTTCAGAGTAAGAATAGATTGATCATTACAGTGCAAAGCAACATGTGCTGTAGTTGCACACTTGGAACACAAGGTGGCAGTACATCACACACATATGCATTGTAACCATTGACAGTATGTGATTGTAACTTGTTTCACCATCTTAGTCAGAGATGGAAAATATAATAACTTCTTACATATTTTTACCTACAAAGATCATTTTCATGATAGAGTTTGTCTTCATTTCCCAGCCAAAGGTGTACAGAGGACAATTTGCTGTTTCATTTTTTTTAATTAATCTAAAGTAATGTGATAAAGTTCCTTTTTTTCCCCAGAAATGTCTTTATGAATATTTTTGAATAACGTTCAACAATAAGAACACAAAATATATCCAGTATGAGGGAAACTATTCACAACATTTAACCAACATTTAAATTAAGCCTTCCCCTTTTATGCCAGATATTTGAATAACAATAATAATAGATAAATAAACAATATAAACAAATGTTTCTTTGCTTTGCTTCATGTCGTGTTCACATCAAATTTTTATTACTTGTACTGAAATCTCATTCATGATCTTTAGAATAATAGTGTCACAAAATAATTGTAACTCCAGGTCCAATTACTATACTTACTTGCTTAATGTTAGGAATTGATCCTCGTAATGGTTAGAAGAAGAATGATGAAGAATATTCATGTTCTCTATCTCTGTGCTTATACTTGTCTCCCTTCTTGTCCTCAAACCTTTCTTCTTCCCTCTTCAGGTAGCGACATCCCAGGACAGGCGTCCCTGGTGTTTGATGTCATACTTCTGGACCTCCACAACCCCAGAGACGGGATCGCAGTGACCAATCAGATGGTGCCCGAGTCCTGCACGAGGAAGAGCGTCTCTGGAGACTTTGTGCGCTACCACTACAATGGCAGCCTCCTCGATGGAACATTTTTTGATTCCAGGTGTGTCAGTGTTTAATATTCCTCTTTTTATTCACACAGAGTAAATCTTTGTGTTTATAAATAGAAATTAATGTTTAATGTCTGTTGTTCCTCAGTAGCCTCACGGTGGCAGCGTTTCTCTGTGTACTGAAGTTATAGTGAGAGAAGAATCGAAACTTAAAAAACACTATTGGAAATGTCCTGTTTGCACTGTATAATGCTGCATCCTTTGAATAGTTTTCTAGTAACCTCTTTCTTCTTGTCAACTCAAAACAGATTTTATGTCAGCTCTTTTGGAAAGGCTGCTTGTGTCTAAATTCTCTAAAGTCTAAAAAATATCTAGAAATTATGTTCTTTAAAAGTATAAAAATGAATTTGATCATATACATATCATTGAATTGTATATGCCAACTATAGAAAGAACCAGTCTGGACTGTAATTTACTCATTCTCTCCAGTACAGGTTGAAACAACATAAAATATAAAGGTGCTGTAATGGTTTCTGGTTTAGCTTTAGAAGATACATGCAAGGTTGACAGCAAATATCAGCCCTGTTACAAACGGTCTTGTAGCCTTTTTCTAGCTAAAACCACTCCGTTAATGTGTTAGTGTTAAGCCACACACAGTTTCCATTTCGTCATAATTATACTTTTGCCAGGTACTTGGTATTATAAAATGCCACCACACTGTGTTTATGTATTCAAAAACCACAAATGCACCCTCCCAGAACAAACCGCTCTTTGCAACACAGTTATTCTCTGAACCTGCCACTTGCAACAGACTCATCTTGTATCCTGTAGTCATCTGTTTTAGGCGGCCAGCTTTCATTCAGTTGTGCTCTTCTGTGCGTTGCCTGTATATGTGATTAAATTTCAATGCACTATATACTGTGAAAAAAAAACTGTATTTAGTTAGTTCCCAGATTAACTTTGAGTTTTTTTCTCTATGGGGCCATGTATTTATACTTGTATTAATATTTTCTGTCCCACAGCTATTCTCGTAATCGCACCTATGACACCTATGTGGGTAAAGGCTATGTGATTGCTGGCATGGACGAGGGTCTGATTGGAGTGTGTGTTGGAGAGAAACGCACTATCACCATCCCCCCACATCTTGGCTATGGAGAGGAGGGCACAGGTGTGTGTGTAATGCTTGGATATCCTTATCTCTATCACAAAAATGTTCTCTCACCATTTATACTCAGCTTTTAATAATTGATTCTGTCTTTTCATTCCCTTACCGTGTCTCTCTCAGGTTCTAAGATCCCTGGTTCAGCTGTGCTGGTATTTGACATTCACATCATCGACTTCCACAACCCGTCAGACAGCACGGAGATCACCGTCTCTTACAAGCCAGAGGAGTGTGAGAGGCAAACCAAGAAGGGAGACTTTGTCAAATATCACTACAACGCCTCTCTGATGGACGGCACATCCATTGACTCCACGTGAGTAAACTTCTGTGAGACACTTCGAGGCCTCCTGGGAAAACCAAACATCTTAGAAAAGTTTTATAGAATGATTGCATCATCTGAGTGCGAGAGGGACGGGTATAAATAGCGTGGCTGTGAATATAATGTTATTGCAGTTCATCCTCTGGAAACCATGAACGTCAAATTACAAGGCAATCAATTCAGTAGCCGACAAGATTTTCCAATCTGTGCCACAAACCTGCTGGTGGGGCTAAAGGAAAAGTCACTGACATTGTTATCAGTAGAGAAGAACATTTTTTAATTAAATAAACACACAGGGTCCACCTGTACCATTAGCCTCTATATGAGTCATAATGAGTGAGTGAGTCATCTCTCTTTTGTAGTCCTGAACAGGATAAGATAATAGGGTTTAAAAGTGCAAAGTTCTATGTTCAGTTTCCACTTCATACACTCTGTACTGCAATCCCAAAAGTTGGCGGTGTTAGCCAGGTAAATGAGGAAACATGGACAGGCATTACGCAGGAGATGAGGCACATGGAGCTCTAAACTTTATATGCCTTTTATTGTTGGTCTTTCACGCTGCATTGCACAACATTTCACTTCCTCTGCAGGTGCACTCTGTCTTAGTCTACTGATTTCTTTCTTCCCCTTATCAGTGCACATTATACAGCCCTGAGTGCTTTGCATCAAAAGTTGAGTTGAGTTAACTTTACTTTTAGAAATTGCAGGAACTTACAGGCAGCACAACATTCGACACAGCATACAAATAGAATAAAACACACAAGAAATGAAAGAATTGAGGAATCAAGGAAATGTATTTATCATTATACAATATTATACACAAGATTGTATAACATTATATATAAACGTTATATAATGTTTGCAGTCACTTCATGCCACACACATAGAAAAAGATAATTACATTTATAGAACAACATATTAAAACAAATAAAACAATATGTACATTAATTTATATACATATAAAGAGACACACACCCAGAAATAATTCTGTAGTGCATCTTTTGAACAGAAGTAACTGGTGGATAAAAGAAATGTAAAAAATCGAAACCTGGGCCGGGAAAAGGTTTGAATCTCTTGCCAACATGTCACCCAAAACAATTCTGAGGTGACTTTTTGAGTCTCAAAAAGTACTTGAATCTGGCAGAATCTGTTGTGAAACTGTTGATTGTGTCCAAACAATGGAGTTGTTGTCCTGTTTGGCTGAGCCTCCACCTACTTTTTCTAAAAATATTAACTTATTAGGCTTGTAAATAATGGCGTCATGCCTGAACATGTTTGCATCCCTGTTGGTATCATGGTTTCATATCTGCACATGTCAAAATGAGGGCTGAATCTACTGGTGTCCACTTTTGGGACAAGCCTGTTCTGAACATGTGACTCGAGGAATTTTAGATGTAGAACAATAAGATTCATCAGCACATCCCCCGAACAGGGTCCTCTTGAGGAATGTTCCACCGGCTGACTCCATTATCTCCGGGCTCCTTCCAGAAAAAAAATCATAGAAGTGCTTTAAGTCATGAAAGTTAAACACAGAAAACACGATTTAACACATAATGTGAACAGATTTACTTATTATTATAATCCTTCTGAACTTTCACATTTTCTCCCAAAACTTAACAAGAAAGTGATGATAATATGTTTTTTCTTGGAGAAACTCTTCCACAATATTGAGAGTTGCTAGTTCTCTGAAGAATTACAAACCCACTGTGATGAACTCTGTCCCTTTATTCATTCAGTATGGAGAGAAAACCACAGCATTGATGTTCTCTCCAGACTTCCATAATGATCTCCCTTATAGTAGTACATCCAAGAAAAACACACCTGGTATCTGTAGTATCAAATTTAGTGTAGGTTAGTGCATATTATATGTTAGTTATCAAGTAATCACACAAAGATTTGGATATTATGTTGTAAGCACTATGGTTTGTTCACACAGATAACTGGAAATCAAGTAGAGAGCACTATGTTTTAAGTAATGATGATTATAATATAATAATAATAATACATAATGATTCATGAATGAATGAATGAATGAATCATTACACATAATCATTATGTGTGTGTTTGTAACACAAGTTTTCTTATCATATTATAACGTTTATTAAGTTTTTAAAAAATACAGTAAAATATATCTGTGACATAATGGTGTAAGAAAAAGGTAATAAATGTTTTTTAAAAAATACAAGTACAGTAAACTAGATTCTAATGGTGTAAGCCTGATGAAAGGAGAGTAAAAAAGAAAATGGCATAGCCATGAAGCCTGTGGGTCTATGATAAGAACATAGGCCTGACGGTGCAGGATAATTAGGCGAGCAAGACAGCAGTAGAATGGAGCATGGGCACAACAGAGGCAGGATAATTGGGACCCACAGACTGGTGGAGTTTTAGGGTCTTTCCAGAGTGGAATTTACACCATTATGTCGTAGATGGAAAAGGTAGAAGATGGGCAGGACTTGTGACAGTATGCAAGAGTATATAAGGAGAAGCTTTGTGAGGATGAATTCAGTCTTTGCATGGATGGCTTGGGCTTTGTTTGTCTGTCAAGATAATATAGCTCTATTCTACTGCCAACTTTGATGAATCCTGATTGTTATTTTTCAATCTTAAGGAGAATAGCTTTTAGACCTAATTAGGGACCGAGCACTAATAAGTGCAAGGACCCTATTGTTCCTCTAGGAATTATTATTACACCTCTGGGACTTCGACTGCATATTTGGCCCTCGCAACATGCTCAAAATGCCATGAAAATTTGCACAAAATTCAAACGTAGCAAAAATACCGATATGACATTGTCCCCGTGCACGGGCGCCGCCAAACGTCTAAGCCACGCCCCCCAGAATCAGCCCACGTAAGGCCCACATGTACGAAAATTGCTACGCATGTGTATCATGATAAAAGAAGCCTCTTGGACCCATACCTCAACCCACAGGAAGTCTGCAATTTCAATTTTTAATTTTCATCATTTTGTGGTCATTTTGACTTTTTGGGCTTGTATTTGAACAAACTCCTCCTAGGGAATTTATCGGATCTTCTTCAAAATTGGTCAGTGCAGTCAAAAAATGGTGCTGAATGAACACTGTTCAATTTGTAACTGTACGTTAAAGGGCGTGTCTGTGGCGTGCCGTCAAAGTTGGCCATTTTTAAGTCCGTGGTCATTTTCGGTGAATTTTTGCCTTGCATTTGAACGAACTCGTCCTAGGGAATTTCTGGGATCTGCTTCAAAATTGGTCAGTACAGTCACAAAATGGTGCTGAATGAACGCTGTTAATTTTTTTACTGTACGTTGAAGGCCGTGTCCTTGGCGTGCCGTCAAAGTTGGCCATTTTGAACGAATGTCACACTGTGATGTCATTTTTGGCATTTCAGGGCTTCTATTTTAACTAACTCCTCCTACAGGTTTTATTGGATCTACTTCAAAATTGGTCAGTGCAGTCAAAAAATGGTGCTGAATGAACGCTGTTCAATTTGTAACTGTACGTTAAAGGGTGTGTTCGTGGCGTGGCGTCAGAGTTGGCCATTTTGAAGTCTGTGGTCTTGTATTTGAACAAACAAACTCCTAGGGAATTTATCAGATCTGCTTCAAAACTTGACAGTACTCTTGAATAATGTTGCTGATTACAAGTTGTGCTATTTATGACTGTACGTTGAAGGGCGTGTCCGTGGCGTGCCGTCAAAGTTGGCCATTATGAACGACTGTCACACTGTGATGTCATTTTTGGCATTTCAGGGCTTCTATTTTAACTAACTCCTCCTACAGGTTTTATTGGATCTACTTCAAAATTGGTCAATGCAGTCAGTTTTTTTCGTCCAACATTGTGCCTGTGGCGTGGCGTTCCGTGGCATCTAATTTCCAACCCTCGCCATGAAAGAGGGATTCGTCATAACTTCTGCGTACATGATCCGACTGCAACGAAACTTCACATGTTCGATAAGAGTCCCACCCTGAACACGTCTATGTGATAATATTCGGTAATAGTCAGAGCGCCAACTAGTGGCAACAGAAAGTATCACGTTTTATACTTTCATGTTCTACTCCTAGCAGGATGATCAGACCCAGCTGAAATTTACTTATAAAATGCAAAACACATTGTTGATTATATGTGATGACTGCGGTAAGGTGGCGTGTCTGTAGCGTGGCGGGAAATTTTGATGTACCGCCACAAAACACGAATTTGCTATAACTTGAGTGCACATTGTCCAGTCGGCTCCAAACTTCACTTGTCTGATAAGAGTCCCGCCCTGAACACATCTATGTGATAATATTCAGTAAAAGTGAGAGAGCCATCTAGTGGTGAAAGGAAATGTCATTTTTTTATACTTCCATGTTCTACTCCTAGTAGGATGATCAGATCAAGCCGAAATCTAGTCAGAAAATGGAAAACATGTTCTTGATGATATTTCTTGATTGTGGTGAGTTTTTTTTACAGGGCGTGTCCGTGGCGTGGCGTCAAACTTTGATGTACCGCCAGAACACACAAAGTTGCTATAACTTGAGTGTACATTGTCCAATCGGCTCCAAACTTCACATGTCTGATAAGAATCCCGCCCTGAACACATAGTGATAGCGCCACCTAGTGGCAACAGGAAGTAAGTGCTGCGTGGCGATTTTGAGCTGATTTACGTGAGATTTTCATGTTGTGGTCCGCACGTGTAACAACGGTACGTGACGCGGCCGCAGCACGCCCCGAGTTGCGTGGAGTGCGAGGTCCCGTCCATCGCTGCTTGCAGCTTTAATTTGGACTTAGAATTCGTGATGTTGGTCATAATCTTCTGATCAAAAAGAAAACTCATTTAGACCGAGACCCAACATATCCTATTAACAATACCGCTGTAAATCACGTGTGAAGGTTTTAGGTCTTCAACACAAATAGTGCTTTGATCTGACCATGTGACTGTGAACAGATTCTTACCAAACGTCCTCCTACCATAAAACCACTACCCCCTAAACGAACTGTATACATTTACTACCCCATCTAAAAAGGTTTTATCTTATCATAAAAAGAAACAGTGTCCATCCACTTTGACTATGTTTGAGCATCAAGCATCATCGATGTAAACACAGAGTCCGGGATGTTGACGAAGCAGGTCTCTGTAAAGATGTAGGCACAACAGTCTCTGATTTCCACTTTGTTTGGCCACCGAGAGTCCCATTTCGTCCAGCCATTAGACAGGAGCAGCCTTAAGTCCAAGCTAATTCAGGAATGCCTTTAAAGTCTTGACCTGTCCTTGAAAACAGTTTCACCCTTCAAAACTATTAGACTTCCTTGATCCAAACCAAGCTTTGGCTTCTCACTGAAACAACTTGATGAAACGCAGACATGTCATAGATCCTTCGACCATCTGTCACAGATTATCATGCCGACAAAATAACAGCAAACTTTAGGAATGAGTAAAAAATTATCATTATCTGATATATGTACACACACAATCAGTGATGCAGCTGTAGCACTGTGGTTGCCTAAGATTGTAAATGACTAGAACTAATGAATATTGTTGTGTCTCTGTTTGACTCTAACTTAATCTGTTTCAGGTATAATTATGGAAAGACATACAACATTGTCTTGGGAGCCAACCAGGTAGTCCCAGGGATGGAAGACGGACTGATGGAAATGTGTGTGGGAGAGAAAAGACACCTTGTTATCCCTCCTCACCTCGGCTATGGGGAGAGAGGAGTCAGTAAGTCACACACACACACACACACACACACACACACACACAAACAACCTCACACACAAAATTTAGTGCAGTATTAACGGAAAGATACATATATATATTTTAAAGGTTCAGGGGGGTGAGTTTTTAACTGCTCCAAGCCAATAAAACCTACACTGTAGAAGAAACAGAACATATTGCATTCATACAGTGGTGCTAACAAACATACACCACTCTCATATCTGTCCATTAAATGTGAAGCTACAACCAGCAGCTGGTTAGTTTAGCTGAGCATAAAGAAACAGTTAGCCTGTGTGGATTTTGGGAAATTTGAAAATATGAAAGTTTCACTTCTAATGCTGTTGGTGTGTTGTTGCGTAGCTGACGAAGTTCCAGGGAGCGCTGTGCTGGTGTTTGACGTCGAGCTGGTAGACATGGAGGAAGGACTTCCTGAAGGTTACATGTTCATCTGGAACGACGATGTGTCACCTGACCTCTTCGCTGAGATGGACAAAGACAAAGACGAGCAGGTGGAGCCCTCTGAGGTATGTGATAACCTGCCGGTGCTGTACATCTGAAACATGTTCCCTCTTTGCTACGGTCTGTAATTTACTCCCTCTTCCATCCCTCCTTTGTGTCCGTAGTTCACCGACTACATCATGCGACAGGTGAACGAGGGTAAAGGCCGCTTGGCTCCTGGCTTCGATCCTTATCGCATCATTGACAACATGTTCTCCAACCAGGACCGCAATGGAGACGGGAAGATCACAGAGGCAGAGTTCAAACTTAAAGCAGATGAATCCGCCGCCCATGACGAGCTATGACGGGACTGAGTGTTAAACACAGATCAGGGTGTAGGGTCAGACAGTGGGGGGTAATAATACATATGTGGGTGGTAGAATAGAAAAAGATGGAGTTGTATGTGTAAAGTGAGCCAGTGTGGAGTGAGAAATGTGCTTAGAGATTTTTTATTTTTATGATGGTCATGGGACATCTTGTCCTTAAAGAGCCAAATGAGTCTGATAAGAAAGATGCAGGATTTAGCAGTGAGAAGATTATTTTGAGAGCTAAATATTGGAAAGAATAATAATTTGAGGACTTTAATGACAATGAATGACTTCTTCTTTTACCTCCTCTCCCATAAAGTTCTTGTCTTGTTTTTTCGTGACTTTTTATTTTATTTTGAAGGGTACAAAAGCACTCCTGTGAGAGAGAACAAACCAAGGCCTCACTCCACAATCTCTACATTCAACACACATTCCTGACTTTTATTGTTGTTAACATTTTCTGGTTGTGTGTGAAACTTTCTTTTCACTGGTTATCAGCTTGTCTCCGAAATGTCTAACAGTCTTCCAGGAGCACCAAGTCAGGCCTCAATCACTGTAATATACTGAGATGGAGGAAAGTTACGTTTATGTCTGAGAGTTAGTGCTCACTTGCTAATCAAATTAAAGTGATCCTTTTGAATGAGAGCTTTAAGTTCTATCTACATAGTTCACACCTTCCACCTTCCACTGTTTTATGTTTCAATGTCAGGATGCCTTCTGTGTTTTCTGCTGTTCAAATCATCCAAAATGACACTGAAAGTCAAAAAATGTTGTTGAAGGCTTTCCAATCTTTCAGTCACTTTTGGTCAACTAGTTTTTCCGTTGTTTGTTTCTGCCTTCATACAAATGTTAACACCAGATTGTGTGTGTGTGTGTGTGTGTGTGTGTGTGTGTGTGTGTGTGTGTGTGTGTGTGTTTAAGAGAGAGAAAAGAGTGTGTGAATGTTGTTTTTGTTTTACTTTTATAATCAGGAGAATACTGAGGCTTGTTGTTGATAATGTTAGCGCAATGTTGAATTTGATTAAATGACCTGACCTAGATATATGTCTATATTGTGTCTCTATTTGCTTTAGACACTTTTTACTTGCTTCACTTTTATTGCATTTACCTTAATACTCCTCTGATTTAGTACCCCGGTGACAATGTCAGACTCATGACTTTTCTTTTTTTTAGTATGTACCCTGGTCCATACAGACGATGTAAACAATCATTACTCTAGAAGCCAAATATCTTCTGTAAAGCAGAGTTGTTGCAGAAAATAGCAGAGCTGACATGTAAAATATAACACAAGCAAATGAGGACAAAACAAAATTAAAAAAACATACAGGTATTAGCGTAGAAGATAAAATACAAATTAGAAACCAAACTGTCTAACTATAACATGAGTATAATATAAGTGTTTGGTGTAAAAAGGGGGTTTTCATTAAACAAATGATGGCTGTATGTATAATGTTTCCATTCATCTGCTATAGCTGCCAACTGTCACATATGAGTCAACAGGAAATACAGTCCTGCACTATGACGTCTCAGAGATCTTCTGCTCACTTGTTGGAGCAGTTTTTCTCAGTTTGCTATTATTTTAAGCCTTTCCTATACGTGTTAGAAACAATGTGAGTGTATTCTGTTACGTTTGGACCCAAATGCATCGACTGCTGACAGTTCGGTTAGAAAAAGATGTAGATGCGCTGTGCTGGTATGGGACTGTAGCCTCAAGCAGAGATCAGGAGCAAGCTACATAGATTTTATTTTTTATTTTCAAAACTTGTGTTCTTCAGCCCCAACCGATGCTGACTCAAGTGACATAATTGGAGGCAGACTTCAATAAGCTGCCCCTGGAGCCACAAAATACTTCATACAGCTTTTTTCACAGATGGAGTGGTACTCCCTTCAAGACCTGTAGACTGACTTTGATGTGTAAATGCGGTTCCCATTTCAAGCACAGAGAGGAGGATTTTGACAGATAAAAGTCTCCCTTTTTGTCTTCCTGTTGTTTGGGTCATGATTCATGATGCAGACTTTGGTTTGGAGCATCCAGATGAGGCAGACATTGTAAATCAGTTCAAGCTTGAAGGTGAGGGCTTTGACATCTGTGGCAGAAAGTCAGGAGGTAGAGGTCAGTGTGTTTTACAGGGACATTAACAAGGGTTGTGAAAATACATTTACAGATTTATCCAGATTAGAGGTGGAAATTCACTGTATTCACATTGTAGTGGGGAAAATGCATTCTGGGTTCAGGCTCTGCAGACAAGAAGCATTTCACACCCTTTGTGTAGCTTGAGTAGTGATCTATGCTAGGTATAGACATCTATATGCATACTCACACCTCTTTGATGTCATCTCACCCAAGTTAAGGATAATGAGTTCTTACAAAGGACAGGCAACCCTTAATGATCTGTAGGCGATAAGCTTTGATGTATGGAGTGTGAGTAAAAGGTAAGGCAGAGAGGTAAACCAGGTGTAGGAAGTGAGACGTGCGAGCAAAAGCTTAATCACAATAAGGGGATGTAGGGAAAAGGGGTGAAAATCAGAGTAAGAAAAATTCTCTTTGGTCATCTGTGAGTCTGTGTCACTAATTTGGGTACCTTCAGTGGGAGTGTGTGGTTTCACACTACAGTGTGATAGCTGAAATTTAAGTTAGTTGCACCCCAGTAAGCAACCCACTTACTATTCAACGTACGATATGTAATTTCTGCCACTAGGGGGTCTCTCACATGAAAACAGCGACAACACAAAGTTTTATGACATACATAAAATACTCTCTCAAGAATGTTTTTTTGGAAAACGGTGCTTGTCCCTCAAAATTCAAGATGGTAACCATTTTCAAGATGGCCACCATTTCTGTCAGAGCTCAGTTTAATGTGTTAAGGAAGGTTTTGTTTAATAGAGTGAACGTCATTACACAACCAGGGCACACTGGTGACTTCACTGCTGTGGAACTCAGCATGGGGTTCAGTGTCAGCTGTTTTACTTACACTGTAGTTCTTGACTAGTAGTAATAGTATAGCTAAGTTTAGTGTCCTAAAGTTCCATCAAATTGGCGCAATTTCCTGAGACATAATGATAACAAAACAGACCTCTTTCACTTTCTGGCTGACAAGATTGCTCAAATGACTGTGCCAAACATAGCTGTTGTAACCAAGGGACCCGATGTCTTGAGTACATCTGAAACCTGTCGCGATCGTCTAGACAAATGTTTACATGAGGAAGGTGATAGCCGCATCTTTGTACATGCCAAACATGCCACAGAGGAGGGCAGCAAATCCATAATGATCAAAGCCAATGACACTGATATTCTTGTTATAGCATTGAGCATCTTCCCATCCCTCCAGGATCTTGGTCTCCAGCAGCTGTGGGTTGCATTTGGGCATGGTGTGAGCCTACGGTGGATTGGTGTTCATGACCTGTACCATGTTATTGGGCCAGTTAAGACCAAAGGCATTCTATTCTTTCACGCCTTTACAGGCTGTGATACTGTATCAGCCTTTCGCAACAAAGGCAAAAAGACTGCCTGGCAAACCTGGGACATTTACCCTGAGGCCTCTCTCATCTTCAGCAAACTAAGTCAATACCCTCCTGTTCTGACTGATAGTGACCTGGAAATCCTTGAGAAGTTTTTGGTCCTGCTGTATGATCCATCAAACACAGCTGTTAGTGTAGATGAGGCTAGACTTGACATGTTTGCCCGAAAGCAGAGGCCATATGAAGCCATTCATCCAACAAGAGCAGCTCTGCTTCAACACACTAAACGTGCCGCATATCAGGTAGGCTGCATATGGGGTCAAGCAACCCAGTGTCAGCCAGAAGCAGAGAGTCCTGCTGACTGGGGATGGAAAAAGCTTGGTGAACAATGGGGGGTCTTCTGGACAGCAATTGCGCCAGTTGCACAAAGTTGTGAACAACTAGCCAAGTGTGGCTGCAAATCAGAGTGCCGTGGAAGATGCAAATATTTTAGATTGTATGGTGAGTATTAGTATCAAATTTTATGCTTGTGTAGTGGAAATTCTTCTCAAAGTTGAGAGGTGCTAAGTCTCTGAAGAACTTTCAAGCCGGTGTGTTAATCAAGTCACTTTAATTCATGCAGCATGGAGAGAAGGTCACATAGTGAATGTTCTCTCTAGACTTCCAAAATGCTCTCTCTTATATACATTTCAGTACATCTCATTACATCACAAACAATGAAACACCCCTGTTTGTCTTGCAAATGTTACTCCTGTAAATCCAGGTCTCTCTCACCAAATGGTCCTTTGATCTGTGACTTGCTCTTCCTATCATAAAATTCTATCTATTCTAATCTATTTTATTACCCCCAAATCCTGTTTCTTTCCCACACTTGGATCACTGTTTGAATAATTGATATAATAAGCATTGAATAGCAATGGCGATCTTGAAAAATGGCCGCCATATTGAATTTTTGAGTGGCCAACGCCTGTTTCCAAAATAGTGGCCCTTAGAGAGTATCCGTGCCAAATTTAATGCCTGTATACCAAAGTGAACGATTTTTTTTACTAATCTGCTGCACAATTATGGGTTACAACAAACTGGCTCTTTGGGGCTCTGGTATTGTAGGTTGCAAAAAGTTAAAGGAAAAGGGGGCATTGTTCATGCCAGCACACCTTTGACCTGCTGGTAGGAAGAATACCCCCTTTTCCTGCCTTTTGTTGGGGAGATTCACTCACTACAGCAGCTCCAGATACAACGCAACAATCATGTAATATTTGTTGAGTACCTGATCATTCTCCACCATTGATATACGGTCTCTTGGTCTAGTGTATAAAAGTGCTTTGTTTCATTTGCTCTGGGTCAGCTCACAGACTCTGCTCTCTGCCTGTCAGTCCACCAGTATGCCGGCAGGCTTCAGTGAACTCACACCATCACAGTAAACCTGGACTTGAATAGTTTCTTCAAACACAAGCACTACTGGATATTTTTAGGGCCTTCATACGATCATGTATTGATTATGGGCGTATGGGAATATATATATTCAGAACATATATACAGAATACAGCTCAGATCTCTAAGATTCAGTATTGATGCAATCAAAACAACTCCTACTAATGTCTGACTGGTGGATAAATTACCATTAGAGTGTAAGTTTAAAGTTGTCACTGGCATATTGGGTTAAACCGAAGGGATCTGGAGAGGAACAACCTGCAACGGAGGTGCTGTGTGATTGTTGGAAATATTCAAAACAAAAACAGTTCACTGAGAAAGAAGGGTAAAAAGAAAATGTTTGCAAGAAGCCTGCGAGTTTAATGATTAGAGAGCACAGGCCCAGCAGGTGTAAGATGGCTGAACGGGAATCAGACAAGACACCATTGGAATAGGAAATCTCCAGTTGGAGAAATTTACATCTCAGGTCAATAAAAGTTGAAAAGTGGGCAGGACTTATGACAATGTTATATAACACTGAAGAGTATAAAACGAGATGCTTTGAGATGAGAAACTCAGTCTTTCCATGAATGACTCAGGCTTTGTTTGTCTGTCAAGATAATAAAGCTCTATCTGCTGCCAACTTTGATGAATCCTGCCTGTTATTCTTTTCACCCTAGGAATAATACTATTTGACCTAATTTGGATTTAATAATCTGACATTGTTGGATCCAATATTCTGATCAAGAAAACTTTTGACAGAGAACCAACACTAACTATCTATCTATCTATCTATCTATCTATCTATCTATCTATCTATCTATTGATCTATCTATCTATCTATCTATTGATCTATCTATCTATCTATCTATCTATCTATCTATCTATCTATCTATCTATCTATTGATCTATCTATCTATCCTGTTACACACTCCGGTACAGTAGGTGGCGATAGGAACCTTTACAAGTTGGTTTCCGGCCTACCATTAAATCAGAAGAGGAGGAGGAGAAGGAAGAAGAGGAAGAGTAGGAGGAGGCGGCACCCTTGTCCTCTCATATAAGATAAGCGGTTTCACCACCGCGCAACTCAAACCTCTAACATCCTCCGTGTGTTCACAGTGCAGCCCTGCAACCAGATAATGCACTTTTTAAAAAAGTTTTTTTGGATAAATCTTCAGACTACGACGTGACTTTCCTGAGTGGAGAGAAGTTTAATTAAGTTTTTTTGTTGCGGGCAGGAACTTTTGACCATGGAGGACAACATCTTGGGCTGCCAGGTGGGTGAAAGCGTGAGACCGCTGCTCAGCCTCACTGTGCGGCTGCGACAGTCCGATTTTGGATGGGGGGAAAAAAAAGAAGAAATGAGATTTAGCTCATTTGGATGTGTGTGCGGTCCTCTGTGCTCGCTGTGCTTTAATTGTGCTCAGTAATTATTAATTGCGCTACAGATGTGGAAAGTTTCATTGTTATTGGTCTCATTCCTGGACGCACACACTAATGTTAAAGGGTCTGTTGCCAACACACTGGTTCTCCAGCTTATTCTGGGCCAGAGACCTCATTATCCTAGTCCCTTAACTTCTCATCACTAAAACTGTAGGTTACTTGGCTTCCCTAAATATTAATGATTATTATTGTAGCGTAATTGTTTTATGGTATTTGAAGGAAGACAATAAGTGCGTAAACAACTTATAATAATTAGTATGTAGTCGGATGATTTGTAACACAAGAGTGAAAACAAGAAAATAACAAATATGTGTGACATTTAAACTTAAAAAAAATGTGGTGGTGTAAAATGAAAAGGGAGATATGCTCAGACAAGATGAAGATCTAATGGCTGATTATGGATGGAGGGGTTGAGGTGACAGTGTATACTGTCATGTATGGAGGACATTTTCCCTGTAATTGGACACCAATATATTCGATTGGATGTTAAAGGGGAAAAAGAAAAATATGTAGCTTTTATGATGTTTTGTGCAGAGAATAAAACCAGACATCCATTCATGAACATAGATCTGTTCATGAATGGTTTTATTGTCAAAGGAATAAAAACATTAATCCATATTATTATTATTATTATTATTATTATTATTATTTATTTATTTATTTATTTATTTATTTATTTTTTTAAAGATTTTGAAATTCCCAGTCCGTTTGTGTCAATGGTGTGTTGGTGCTGCATTAAAAAAGGTACCAAGGACAAAAAGTCAAACCCAAACACTCGACCAAATGTCAAGGAAGGAGAAGAAAAACTAATCTTATCTGCGTTAAGCAGAAAATACAACCTGTTGAGGAACAGGGTTTTCTTTTAATGTGCAGCTCTCAGAATCAAAAACTGAGACTTTCCTGCCGGTGACGGCATATTTATCAATCCGCCAACTGTAACACTCACAGATCGCAAAGAAAGAAAGAAGGAAAGTGTATGCAATTGTAGTTCACATTCGTCACCTTGTAGAAGAAAACAATAATAGAAAAAAACAAAAACACAAAGAGGATTCCTCAATAAGAAAGTGCCAACAAGTTAAACAAGCAAGTTAAAGTTAGTATTAATTGAGGTGGTATTCTCCTTATATTCATATATCATATTACTCATTTTTGTTCTCATTTTATTAATCATTTTTATTAATCATTTTTATTTGATTATTATACTCATTACTTCAATCATTTATTCTACTTGTATTCATTTCATTTAATGATTGTCAATTGTTCATTTATGCTCTACTCCTGTGTGCATTGTTCACCATACTATTAATATGGGGTCATAATCTCTTGCTCTGGGAATCATTATCCATGTTGTTACCTATCACATGTCATCATGATTTAAAAAGTATTGCTTGTTTAGGAAGAAGAAGAAAATAAGAAGAGTTGTTTTGTGGTTGTGACCGGCTCTGTTAAGGCTAAGATGGCTGAAATATTAATGCTCAAATTACTCCCCAAATGGTTGACGCTGATGAAGGAGGGTGAAAAAGCAGAAGCTTTAAAGCTTTAGTGGAGCACTCCATAAAGAGGTTTACTTTCCACCGCTTGTGGTCTTGGGTTCACAAGCGGTGGGTTGAGTTTCAGACCAGACAGGTGTTTGAGGATAGCAGGTTTTTGATCTTATGCGTTTTTACAAAAAACTTAGACAACTTTTAAGATTTTTTTTTTTTAACTTCGATTATCGTCTGAACCTGTAACACAAGACTTTGAACTGAAGAAATAATAAAAAGCACTTTAAAGTTAAAGTGAACCTCTCAGTTCCTTTTTTTCCTTTGAGAATAACTATATGAAAACCATTAATGAAGAGTTCTTTAAAAGAGACACGTGAGAGGTAAGCTTCAGCACATCCTCAGTGCTCATACTCCTGCTTCAAGTCAGGAATGAAGCCAGTTAGCAAGGTGTGGATGTTCAGGGGCCCACAGTAGCAACCGGACAAATCTTAGGGACAGAGAAACTAGCCACAATTTTCCCTGAGGGCTACGGGCCCGCTAGCCGAGTGCTACAGGTGGCAGATTAATGAATGTACCGTCGCCGGCGGGAAAGTCTCAGTTTTTATCTTTTTTCACTTTAGACGCTTCTGAGAGGAGCCAGATCTAAAAGAGAGACTTTCGTCCTCAGCCTCCCTCAGCAGCCCGTAGCGCTCAGAGAAAATATTTAAATGCGGCTACTGTTTACTGAAAAACTGGCTTGAGTCCAGTTGATGCCTGTTGGTAAAGGCAAAGAAAAACTGTCTCTGCCAGTTGTCTAAGTTTTGCAAAAGTGTCAGATTGAAAACCCACTATCCACAAACACCCCTTGTGTTTGGGGACCTTTTTGAACTTCCTTGCGCAGAATTGAGCTTTGCGGTCACTCCAGTGCTGCTCTCTTTTACATTGATCTGACAATATTGTCAACCATCTTCCTGAACAGAGCCGGTCACATCCACAAAAAGAAGCACATCTTATTTTTTCTTAGTAAACAAGCAACACTCTTTAAATTCTAATAATGTGTTAAGTAATGGTATGGTGAATAATGCACACATAGGTACTGGCAAAATCAATGTTTTTTACTACAAGTAGACAAATGGGAACAACATTTCATAAATCTCTCTTCTTTCAACAAACCTAACACTTTCTGAATTCAAGTTTCTCTCTTTTATACCAAACTAAGACCTTGTTAATCCATCAAACACACTTGATTCAAACTCAACAGAAACAAATAAAACTCACCAAATGGAGTTACAGTTGCAAGTAGTGGAGAATAATCAGAAGCAGACACAAGTTCTTCTGGAAAATAGACTTTTATTACGGGTAACAAAAACCTAGTTCTTCTGAAGAGCAACTGAACTGAGAGTCTGAGTGTTTGATCAAGGTAAAGATTGCTGATGTTATAGTCCAGTACTGTACAGATATTCAGTATTATTTCATCATTTTAGTCCAGTTATTCAAGTCTTGTAAAGTGTGAAGATTAATAACTTTCTCCAGCTGCTACCAAGTCTCAGAACAGAGTCCTCCTTTTAAGTCATTTTACCATAATGGATCATTTTTCTTTTTATTAAAATTGATTTACTAAATTTGGATTGAAAATCGTCCAGGAACCGGTATTGAAGTTGAGGTTAGGGATGTTCCTGGCTACTAATTTCACCGTTAAGTTGCATAGAATATTAAATTAGTCTAAAAGTAACTCCCTGTTCACATAAGCCACCTGAGCAGTGCTTGCAGCAGAGCGCGAGCGAGGGAGAGCGCAGTGGCGGCTCACTTTGGAAATTCTTTCACAAGTGAAGTTATGTTAAATAAGATTATTACAGTGCTTTTACTTTGAAAAGGAAGTTTAAACTGTACTGAAATATGTGGATATGACTACCAACAGATCCTTTCATTGGGCTCTTTTGCTGTGAAACGCGCACGGCTTGCGGTAAAAATAGACCTCGACTCTCTAGTGAAGCATCGCTGCAGACACGGCTGAGAAAATCACGATGTTCTGCCACACAGACGCGGGTAGTGTGAACAAGCCATAAGAAAATGCTCAGTAATCAGCTTCTAAGTTGAACACGATTTAAAGACTTAAGATTTAAACACGAACCACACACACAGCCAGGCTTCATAAGTTACTGCTAGATACCCCAGTGCATTTGATGCATGGTCGGTTTGTTCCATTATCAGGATTTAAATGTTAATAGATGCGTTGGGATACAACTGAAATGGGCAAGAGGATACTTATTTGTTGGCCAGGGTCATCCAAACCTGACGCCATAGGTGCAGGGCACATTCTGTGGCTGGATTCTCCTTCACTTGACGCTGAAGCAATGGGAGCAGCGGGGCGTACATTAGTTTGTTTGTTTTTTTTACACCAGTATTGGTTCTGAAAAACATCCCAACAATATTATGATGTGCACTCCATGTAATTGTATTTTTATTTATTATTTATTTAATGCATAAGTGGTCTTTGGACCCGTACGGAGTGCAAGGCTATTGGGGCTATGTGTTCAAGTACAAAACTGGTGAGCTCTGGCTGTATCAGAGAGATGAGGAAAAACAGTGACTCTGACTCTGACTGCCGTTGGGATGCTGAGTTCCAACGACTGTGCGGTGATGAAACTGGTGATACCGAATCAGCGTACCTTAACCAGCCGGACCAGGCATCCTCCGGATCAAGAAAAACAGTTATAAACTGTCAAACTCAGTTTGACAAGAAGTGTGGAGTATATCTCTCTTGCATCACTGCGTAGAAGGGGCAACAGACATCCTAGGAACTGGTATCAACCTACTCCCTATGACGGACATTTGCCCCTGTATAAATGCCGGAAAAGGGTCCGACAACATCATGAAACATCCAACCAACTCATCTCAAAGACTGTTTCGCTTCCAAACTAAGATGACCGGGCTCAAGAATAGTTACTATGCCAAAGCTGTTAGCATCACCCTACATGATGACTCTTTACCGCAGCTTCTTTGCAACTTTTGGAAACTCTTGTTTTTTGATTTTTTTTTCCCCTTTTTAATTTTAATTTTTTTTTTTTTTTTTTAAGCACATCAACCATGTAAACACAGGTTTCGAATGTTGATCTTCTCTCCCTGGGCCACCTTAGAAGTAAGATCAGCAGTGCTGAGCCTGTCCAGCTGCTGGAGGTGATGGGGTGGAGGAGGAGCGTTCCCTCAACAAGACAAATGTTGAGGGAATATAAACCCTTATGAACAGTAGATCTAATGACCAGTGCCAATATTGGTATCAGGCAGCACCGAAGACCATATCTGACCAAGACACAAGTAGTCTCCGTTCTGTTTGGTTTCACCTTCTTTTGTTTGCTAGGCAGGCAAAACATTACGAAACAATCAAACACGATAAAAGTATGGTTTAATAGTTATATTGGCTAATATCTGGATGGAAATGGTTATATCTCCAACACAGATATGAAGTGATTGGATTAGTCATGGATTCCAAAAAGGGAGAAATCCAATGGTTTGAACAATAACAAAGAAAGGGAAACAGATCAGATATAAGCTGTGATGAAATTAGGGGAACAAGTGTAAGTCAGTTACCAGTTCAGGCTTGACTCAACCTGTTTTTACTCGTCGCACCAGCCCAGTGCGTCGTGCATTTGCATCTCCATTACAACTAGCCTACCCACTTGCAGGTGTGTCTTAATAGGCAGAGAGAGCCGCGAAGGTTGAGAGAGCTTGATTTGAATGAAATGAGAACAAAAGAACAGAAACCGCTAACTAAGCTCTACTCACACATTTAATTTCTCATAAATTCTTCTGAATAAAAGTCCCTGGTTATTTTGTTATTTAAATGATTTTATTAAGCAGCAAAATCAGGAAGTGAAACACAACACACACAAAGTACAACAGCAGTAGCTTAACACAACTCATACAGCTGAAAGCGAAAATGAAATAGTAAAATAAAGTGTACATCTGAAAGTGCAAACAGGGATGCAGGAGAGAAACTAAACTTCAAACCACAGAGATCTAGTTAGAAGTTACCAAAGTACGGAATGCTCACTCACTGAACTGAAAATACAGCTAATTGTTCATCTCACTGACGAAAACTGAGAACGGTCGATTGTGAGGGTAACCCAGAGAGCTGAGAATTCAGTAAAGATACAGTTGTAAACTGAAAGCTTAATTCCTACCCTATTATGTACAACATGGATGTTTTTGTGACACATAATTGAGAGGGAGCATACAGTCGAGAGAGAGGGAGGGGTAGAGATGTGGGCTGGAGCACATCTGTCTGGGCTTACGTTCATGTATATGTTTAGGACTGCTCCCTCATAGTGAAAAGATCTGAGATATTGTTGCTTTTCACCATGCAGCCACACACACACACACACACAAACACACTCAATTCAGCGAGTCAAAACGATCACAAAAAAATTTGCGTAGGGCATAGCTGCTGTTACAAAGTGTGTGTGTTCTTCAATTTTCTTGACAACCGTTCATCCGATCGAGTTCATACTGGGCGGGTGTACTTCTGGGAACCCCAGAAAGTGCAGTGTCAAATTTGGTGCAATTTGGACCCATGATACTTTCAGTGCTAATAAACTTTGAATAAACAAGCGATCGGGGCTCTGCATTAAATGCCACACGATTTGCACTCAAATTATAAACTACACACTAGGCGGTATGTCAGGACTGAGTTCACTGAGCTGTCAAACTTGAGATGTTTTTCAATAGAGAAATGGGACTCAGCCTTAGGAGGAGATATTGTTGCAAAACAGCTCTGTTATTTCCCATTATGCAACTAATGTAATCTTTTGTAGGAGCTGCGGGTAGGGAAGATCAAACTGTCAAACCCAAATAAGAATCCAACAACGCCAACCTGCCTTCCTCCCCACTTAAATCACAACATATCTTTCTCTCTACGTTGCCTACTGTTTCACTGGGCTTTTGAGTCCTAAATCCTAAATCGCCTGTTCTGCTGTTTGTGCCATCAATGTAATTATGAAGATAAAAGTAGTTGAGGTTTCCTATTGTACCAGACAACAAACTTCCATTCATTTGAAATAAGTAACATGTCTCATGTAAATAAATGTCCCTTCTCTGTTTATAATTAATATTATTAATACTCTGTTGCTGATGCATGTTTGCTTCTTGTTTTTTCTTCTTCTTTGTTTTAGGTCTGCCTCACCAAATTTAAGTGGATATCTGATTTCAAGAAACATGCACGCTCAACAAAACATCGAGAGGTGGGCATTAAACTTAATGTAAACTTTACCTGGTTATTATTCTCTATAAGCATTTGCTGGAATAGGCACAAAATTATCACTCTGAATTAACCTGGTATCTCCAGACTAATGTGAATTAGTCAGTTAATTTTCAATATATCAAAGGTTGCAGGCCAAATTGCTTGCTCTGAATGAAATAGCATTGATCTACAACCAGTCAGAGCAACGACACGTGGCATAGCACAGTGACACATGCAACTTGGGGCAGTGCTTGGTCTGTTTTCAAACAGGAAAAAAAATGTCTGCCTTGTCAAACTTTATCAAATTACAGCGAAACACTACACTACATTACACTACTGTTTCTGAAAACTTTCATGGGGAGACATGGATTATAGCTTTTCCTTTTTATTAGGACAGCTGAAGATAGATGGGAAAGGAGGTAGAGAGGGATGTCACGCTGCAAAGAGCCACAAGTTGGATTCAAATCCAAGTTTGACCATTTAATCTGAGGTTTTTGAGCATGTTTGTAGCCCTGGACAGACCAGGAGCAGAGTGCACCAGCTGGGTGTACACCTAGGACCGCTAAGAGTTGAGACCTATTTATTAACACCCAGCTGGTGCACACTCTGATCACCATATTACATAAATGGTTGTGATTGGCCCCACCAAAACCAAGACTTGTGAAATTCTGCTTGAATAGGAGGGTGGCCGGACGTAACTGCCAGAACAAATGAAACATTATGAGTTTGCCAGTTTTTTCTATGTCTGCAAAAGTGCAAGAGATTGAAACCCCGTATCGCACGCCACCCTCGAGCGAGAACCCTTGTGGTCAAAATCTCTGAACAGATGACAGAAACCGAGAAACCAAGACCGAGAGCGGTAGAGTTCCACTAAGTTCTCTCCACTCTTGTGTGTGGCTAGCCGGCGCACGGAAGCTGTTCTGTTCTTCGCCTTCTTAGTGCAGTTTTGTGGTTTTGCAAGTTATTACTTAACTATGACTAATCTTATCTCATTAAGCAGGTGACATACTTGAATCATATATAAATGGATAACATTGGGTAACCAAAATTAATGATAATAATGAACAAATAAAAAGGTTATATGATAGGATTGAATAAGATTAATATGTTATGCATAGGTAGAGCATAACTACAAATAAAATTAGTGCATAGTCGATAACCAAGCAATAAGGTTATCAAAGTAATAAAAAGGATTATATAGTTTATTAAAACCACCTTATACTTATAACTTTCGAAAGTTCTCACTTTCTGATGGAGACCCACGTTTTATCGTAGGACATAAAGGTAAACTGACAAACGATAAAATCCTAATGAAAAGTATAAATAAGAAGAAACTGCAGGCAGTCGCTTTAACCTTCTCTTATCAATCAGAATAGGGTATGAATTTGACAATATTCCTGTCTGCACTTGATCTTTTGTGGAGGAATCTTCTTGTGTTTTTGGTATTTTTTTTTTTATCCTTGTTTTTTGTATAAACTTCTATTCTTTCAACAACTGTAATGCTGCATCATGAGACAGTCATCGTATTTCGGTTGCTACATTTGCCTGGGCATCAATAAACCACCTAAGCATGTTACCTCTGTTCTTTACCAACAGAAAATTAAAGAGATCTTCCAGGAAGGTACTTTTTTAAAACTTATTTGTTGTATTTCTTGGGTAAGGAAACATCTGTAACTCATATTCTATGTTCAGTTTATTAATCTTTGTCTTTTTTTTTTTACCTGTTTTAGATACATTCAAGGGTCATGGTAAGCCTGCTTCTTTTCCTTGTTTGTTAGCATTAAAGGTGCTTGTGAACACCTGTGTGGCCATCTTTAGGATAGCGTCTCACCGCTCTCTTAAGTCAGGTTTTCATCCTAGCGCAAATTAAATTAAAAGAATAATTTTGTTTCCATCCACTACTGGGAATATTAGGAATGTTACAGTCTTGATGTTTTTGTGGAAGTGGAAGATTCAGTGGGCATTCACATGCTTCATGTACGTCGTAACTTATTCTCCAAGTCTGTTTTTGCACTTTTGTCACATTTTTATTGTTGTGCTGATTTTATACACCAACGTTTCCTCTTCATCCAAGTGTAATTTATATCTTCTACTGAAATTTCATCTTTAATCGGCTATAATTGTGTTCAGAATGCAAACTTGTTTTTGTTCTGTCAATGCATCCGTGCAGAATCTTCTGCATCCGCATTGCGACGCGTCTGAATCTCCACACCTCTACCATCAAGTGTGACCATTTGGAAATCCTTTAAATATGATCAGACAGGACAATGTATAATCAAGTTTGTTGTAAACATACTGCAACAAGACTTCTGGCATATTGTTTAGACTGAGATGGTTCAAACACATTTGAATGTCAGCGTCATTTTGCCGATGTACATCACTCCATCTCTTAGTTTGAAGTTTAAGATTGGATTAGTGTGGGCTGATCTGCTGAAGTGTAATATTATTTTTCTTTCATTGTTATGTTTGCTCTACAGGCTTATTTCCCTACATTACTGTGATGGATTCTAGAGGAAAACATGACATCAAACAACCACTCATAGGTTTGTTAATTGTCTTTAAGTGCACATGTCAGTAACAGTTAAACATTCAGAGACATTCTTGACCTTATGAATAATAGTTTGACAAAACAATCCCTACTCAAGGTCTGCTTACTAGCTTTCTCCTGAGGTTGAAAGCTCTGATTCAAGACGGTATAATTTGTCAGATTATCTTGACAAGTATGTAATCGTGTGCTGTAATATCAGCAACCTGACTCTGTTTGACCTCAATGGAACAGACCCTTAATTAGTATCACTGGTAAACCCTCAGTTTACCGTCATATTTTATGTCAAAATGGCTGCTATGGAAAAAAGAAAGTAGCTTTAAGCAATGTGTCAGGCATCAAGTGGTCATGAATTTGTTTGGGTTATGTTATAGTATTGCTGAAGATGTAAATTATTGTTGGAAGTAATTAATTAAATGTACTTTCTTCCAGGCTTGTCTCTGCTGACGTTTTGTTTCAGCCTAGAGACAAAGATCTTTTTTTACTTGTGCCATGTCTGTGAGGAAAAGTGTCTACCAGACAGGATTGCGCGCCACCTCTCTTCTAGTGACCACTGCAGCAACTACTTTGTAAGTAACCGAACATGATAAAAATAAAAATGTTTTATAAATTTGAAAGCACAATTTAATTTGTATTTTGTTATTTCAGAACTACACAGACCCCAACGTACTGAGTTTGTCATGGCTCCCCAGCATGAATATGAGCGTCATTCTCAGGCCTGAGCTCACAAAGGAAGCCCATGAAAGAGGACCTGGACAACTGCAGGTTGGTACCCGGAGGTCAGGAATATAAATGTAAATGTATATTGAAAGGTTTAAGCAGCCATATTCAATAATTTTATATTAACAATGGCTGGCTGGCTGGCTGGCCGGCTGTTTTAGTTCACTCCACCACGACGTTTCTTACTATTGTTTTATGTTTACACAGCTGCTGTATACAGAGACTATGTTACAATATTTGAATTGGTGGGATGTAATCCCTTGTAAATTAGTCATTATTAGCTTTCTGTCCTGTTTTCACCACATTTTCTCTTTGCAGATGTTGGATTTACCTGGAAATATGCTGAAAAAGCTTGAAACAAGTACCTACTCTGAAGGTATATGATATTTTCAGTGTAATAATTGTTTTAAAATTGTATTGTTATAATTGTAATATGTTACTGACAATGATCTGATCATTCTTCCCAGTGATGCGGACTCTCAGTGAAAATGAGAAGCTCCTGAAGCTAATTGAAGGTGTGTGTGCAAATGTTTCTCTGGACTTATTTCTGCAGATGAATTAGTGAGGATTTGAGTGTAGAGTTCAGACTACTGCTTCACAAAATCAAACAGAACAGCATCTGTTTGTTTCTACTACCAGTTTATTCTTCACCTTGAAACCACAAGGTCCATTTAGTAACTATTCAAGCTTCAATCACATCAAATAATCCATGTTTCAGCTGTATAACATGATCAATATTGGCTTACGCTTTTAAGCTTTTAAAATGTAAATTTGAACATCTCCAAATCAAAGACAACTGGAAAAACTCAATCTGTTGATCTGTTGATGAAAATCATGTGATATGATCCAAAGCTCTAATGGACCTTGTGGTCAGACTGATCTTTCAATATACTGTATATCTGTAATCATATCTTACATTTACTCTTTATTATCATTCTTTATGGTCCATGCTTCATGGCTTCATAATCCTTCTAGCGGTCAAGCCAAAGAGGATGATGATACAAACATACCAAAGAGACAGCAACAGGAAGCATCCACTTCTTGGTCAGTAAATTTACCTAAAATAACACCTGATTATCTAATGTAATTCAGTTTTTTTGTATTAAAGCAATATTGATTTTTGGATGCCAAATTCTGTAGGTTATGAATTTTTTCTCAATAAGATGAAATCCTTCCTCAGCTTTCTTTTTTAAAATAAAATATCCTCTGTTCTTTCTTCTCTGATTCTCTTGTAGGCCTGCAGCACATTGTTGAATGTGTTTGTGTCGGACTGAACGAGAAGAGATACTACCTCTGCACGCTCTGCAAACTCACTTTGGCCGCCCACATGGTCATCAAACACGTCCTGAGCTTTGACCACATCTATTGTTACTTTGTAAGTAGCTATGACATTAGAGAGAATATTTCTTAAAAGAATAATTGACACAATCCACAGAAGAAATCTGATTAGGCAAAATTAGGTAATTAATTTTTTGAAGGCTTCTAAACCATAGCCTAATTCACATCAGTTTAATCTCCGTTGCAGAAAGCGTGGCACCCCTCTACTCTGCTGTCAAAGGAATGCTACAAGGATTACAACAAGGCCTTAACCTCCATGATACTTGATTTTGCCAAGCAGACAGAGGAGATTCATGGCACTGCAAACGCTGATATGAAGGTAATAGTCTACAAAGTCACTAGTAGTTCCTAATTGATGCCTTTGTTCATATTAATGTGAAACTGAATGACTTTGTGTTGCAGCAAGTGAGCCTGGAGCCTGCCAAATTCACCTCAGTGAATTTCACTTGTTATGCAGAAGGTTGGTATTTACTCTTTGTGCCTCAGTTTATGTTGTATTCATCTGAATGATGTAATGATTATTGAGCCTCTGGTGGCTTTTAGCTTTGAAGGAACTGGAATCCATCACAAAGGAAAACAAGGAGAGCAGCTTGATTACGAGCATCAAACCAGGGAAGAAACTAGGTATGTTTGATTTCAGTGTACTCATCTCTCATCAGTTTGAGGCTCTTAACGCTGGTTGTTGTTATGTGAAACTGTCTGCTGTGTGAAATGTATGTTACACTACATGCAGGTTATGATTATTCTATTAATTTCAGAAGCATTATAGTAAATTACAATGAATCACTATGTTTTGATGTTGTATAGTATCTTTGGAAAGTTAAAATAATACTTTCTGTGTATCTGTCATAGATGGACAGTAAATTCTTTCTCAGACTGTTGAATTAAAAAGTAATCACACTCCAGAGAAGAGACAATGTATTAAATGTATTTTTTTGACAACTCAATACTTTGTCTTTTCTTTTGCAGAGCGTCTTGCTGTGTCAGCTTTGAAGGAACTGGAATCCATCACAAAGGAAAACAAGGAGAGCAGCTTGATTACGAGCATCAAACCAGAGAAGAAACTAGGTATGTATGATTTCAGTGTAAACTAGTTTTGTCCAGTGTATGACAGTGTTCAGTTTGAGGCTCTTGACGCTGGTTGTTATTATGTGAAACTTTTTTGGACTCCAGAGAAGAGACGATGTATTAAAATGTATTTTTTTTTTTTAACAACTCAATACTTTGTCTTTTGCTTTGTAGAGCGTCCTGCTGTGTCAGCAACTTCTGTAGCATTTTTGTGCAAACTATGCTGTCAGGTAATACATTTTAATTTTAATAGCCTGGCTGAGATTGTGTCGTTTAATACGATATTGTTTCACCCTTGTGTCATCCTTGTTGCAGGAGTGCAATGTGATCTTTGAGACGACAGCTCAGTATTTCAAACATGTGTCACAGAGAGAACACAAAGAGGTATCTCAACATTATATCTTCCTACAGAAAGTATAAATAAAAGGATTTCTGATTATTGATGATATGTTACAAACTATGTGACCTGACATAAGATCTGTTCCCAATATTCTTCCCCAGATGTTGGAGAAATTCTTTGTCAAAGGTATCTTCACATTTCTCTGGGTTTGTATATGATTGCATAATGTTAAAGCTCTTTTAAGTTAATGATTATTTTCCTCTTTCTTGCAGATGAAAGTGACGATGGTTGTGCCCAAACAGGTACACTTTCCTCACTTTGAGTCATGAGTTTAAAATAATACAGAAATCTGTAAATCTAATACAATCTTTTTATATCTTAGAACAGATTTAGCTTCATGCAGTTAGCTTTTGATTTGATCCTACTCATGTGCAGTCTCAGCATTTGTTTTTCCATTTTCTTTACAATGATTGAATGTATCACAATTTCCAAAGATTGTTTTGTGTTTAGTGTTGATGCTTAAGTTGAATATAATTTAGGGAAAATTTTATTTTGGTATTTCATTCAGCTCTCTCTCTTAACCCTCGATCTTAGTTAGGAAACCCAGACTGGGCTTCTTCAAGTACCTCAAAGAGAGGTCGGCGCAAAATCAACCAGCTATTGGTGAGCACTTATGTCTGATCATTGGGTTTTTGTACTGTGTTAAACTAAAAATGTATAGTTTCTTATTGTGTTCATGTTGTTTGTGTGTTTAGGTGTATCCCTGGTTGTGACGTGTGTCAGCACTCAGGTTCAGGTGGAACCTATTTACGTGTGCTTTGCATGTAAGGACTGTTTCCCTGATTCCGTTGTCAGACAACACTTCAACTCTCGAAAACATCTCATAAACACAATGGTGAGCTTTGATGCTGGAGCCTTATTTTTTTTTTTTTAAGAGGGCTTTTCTTTCTTTCTTGCAAATTCCACCCATTACTCACATGAAATTGTCCTCAAGGTGGCGCTGTAACAATCAAGTTTGTTTTTTTTTCTTGAAAACTGCTTGTCTTAGACCTTTTTATCTCTCAATTAATTTGCATATTTGCTCCAATGGTCTTCTGCTCAACGTTTTAACAGTCAGATATACTCTAGCCTGTGTCATTGTCTCACACTGTGACAAGGTTTATGGATAGCCATGCAGTGTGCCCTTTTTTTTCCTCTTTTTTTTCTTTCTTTTTTTCAATCCCTGCTAAGGACAGCGCTCAGAGATGAAGGTGAAAATAATGCCAAGGTACCCAGGTGCTCCCAAACTGTACCTGTCACATCACAACTTCTGTTTCAGAGTCCACGTAGAAAATAATAGTCATGCAGGGCCCAGAAACACAGTAATATACAGCAGACTCCTGTGGAATATTTTGGCTTATAATAACCAGCTTTCATCTTAAATTCTTAGCTGTATCAGAATCCCTGGCGGCTCCCTTTTGGCTGGGAGAATCGCCTCGATGTGAAAGGCTTGACAGCAGTGGCATGGAGAGAAGAGGAAGAAAGAAGACTAAATCAGATGACACTGAAGGTGAAATTCAATGTTTTCTTACTAAGATATTTACAATCTGTGTAGAAATCCTTTTACCAGCTTTATACCATACAAACAAAATATTATGACTATAACCTCTGTGTGAAGAGGAATAAGGATACAACACAGCATGCTGTAGGAGAAATTCTTACAAAATATTGAGAGTTGCTAGCTCTCTGAAGAATTACGAACCTAGTGTGATGAATCAAGTTCCTTTATTCATGCAGCATTGAGAGAAGACCACAGCATAGATGTTCTCTCCTGACTTCCAGAATGATCTCAGTTAAATACCATCCAGTACATCCAAGAACCCCTGGTCACTTATTAACAGTACCCCTGTAAATCACATGCGAAGGTTTTAGGTCTTCAATACAAATGGTCCTTTGATCTGACCATGTGACTGTAAACACATTCTTACCAGATGTCCTCCTACCATAAAATCATTAACCCCCTAAACAACAAAATACATTTATCTAAAACATTAATCTCCCACAATGCGATATCACACCCGCACGTGGCCTGACTGACAGAATACACCTCTATTCACGCCTAGGCAGATGACCTGTGGTAATGTAACGTGGCCCTGCTACCCATGTAAACAACAGTCATTGCAGTTATTCCTCAGTTTAATAGCTGCTCTTCACAAAGCCCAGTGTTGTACCTTGTTTCTCTACTTCAAGGAACAGAAGCATAAAATATAAAATATGGGAAATGTTCATATTATAATATTCATGCCCTTCAGAGCAGCCACAGAATCAGTCCAACCTCCAGCACTCTCGTGCATCATAGACCCAGAAGAAAGGTCAGAATGAGCCACTGAAGATGTCACATCCAAACGCTAAAACCAAGCAAAAGTGTGCGGTCATGACCACCTAGCTGCAGCACAGATCACTGACAGATACCCCTTTAAAAAAAAGCCAATGGTGTTGCCATGCCCCTGATCAAATGTGCCCTCGCAGCATGAGGCAACACAATCCAATCCAATCCAATCCAACTTTATTTGTTAAGCACTTTAAAAACAACCGAAGTTGACCAAAGTGCTGTACAGGAGAATAAATAGGACATCATAAATGTAAAAAGAAGAAGACCTCTGTTGCTGTAATCCAGGGCAAGAGCCTACGCATTGTAGTGAAAAATCTACTGTTTATGTAGCGCAGCACTTTGCCCCTAGCCGGATTAGCAAAACAGACAAACAAAGCTTAAAAGCCACAAAGCTATAGGCTGCAGGGATAACCTTGGGTCAATACAGCACATTTAGGTGCAACGTAACCTTGGAGCCATCTGAACTAGGTACAAGAGGGATGCACAGATAAAGCATGAAGGTGGCCCAACCACTTTGCAGAGGTCAAAAGGAGAAGCAGTGCAGTCTTGTGTGAAATAATTTTAAGATCCACAGACTCAGTGAGCTCAAATGAGGGACGACAAAGAACCTCAAACACCAAAGCCAGCTTTATATCTATATACATAAGAACTTTAAGTTGGCAAGAGCCTATTGAAGAAACTGTTTGCTGCAGCAAGCTAGCTCAACTCGGCAAAGGTGTTGTCGGTGAAAGAACTGAAGGATGATGATGTCGTGTTCAAAATTATCTTCAGGACATAACACAAACAACTTCTCTCAGTTAAGAGGTTTATTTAGAATTGTATAATTAAAATATTACTTGTACAAGGATCTTATTGGATTGAGAAGCCACAGGCAGCGGAGGTGCTGTTACTGTCTTTCCTCGCCCCAAAAAGAGTCATGACCAAAGGTTACATGAGGTTATATTTGATTACAGTAAGCAATGGGATTGGTGGACTATATGATGGGAGACAACCGTGGTTTAGACTTGGCGCATCCTTGTTGGTGCTCAGGTTGATCCCAGCCTCTTGGCACACGACCCAACCAATTCTGAGGAGACAGCGCCCTAAAAGAAAAATGAGTAATTCCGCCCTTATCCCCCTCCCTTATAATATTATTTATGAAACTAGAGCGACGGTTAGAACCGGGAGCTCTGACCTTGGAGATAACCAGTTCCTCCCACACCCAGGTGTTTGTGGCTATTGTAGCTCACAAGCAGAGATGTGACTATGTGTCTGTGTTTTTTATCTTTGTGTGTACTAGCTTTATAAAATGCAGGCTTTCACATCTATGTGTATTAAAATATATTGAAATGACTAATCTCTAACAATGGATTGTTGTTGACCAGTGGTCATCTGCCTAAAGGTGTGAACAGAGGTGTTTTCAGTCATACTATGTGTGTTGTACTAAGTAAATAAACTGAAAGGGAACTAAATTTAGTCTAAAAGGTAATAATTAACAATACCACAGTAAAGCTTATTAATGCAATAGAATGACAAATAATAATAATTTTTTAAAAAAGTGTTGCTAATTAAGAATTTTTCCTTTCTCAGATTCTTGATATCCCATACTGGATGTTTGCCCATCTCACTTCTGATTACCCAAAAGGTAAGAATTGGTCTTAAAATTATTATTGATATTTGGGGAGACACACTCACTATCTTTTCTCTTTGCATTTAAAACCATGAAAGAACAGGAAATTGAACGGGAAAGAAGCGGCACTAATTAATGCAGAAACAGAAGTTTGAATTTCCCCAGATCCCTATTTTTTTCAGAACTGTGACCAGTGATGTTTGCTCTGTGAGATCATTGGAACTGATTTTGGTCCACTCGAGCAACATTAAAATCCAAAAATGAAATATGAAGCAGTTTTAAATAGTTTCGTCTCATTCTTGATTTTGTCTGCAGTGATGACGTTACTTCAACGACACCACACTCTCCTAAAGCGCAATGGTAAGTGATAAAATCACTACTTCTTACATGAGATAAATTAAAATCCCTTGAGTACTTTCATCTGATGTGTGCATGTTTGTCTGTTATGTCTGCTCAGTTCCACAGTGTGAAACCTACAGCAAACTCAAAGAGAACGAGAGATTTCCTCTGCTGGGTGAGTACCACAGGAGAGAAATCATAAATGCACTAAGAATGTTTTTGACTTTTCTTTACCTTATTATTGTAGGGCTGCAGTTCCTGGTCATGCACGACATGGTCAAACAGCATCAGTCCCTAGGAGTGGGATTTCTGTGTTTGCTCTGTAAGAGGAGGTTGTCGGATGAGGAATGTCACGCTCATGTGTTCAGTCGGGAACATGTTGCAACATTTCTGGTGAGTATTAATATTCTTCAAACTTCTCACTGCATTTTATTTTCCATTTAATGGTGACTGTTATACTCCTATTGTTGTTCAGTACCCCAAATAGTGTGCACTGGCAAGCACAGTAAGTCGTGTTAGGAAAACTCCAGTACACTTACACACAAATGTTTAATCTAGTAATCTGTCTGTCTGTCTAGGACTGTTTCCACCCAGGCTCCCTGAATTCAAGCACCGATGTAGAGACCTTATTGGACTTGGCCAAACAAGCTGGACGTATTCACTCCATATCACATGTGCAGGTATTCTGTGCCAGACACTGAATTTACCATTCATTTGACTTCATGTCATTCTCATCATGCACTTATGTTTGAATGTTTTCTGTCTTAGGTAATAAAGTTGGATAAAAAACCCATCTGGGAGCCATGTACCTACCACAAAGGTGAGTCTGTTTATTGAAATTAATGAATAAATGTGTGGGTGAAGAATCACGCCCAAAGAGAGTATTTTGAAGTATCAGTATCTCACAAAAGTGAGTACACCCCTCACATTTCTGCAAATATTTCTTTATATCTTTTCATGGGACAACACTGAAGACTGACTACATTGTACACATGTAACTTTGATTATTTGTACCATGTTTTGCATAAATCTTCAGTAGAGATGTAACTGTTGCCTTATCAACATACCACACCAGTCAAGTTCCAGATGTTTCAACCAAGAGTTTCTCCCATGCTACCAAAATAATTGGAGATAACTTATCTGTTGATAGGCTCAGTTGAGGTATACTGGGTGTAACTTGTATTGTGCCTAAACAGTGATGTTGTGGTGGAAATTCAATTCAGCCCATTCATGTGAGATGCAAGAATGAAAAGTCAGTCAGTCAGTCAGTCTTTTTCCCCGGGTGTAGCTCTGCGCAGAGCGAGCCTCTCAGCTTGACAGCATGAAAAAGGTCTCCCTTCCCAGGGCTGCACCCTCATTTATTGAAGAAGCAAAAACAGGTGGTACAACGTAGCTAACAGCCAGTTATGGTGACAAACATCATGACCTTGTATACATAGGAGCTGCCTGAAATCAGTCTCAACTGGGTTCAGCCTCTCCTCCAACAGTAACAGAGACATTGTAACCACGAGTTGACTGTTAGTCCTCATCGTGTGGGAAAATTAACAGGCTCTGAGAGCAACCTTGGAACAGATAGACATTTTTGCACACACAGTAGTTCATAAGCACGAGGTCACATATAGTGTATTAAAATTTTCCATTACAATGTATACATCATTTAGGACATCTGGACCTTGACTGGTGTGGTATGTTGATAAGGCAACAGTTACATCTCTACTGACCTTTTTAGATTTATGCAAAACAAGGTACAAATCATCAAAGTTACACGAGTACAATGAAGTCAGTATTTTTCATCAAAATGTTTCACATTGGCATCTGTGACTGTGAATTGGTTTCTTGACAATTACACTATTTTGTTCAGCCATATCCATTCTGGCATCTGCAAAGAGAAGAGAGGGGAAAGGAAAGCTTAAACCCCCAATAATGCATAAAATGAAGCTGGGTAAGTTATTCCAAATATATATTTTTAAATATATAGAACATTATGTACTAGTACTGCTGATATTTGGGTTCCCATGGTGGGAAAATCTATAGGCATAGCCGTAACAAAAATAAAAAGGTCAAAGATAAACTTCACTGTGACATCATAATGTTCATCCTAATGACATCATTAACTTTTTGGCCATTATTTAACACCATAACTCAGGAACAGAAGGGCACATTGTGACCATATTTCAAAGTTGGTTGGAAACTGAATTTGTGAGGCTTTTCATTTAAAGGTCATTGTGAGAACCACCCGACACGTAGCAAATCCCCTACTACTAATCATTTCACCTCATCGTTTATTTGATTCATTCGGACAGCTCATTTATTATTTTTGTATTATTAGTTAGTGAGTGGATAGTTAATAAATCATTGCATGTAATTGTAATCAAATAAATTTTTAATGCCCTGTGTGTGTCTCTCAGTCCCCAGAGGAACTTTGAAAGATGTGGACAAGGCCCATGTGAGCGAAAACAGCAGGGTGATGGAGGGGTCTGAGAAAAAGACCATTCAAAAGTCTACAGAATACAGTGAGACAAGCCTGACAAACACTTCAGTAGAAGATGGTGTTGAGATCGCCAATACACAGTGTGTAGAGAATGCAGAAAATGCTGGAAAGGAAGGAGACAAAAAGATACCTACTCCAAGTCCAAAAGAATCAGAGAGGAGAAAAGAGGTGTTTCCAAAAACTAGTTCAGAGGAGATAAAGAATGCAGTTAGTGAGACATGCCGGAGGATAAAGCAGGAGAAGATTGTAAAGGAAGAGGACATTGAAAAGCCTATAGTGAGAACACCAAGTGGGGAGACCCTAGAAAGCTGCAAGATCGCAGATAAAACTGATGGAACAGAGATTGGAGAAGAAAGGAGCAAAAGTAGCAAAGATGCTCTCACACAGTTGAAGAATACTGCATGCAAAGAAAATGAAAATAAGCGTTCAAGCAGCACGTGTGAAAAATCACAGGACGACACATGTCCTAATGAGGAAGCAGAGAAAGAAATGTGCTATAAAAGGCAGCGACTCACCTTCAAACAAGAAGCATCTTGTGAAGAACCCCAAAACCTGCCAAGCAGCAGACAAACGGAGGGAGTAGACAAAGAGACTCCTACTCCAAGTCCAAAAGAATCAGAGAGGGGAAGAGAGGTGTTTCCAAAAACTAGTTCAGAGGAGATAAAGAACGCAGATAGTGAGACATGCCAGAGGATAAAGGAGGAGAAGATTGAAGAGCTTATAGTGAGAACACCAAGTGGGGAGTCCCTAAAAAGCTGCAAACACACAGACAAAGCTGATGGAACAGAGATTGGAGAAGAAAGGAGCAAAAGTAGCAAAGGTGTCCTGAAACAGTTGAAGAATAACACATACAAAGAAAATAAAAGAAAGCGATCAAGCATGTGTGAAAAATCACAGGAGGTCACATGTCCTAATGAGGACGTAGAAATGGGCCATAAAAGACAGCGACTCACCTTCAAACAACAAGCATCTTGTGAAGAACCCCAAAACCTGCCAAGCAGCGGACAAACGGAGGCGACCACCGCAGACGAGGGAGAAAGTGGAAAATTGAGTCACAAGACTGCAAAGGATAACGGTATGTACATTTCATATTTAAGTTTGTGGAAGATTTTCCTGTATTTCTGTGGAAAAGGCTCAGTCTGTCTGTGATTGTCTTACAGTGTCTCCTAGCTTGAACCAAGCGCAAGAACAAGCAGCTCAACTGTGGCAGTATGTCAAGAGGAAGAGCAGAGAGCCTGTGGTTGGTCAGTACAAATTGATATGGTATATGAGATATGACCAAGTGTTTGTTGTAAATATAGTGTTAATTGTTGTTGGTGGCTGGTTTAAAATTATTTCTGAAACCTGTCTTTTCAATGATGGAGTAAATGAAAGTTCAAAGAGGAAAAAGAACAGATAATGCAGTTTTAGTTATCATATTTAGATTTTTCATGTTTTGTTTTACATTTACTGGAGTGTCAATCATTTTCTAATTAAATAATTTCTTTGAATGAGAACATTTTCAGCAAGAGTAAAGGTTGATACACAATATTAATAGTGACCAAAATATCCTCTAGGCTTGAATGCACTTCTTGAATGCTATTGTGATCAGCGTGGTCCCATCTACCTCTGTGAGTGCTGCTCTCTGAAGATCCCAGAGAAGAACATCATCAGCCATGTTACTGGAGCTGAACACCAGAAGATGTACCTAGTGGTGAGTAAATGTTAAAGGATACAGAGTTTTTCAAAGTCTATGTTATACATTAATAGAATTATCGGTATGTGTAATCCTTCCTCCTCTCCATACTGACCACAAAGAGATCCCTTCATAGAGTGACTACACTATAATAAATGGGGGACAAAATCCAAAGTCCTTATTCTGTGTAGAAATGAGAATCAGAAATACTTTAATAATCCCCGGGGGGAAATTAGTTTTAGGGGGGGAGGAAAAGGGGAGAAACAAGACGAGAGGGGAGGAGAAAAAAGCAACTCCCAGACTCTGGTCCTGTGGGGGAGTACAGTGTGGGACTGGGAAAAAACCTCAGCAACATAAGCACATATGAGCACACTTTACAACATAAGAACTCAAAACAACTTGCACCGGGGGAGGTGGGAAAGGGGGGTGGAGGCATACCAACGCAGACAGGCAGCCGCGGCGCAGCCAGCTTCAGCGCAGCCAGCGGAACCCCGCTTGTCGCACTGAGGGTAAAAAGCGGCGAAGGCGTGGGGGGGGGGGGGGGGTTTACAGGGGTGTGTTGCATATGCGCATGTTTAAGTGTGCACATAAGCCTGGAGAGTCGCTTCTTCTAGCCTCTCAATCAGTGCCTCAGTTCACATGGTGTCATCGCGATAACACAGCAGGTTGCCTAAACAGAGTCAACTATCAACAGGTGTCTGGTGAGGGAAGGGAGGGAGGAATAGGGCAGAGCGTCTCACTGCAGCGATCTCCTGGAGGAGTTGTTCCAGCAGCAGCTTTGGCCAAGGCCAGTGCTACTGAGGGCCAGAATGCAGATTAGATTATGATTGTTTGTTTGGGTTAGGGCGAGTGGTCGCATTTCAATAGACACAACTTACTCTGTTTGTCCATTCTGGTCTTCAAATCAATTCATTTGAAGAAATGCATTACAAGTTAGCCAAATTGATGAGGAACTTCCAAAGTTGTAGTTGTCTCAAGGTCTATCCAATTGTGACTAGTCTGCAGGTTCATCCCGGCCAACACACAGGCTCACGAAACTCATATTAAACTATCAAACTAGGTAGTGCTGATCACATATGAATCAAGATTCTGTTACTGCGTTCCCTTTATTACGAACCCAAACTGGTCAAGGGAAGAAGGGAGTAACATAAAACTAGTTGAAGAATCTAGTTGTGTTCAGTCTTGAAATATTTTACGGCCAGAAGAGGAAGCTTTTATACAACATATACAGCAGCAGACCCACCTTCAGAACTTTTTCTTCTGGTCTTCTGCTTCTACAGTAATTTCTACCACATTGTGTACATGTACAACAGATGTTTTGTCCTAATAATGCCTTCTCCTGCCTATGTTTTTAACATTAGGGGTTACAGAAACTCCCACCTCCACCAGGGAAGCACCTGAAGCAGAACATCAGACATTTGGCTGCTTTGTTTGAAAAAGCTAATGGATATGGAGAAGCTCAGGTTTGGTCCTGGTTCTTGTATTTGTGGACAGAGTTATATCACTTCATAAACTGAGATAAAAATTATAACCATTGTCTTTTGGTCAGTCCTGAATAATTTTCGAGAAAAGATTTAATAACAGCTGAGATAAAGAGTTGAAAGATTAGAATATAATTCAATAATACGTTTTACTAATTGTTGTTTATGTCTGGACTCCAGGTTGTTGATCTGGATGAACGGATTTACAATGACATCTCTAAACAAAACTTTGAATCAGGTAAGGGTACAGCTTTCCTTCCTTTGGAGTCCTCTTTGGAAAGGTTAGTTTGGTGTGATTAATAGGTGAGTCAGAACTTTAACTGTACAATATTTTTGTATATTTGTCTTCTCAGCCATACAGACAGTGAAGACACTTCTGACTGTTCAACCTGTGGACACCTCAGTCACCCATCATGCTCAACAAGAGGTTTATTCAAACACAGAGGACTTGCAGGTCAGTCAATTTTGTATGAATCAGTATAGCAAAATAATCTTTCTATCTTACTCTCTCCTTTCAATTATACTTTTTATTTAGTTCTTAAGAAAGTTGACACAACAACTTAAACCACTGCAAATAAAGTAACATGTACATCTAATAACATAAGATAATAAATATATAAGAAAATTAATCTCCAATGGAATGAATGAAAGGAATGTTTTGATGACCCTTTCTTAATCTGCCTATTGGTAGGTCCACTGACTTCTAAAACTTAATCCTACAACCTGAAAAATAGTAACTATATCAATAAACTCCATAGGTTCTGGCAAAGAGGTGCTTGGGTTGGTAAGGAACAACAAGTGTGCCTCTATTTATAGAGAAAGCAGATTAGATCAACAATTCTAGTGATGGTGTACCATTCACTAGAATTGTTGATTTTGGGCCTGTATAAAGTCATTTGTAAAAAGAAAAGAAAATCAGTATAGGACCTTGAAAAGATACATCCATTCAATTCAATTGAAAGCTTTCTCCTTGTCTAAGCTTACTACTGTATATATGCATCTTTGTCAATATTTTTAATGTATTGCATGATTCCCGACAGTCTTCTGATATTAGAGCTGACAAATGCTTAATATAGATGTTTTATTTCAAAGGTGGGGGACAAGGAGGTTGGTGATTCGGACTCTGAGGCACAGCCATCTTCTGTAACTGCAGCCGTGACTGTAATGACTGAATCTGCTTGCAAAACAACAGAAGTCCCCCCTGAATCAAATGAAGATGCCAAAATGATAAAAGTGTCGGATTTAACTGCCAACGCTTACACCTACCCGACTGTTTCCACAAGTAGTGAAGACCCATCAAGTCTACACTTGTGCACAGGGGGGACAAACACAACCCGTCTGCATCCTGATTCCAGAAATGACTCCAAAGCCAAAATAATTTCAAACTCAACTGTGGGACCATTAAAAACAATAACCACTTCCAAAATAGTGGGGATATCCCAATATGGTGAAAACACCTTAAAAAATTCTGAAACTGCATCTAAAACTTCGACTGCATCTCAAACTATGGTGACATCTGTGGCCACTAAAACGATTAAAACGTCAGTCAAATGTGAGAACACTGTCAAGACTTCACTTATGAAGCACTCAGTGGGGCCAGATACTGATGCTGCACCAAGTGTTCCTAAGAGTAACGCGCCTGCAGCTCCGCACTTGACCGTGTTCATGTCTGAAAAGAAGAATCCACCAACAGAGCCATCACATAACTCTAAGCCAAGTGAAGTTGGTAAGTATTTGTATTTATTTATATTTTGTAAAGACAACCACTCAGTAAGTCTCTATGAATTAGTGTCTCTGTGATTCTAATCAGAGTTCTGCATTATTGTCTTTACTTTATAGGCTTAAACCAGTTGATTAAAGTATCGTGTGAAGGAAGGCGGCAAGTCTACTGTCAGCTGTGTTCAGTCAGGTTGGAACAGTCCAGTCACCTTTTCAGCCAAAGGCACCAGTATAACTACGTGGTGAGTGCTTTAGCAGTCTTGTCGAAGAAAATATAGAAAGCTTTAAAGCAGCATTCTGTTACGGATGTTAACTGTGTGCTTTCAATGCTCTTACTAGAAAATGAAGTTCCCTGCGTGGACTGCCAAGCCGTCTGAGAACAAATTGGACAAGATAGTGGCCCACTTGGCTGAGGCTGAGAAAAATACAGGATCCCGATGCAACCAGGTGATCTGCTCGAATCTCCCGACACATTGAAAATGACCCAAAATTGACAATCTATGTGTGGTTGTTAATCTGCTTTGGTGGTGTAGTACAGTATGTACAAAATTAAAGTAGAGAAGTGGAAGAAGGTTTGCTGGAATGAACTTCAGACTTCAGACAAAACAGACACACATGAGAGCATACATCAGTAAAGTGAGATGGCACAGACTTGAAATTAAATTTAATTAACACTGTTTGCCTTTCTTACTTCTAGATAGAAGTGACGATCGATGAGTACGAGGAGCTGGCTGCTATTCCAGAAGTCAAAGGTAAAGCTACCCTAATAACCCGTCATAAATAAGCCTATACAGCCTATAACTAACTAGTTTCCCTCTAACAATCTGGTCACACATTGGCAATCAAAAGTGATTGATACATATAAATGTGTTGTTGTATTGTTAATTGCTAAATTAATAGCTACATCTTAGTTTTTATAATGTGTGCATATTTTTCCAATATGTGATTTTTATTCAATGAAACATAAATGATCAACTTTGTAGGAAAATTGTTCACAGTGGAGATTTTTATTCCTTTTCATTGCAGTAGATTGTTTTATACATATGGTCATTTTCTTGGTCTTACTTCTCTCTCTTTATTCTCAGCTCTACAAAAAGTTAAAGCAATGTTGAGACGGAGAGATCTCATCAGGGGGGTCTCATCTCCTACAACCACAGCAGATGAGAGACTTGCCCTTGCTAGTCCATGTGAAGCTTCAAGCCCAGATGATGGTAAATATAAGTGTAATTTTTAAGAACCAATTTTGAAATATATCTGCATTTTTCATCCAAGTGCAGATACATTTGAACTTAAAAGTTTGGACTCACATTCCTGAGTGTATTTGGTTGTCCTTAGACATGTTGATGCCCAAGCTGAGATATATTCTTTCTGATATTACGAGAGGAATCTAAATTCAATGAATCACAACACCAATTCGATACCTCTGTAAAAAAAATTATAATGATACCGAGTCCTGATCCAGTACTTGCATTTTCCTTAGTAATACAGTTGAATAGCTCTGCATTGTAGGAAGAAAAAAATTGCCTGCAGCTAAGCTATTCCTTAATGTTTACACTTATTTATACTTAAACTTTTTATACTAAATAACAAAGAAATTGTTTTGTTTTGTTGTCTGGAGGGAATTTCTCTCTCTCTTTTTAAGTGTCCTGCAGTGTTTGGTGCTTCAGTGCAGCCTTACCTGAATTAAACGTATTCTGCTGAATGTTTATTTTCCTCTTCTATATATCTTTAGTGCGGATTACTTTAATAAATTAGTTTGATATGCTTTTTGTTTACTGGGCTTGTGTTGCACGTGCACTTGCAGTGGCATGGTGAATTTGGGGCTGCTGTCTCGCCTCTGAGCAGCAGTGGAAGAGCTCGGCCCCTCTTGTACACACAGTACAGCAGATAGTGTTGACAATGGCTGCACTTTGCATGAAAGCCTTGCAAGTAAAATACCAGTACACACTGACCAACACAAGATCAAACTTAACATATTTACAGCTGGACTAATACAGTGTCTCTACTCAGACTTTGGCTTAGTCTTTGTTAACAGGAGACATTTGAGTCTGATGTGGAGTCCCAGGAGGAGTGTTGGACTAACTAGTTACATGTTATCAATTCAATTACGAAAGTTGTAAACAGCTAGTTACGGATAAAAATGTTGGTGATTAAAGGGGTTACATCAGGACATATAACTTTTGGGTCAAAAGTTTATTTAAAATCTTTTCACTGTGCAGGACTGTCTTTTGGCATATTTTTGGACAACATGGGTCAGTAAAGCTGCTGGGACAAATTTGAGTGCGAGTCGAGGGTAGGGTGCCTAACAAGGAACCGTCTCTACGTCTAGACAGTCTCCATTTAGTGAGCTCTGTTTTAGATTGGTCATTTTGTTTGAAATCCAACATTGCTGTACAGTGTAAAGGTTGTTTACGTTCCCACACTGGCTACAATTCAAGCCACATGTCCAATTAATGGTCCTACTAAACCTGCTAAAGCTGTTGTACCTGTAACAAATAGAATTTTGGCCATGACTCAAATGATGGCCCCTTTTCGTCTTGTAATGCAACTGCAGTCTTGCTTTTGTTGGTACGTGTGTCTTTCCTTCTGCATCATCACTCATTTACACAAATCCACCACCTCTCTCTTCCCTGCCGTGCAGCTGTCAGGATGGAGCCACCTCAGGGTTGTGCAGATCCTCTTGCCACTGACTCAGAATCACACAGAGGCAGCTTTGTCCAAACCCCACATATACACCAAAAGATGGCTGAGAAGAGACACATGCAGGAGAGAAGTGGCCCAAAGTTAGAGGACACACAGAAGGTGCTGGAAGGCACTCAGAGAACATCACCTGTAAAATTCTTCAACCAAGACCCGCGCACTGCTGCTGCTTTACTGAATACAAAACAGCAGAGCCAACCAAGACCGACCGAGAAAGTAGAACATGTACGAAAACCCTTAAGATGTGCTCCAGGAGCCAAGCACCACTGTGCATCACACGAAGTCCCAACGATAGGTAGGTGTTAAGCATTTTTGAATCAGTAATTTTTGCCCTCTGACTGACTAATTTTGGAATTTTGTATGGCTGTCACAGGGGAAAGAACTCAGGACAGGAGTCATCTGTCCTTCTTCCTAAAAGTGAAGAGACTGAACTGTAAATCAGTTGGATTAGGCTTTGTGTGGGAGTGTCACGGAGAGCCACCACAGAAACTATTCTTCTTGTGTGAGAGCTGCAGAGAAACAATCACCTTGAGTGACATCTGTCAACACATGGTCAGCAATGAGCACCAGCGCAAATACATGGTGAGTGGCATCTCGGTAATGCACTGGAAACTTCTAAACAGCAAAAGCCACATGTTATTTTTATGATATACATGTCTTTCAGCTGATGCAGCACCCTCAATATATAAAGTTCTGGGATGAGAAGGATCTGCTCCCACAGATGAAACTGGAGATTTTAAATGATGTCGTCCCACTGCTCTCAGAGCAGGAGAGTAACAACAAGATAGATGCGCAGGTAACCTGTGGTTAATGTATCATGCACGTTATCTCAAATGGCCTTGGGGTAGTTTGAGCAAGATATAGGTGATGATTTATGTAAACATATTGTCTTTTTGAAAAAAAATTCATTGTGTATGGTGGACAAGATGTAATGGTTAATGTTTCACAATGTACACAATTGTTTGTGTTCTCTTTCACTAAGGTTGTAAAGCTGAGACCGCACATTCATAAATATGTTGAGACAGCTCCGTTCAGTGAAGGTAATAGTAAGCTTATTATGCAATGGCCTACAGAGGTTATGGTCCACTGGAGTATACAGTAATTAAGTAATTTCCCCTTGGGATTGTTAAAGTATTTCTGATTATGATTCTGATTCAACTGTGCTGTTTACTTTTAGCTTTACAATTAGTGCAAGACATCAAGAAAGAACCAAAACGGAGCGTCCTCTGTCCACCTGTCAGCGCTGAACAACAAACCGGTGAGTCCCATTAGCCCAGTCACAGTATCAGTGTTTCTCATTCTTATGCACAGCCTAAATAAAATGACTCATACAGGCAGAATATGGGTTTGAGTGATGGGTTTTGGTTTCTGTTGCACAGACCGGCAGCCTGAGGACCAGCAGAGTCGAGAGGAATCTCTTCGACCAGAGAATCGGTCAACACAGGCACTTAGGACAGACCAGAGAAGTGACAATGGTATGATGATTATCATATTATTTACAATATTGGACAACATACTGTAGTTATGTTTTTTTAGATCTTAATTCAGAAAAAGTGCCCCAGAGATCCAGTCAGTGATATTAGTCTTAACTGTAAAAAATATGGTTGAACATTGACTCATGTCATTATAATTGTCTTTAGCTTGTTTTAGACTACAAATTAAAAAAAGGATTAAGAAAACTAAAAAATATATATATACAGTAGGCCTGTATCTAAGGATTTAATTCATTTCTGCGAGAAAACTCAATTAATTTGTTAATTTGAATGTTTAGATTATTATTTAAGATCTAAACATTTACTGTTTTATGCAGTTAAAACAACCAAAGAGCTAATGGAACAATGGCAAAGCATCTGTGAGAAGGAAACCCTGAATTTTTCAAAAAGGAGCCTATTAAGTATGTATGATTGTTTAAAAAAAACAATACAGACAGAAACATCATTCTTCACTGTTCTTGTTATGCATTGAATACAATGTGAAATATCTATAAAAAATGTGACTTAGTCACAGGTTGTCAGTTTACTCAATGATAGAAAAGGGATCCCTTAAGGAAAAAGGTTGGGAACCACTGCTCTAAGATGTAGTAAATGTAATAACTTCTCTTGCGTTCTCTTTCCTTCTCCACTGTGTCTCTTAGAAGCAAGAAAAAATAAAGAAAAACATAATTTGGAAGAGACTGCAGTGGCTGGAGATTTGGATGGGGTCGAACAAAGAAGAGTCTTGAGTGCCCTGGATGTGACCAGTGCTTCCTCAAAGGCCGATAACAGAATATGTCCGCCCCATCTTGCTGGCACATGTCACAGTCCACAAGAGACCTGCAGGAGCCTTTCAATGCAACCTGAGCTCAGACCACCGGCTTCTCAGAACCAGAGATCTATCCCTGAGTTGCAAGTGAAACAGGGAGAGGTGCACTCAGTATCCCCATCTTCCTCTGTTGTTAGTCCTGAAACCAGTCAAACCCTGTCTCTGTCTCCGAGAAACAGCTGCCCTCCGACCAGGAAAAGGCCAGCTGTTGAATCTCTGGAAACATTGGTTAGACCTTGCACCAGTAACCCCCAACCCGATGAGCCTTTGCCAGCCAAGTGCACACGCTTCTCAGAGAAGTATATCAGTCAGCCCAGCACTGAATCAACCTCAGAGTCCACTCCTGTTAACCCTGCTGCAACCTCCACCCTCCTGGCTCCCAAGGACACAGGACCTGGAACTGACGAACAAGACCCATCCATTGTCAACCAGAAAAAGTTGGAGCATCTAATGGCTCTGCTGAGAGAGATGAAGTCTGACGTAAACATATCAGCTCCAGATGATGCTGAGGCTACAACCTCCTGTGCAGACGGTAGATCTGAAACGGCAAAAAAACAAACAAGATGGGATTCGAAGTGGCAGCAGGTTAAAGCTACACCGAAAAATAACTCCCCCTCCACTGACTCATTGGAGGGGATGTTTTCAACAACAGCAGCTCCTGAGAACCAACTCACCACCACTCATGTGAACCCTGCTTTCTCTGCCGCCAGCTCATCTATTGAGGGCTATTTAGCGAGGGACAACCAAGCCGAGGCAGTCAGTGTGTCTTCCGCCAGCACTGCTGACCCCAATGATCCACAACAACAGAGAAGTGTTCAGAGCATGTTTGTAAATGTGAGCCAGTTCATTCCTACTTCCTTTCACTGTGTAGCCAACAACCACAATTCAGGTCAGATACCACAAGGTAACACAGACACAGACAGCCCTGGGGGTGGTCAGTTGCCCATTGACTCCATCATAACCGCCAGGCCAGAGCTCCCTAACCAGCAGTTTATGGGTGGCTATAATGCACAGGACCACACGGAGGTGAACAGAGGCCATCAGGTCGCTCACAGTTTGCCCACAGTTGCAACAGCAAGTCCCAGTGACAGTCTGGCTGCTCTCGGGGGGTATGGTCAGTACAGCCAAATGGCTTATGTCACAAATGGAGACGTTCCAGGTTATCTTTCTTCTGAGGCTGTTGGATACACAACTCAAGACAACCTTTCTGAAAGTTACACAAAAAGGGTTTTCTACACCAGCCAGATTTACCCAGAACAAGTAAACCGCTTTGGACACTTAGCAACTTCAATGTCATCAGGATGGCCGGAAATCCAACAGCAGCAGCAGCTAATGCAGCGGCAACTAATGCAGCAGCAACTAATGCAGCAGCAACTAATGCAGCAGCAACTAATGCAGCAGCAACTAATGCAGCAGCAGTACTCCGCATGGACAAGCACTGCCCTGGCTGCTGGAGGTGGAAAATTGACCAATGAGGCTTCTTACTTAGCAGCTGCCTTAGCTTCCATTCACTGCTCCAGCCAACAGTTTAATTAGATTAAGTGACCCGAACAACTACAGAATCGCTCTAAAACAGAACAGCACTAACACATGAACAAACATCAGTTTACTTCGAGCATCCGGTAATTGACAATCCTCCTACAGGCAACAGTCAAATCACATGATCCCAGACACCTGCAAGCTCCTCTTTTTAGCAACAAAGAGTTGGGAATATGTATTAAATCAGTTTGAACTCCTGAAACGCCCAAACAACAGATCTTTTTAGAAAAGGTTTATAAATATATAATAGTGTATTTTTAATTAAGTTAACTGGTTTTGTCTTTTGGAGTAGCAACAAGTTCAGGATACTGTATGTACTTTTGCTATTTTCAATTTTTGGTTTATAAAACCTTTGAAAAACACCATATTGCATACCTAATGTAACAGTTTCAGCCGCCTACTGTGATTTTTTTTATTTTTTATTTTTATATTCATATTTTGTAAATTTAAATACGATTTCTGTAAAATTCAGATCTGTGTGAAATATATTTGTATATTTTTTTCATAAATTGCCTTGTTTTTGGCTGAAATTAGATTGCTTGAACTTGTTTGGTTTTTTTTGTAAATTTTTTGGACACAGAAATTACTGTGGGACCTGGATGTGTAAAGAGCCACTTGTTGGTGGATGAACTGGGGTTAGAAATTATTATTTCTCTATTTCCTTTGATTATTCAGTTCACTGACACAGCACAGCCTACGCTCTTTGAAAGAGACTATTTAATTAGAGGAAGAGCAGGACCTCTCATACGGTATCGTGAAAAAGAAGCCTCAAAACTCAGTCAAGTCCATGTGCCATTCAACTAAGACATTCAATTGTTTGGGAACTCTCAGTAGCTGTTCCTCAGTCTGTTTGTTCGGACATTAATGGCTCTGTATCTCTTCAGAGTGTGACCTGGATGGGTTGCTGAGAGGGAAGTTTAAGCTTTCTTCACCATGTGGGAGGTGTTAAAAGACCATGAGAGATCTTATGTTCTCGCAAACTTCACAATAATGTTATTGGAGAGGATGGGGGTGCAGTCATTGGTGAAGAGAGTAAAAAGGGCTGGACAAAGCACACAACCCTCCTGTGCACCTTTGCATTTGCTTTTTAATAAACTGACCTTTAAACTAAGCTAAATCAAACTTCTAAATGTAACAACCTGATTTTACAGTATTATAGTATAATATCCTATTATACCATTAAAATCTGATTGGCGGATGAAGTGTTTTGTTCACAGTAGATTATGTAGTACAACCATCAAGTAAACAGACTAAGTTTTTAAAAACAAGGTGCCTGGAGTCAGGAGAGTTCTTTGAGATATCAAAACAAATTATGCTGTGAAGCCTAACTTGTAGGTAACAAAAACAATTAGTGAGGCAAATTAAATTTCTCACCCAGCAAAATAAATGATGCAAACTGTCCATTAAACAAGAAATTAGACCCTTCTCCTTCCAGTCAAGTTTTATCTGACCACAAGGGTAAACAATGAGTGGTTGAAACAGTTTACAGAGGTCTCTTACAGAAGCAGACTCAGAACGCTCTTAACTTCAGAAGAGTTTTTCAGTGCAAAACCTCGACTTTCAAAGCTACCATAGAGAAAAGCATGGCAGGCAAGGAAGATTTGGCAACAGTTAGTTTACATAGTTGGCCATATGGGCGTCTCAGAGTCTGAGTTACCTTGAGCACACTGCTGCCAAAACTTTAGAACCACGATACTGACTGCCCACTGAGTGCCTGAATGCAGGTTAGTCCAATCCAACTCCAGGCTGTGGTTCTTTAAAATTTAAATGTAAGCTGATGTGTTTTTTATAACGGGCTGGTCATTTAAGCTCAACTTTTATAGGCTACACTGTAGTTTAAATGTTTTAAATGGCCACCAAAAAGCTGGAGCTGATCCCAGGTGACATTGGGCTGGAGACTGTGGTGTATTTCTGCGGCTGCCAAAAGTTGGTCTGTGGATGACAGAAAAGAAAAGGTCCGCCACCCTTCTTGCTTTGATTTAGGACTTTATTAAACAAAAACAAGTGAGTGTGTATCTTCTGGCGGAATCTCCCTCTCTCCTCCAGTCTGGCACTTATATAGTGGCATGTAAACATTCTGTAGGCTATAAATCTGAAGGAATTTCTTGCTATGGGAATTGCTCTATTCCCAACTGCCACTATATTCTCCTTACATGACAACAGATATAAATATAGCTGTCTTTTTAGCTGCATATGAGAACAACCATGAACATAAAGCAGATGTCCTGTTTTTCACAGAGAGAGAGAGATTTAATGTATGTGTTATCAGAAGAAAATATACCTCAACACAACAGATGTCTTGTTGATGTTGTCTTTGTATGGCTCTTTTTCTTCCTGCGACTATGGGACTATTGGCCAGTAACCCTTAATACAAAGCTAACTGCAGCACCAAAAACATATGAGCATTTGTGTTGTATTGCCCCTGGTGATCTGTCTGTTCGATTCACCTAAAATAAAGTTGTGTGCTGCAATTTACAATACTGTGGCAAGCAGCACAGAGAAAGAGAGAAGCAGCAGCTCTCAGAAATGTAAATTAGAATTGGTTGACAATTAAATTATTTCATGTGTTAAAGAATATCTAACTTTAATAAAGTTATTTGTTTAAGAAATTGTAGTTTATTATTATTATTAAATTTAAATGAAAGCCAGTGAACATTAAATGTTGGAAATCAAGTAATCACACAGGATGCTGGAAATTATGTTGTAAGCACTATTTCATTTAATCACACAGAATATTAGAATCAGAGTCAGAGAGCACAAAGTTTTGAGTAATTCTGATTTCATAAGAGCACACTGTTAATGAAGTAGTAAGCACCATGGTCTTAGTGAAAGTTTGATTTAATGTGTAGAAAAATATTGAATGTGTAGTTGTAGCAAGAAACAATTAATGTTTGTACCAAAAGTATGTGAATGATTGTAACACAAGCTTCTTGTCATATTATAAAGTTTATAAAGTTTTAAAAAATACAGTAAAGGACATTTATGACATAATGGTGTAAGAAAAGGGTAATATAAGGTTTTTAAAAAATAGAAGTACAGCAAAAATAGATTTTTATGGTGTAATCATGGAGAAAGAAGAGTATAAAGAAAAGGTCTTGGCATACTACCGAAGGCCAAGAAGCCTGCAAGTTCAATGATAAGAGAGCACAAGCACAACAGGCCATGAAGCCGGCAGGTGCAGAACGACTGAGCGAGTGGTAAGAAGTGCTCAAGCCCAACAAGTGCAGGCGCAAGGAGAGCTGAGGGGGGAATTTGGTGGAACTTTCAGGGTATTTCCAGAGGGGATGTACACCATTATGTCATGGATCAAAAATTGACAGATGGGGAGGACTTGTAAGAGTATTAAAGGTGATGTTCTGACATGAAAATTCAGTCTTTCCATGGAAGACTCGGGCATTGTTTTTCTGCAAAGGGAATAAAGCTCTACCTCTACTGCCAACCTGGATGAATCCTGGCTGTTATTTTTTAATGTTATTGGACCATATTTGGTCTTAAAATTTGAGATGTTGGATATAATCTTCTGTTCAAAGAAAAACCTGTTTTACTGAGAGTCAACAAAATCAGCCTTCAGAGTACATTTCAGTGTTATGTGAGTGCATATCAGTGATATGTCTAAAATTACATTACATTAAGTCTCTCTCTCTCTCTCTCTCTCTATCTGTGTGAAGAACACATGTTCATGTGGTACCTGAAGGTTTATAAGTATAAATATACAGTATCACCAGGAAAACTTCTGTCTGCTATTTGAGAAAGTCAAATCAGACCTAAACAAATGGAAGACACTTCACCTATATTTATCAGGAAAAGTGAACTGTATAAAAATGAATGTGCTTCCCAAATTTCTCTATCTGTTTCAGTGTATTCCACTTTATCTCCCTAAATCTTTCTTCAAATCTATTAATAAGGTCTTCATTTCATTTATATGGGGTGAGAAGAAACCTAGAATACGGCTAGAACTGTTTCAGAGGCCCAAAATGCAGGGTGGCTTAGCTCTTCCAAATCTTTGTCATTATTATTGTGCCTCAAATGTAAAAATCATGCACCGGCTCCACACTCCTGATACAGACTGGTGCAATTTTGAAGCTGCATCTTGCACTTCAACTTCTCTTAGAGCCCTGGTCACCTCCAGCTTTCCCATCTCTATCTCTCAATTCACCAACAATCCAGTAGTCATAAATACCCTCAAAATATGGTTTCAACTTAGATGTAGCTTCGGGTTTAATAATCTTCTCCATCTAAGTCCCATACACAATAATCATCTTTTCCTCCTAGCTAGATTAGACTCTGAATTTATTCTCTGGCAAAGACAAGGCATTTATAAATTTAAAGATATGTATATAAACAGTATTTTCGCTAGCTTTGATGACTTGTCACATAAATTTACAGTTGTGATATTAATCCATGAGAACTATAGTGTGTAGTACACAACTTCAACAATGCCTATGTTTGTATGTGTGTTTTTTTTATTATATAAATAAAAAAAATATATGCAGTATCCATCAAAATATGCAGTTTCAGTAGAGTTCATGTCATGAGGTTCATATGACATTCTTCTTCCCTCGAATGTTTAGATTAGGGGCCCCCTCAATGCCCCCTTGACCTCCAGCACATCTGTATTAGAACCAGATGTTTCTTCCCAGTTCTTCTGAATAACAACCCCAAATTCCGTGAGTTTTGTATTGTGGTATATTTTTCAGTCTGTGGATCAGTTGAGTATTAGGGCATAATTGAAGCATCATTTTATCAGCTAGTCATATTGACAAAAAATTCAATTTTAAAGCTATTATTAGCTGATATTAAGGTTGTGCTAATAATATTGTGCATGCCTACTATAAAGCAAAAATATAGTCTAATACAAACACTACAACATATTTTCGGACTACAAGGACACATTAAAACTTACATATCCATGTTTTGAGTAAGGATCTTGGAGATATGGAAAAAGGGTCACAATTCCCAATGCAAAGCTGGACTGCACACTTCTTGGTGGAATCCTCCTTTTAATACAAAATATGTATTACATTTGTGTCCAGTTGGATTTTCTTTTGTCGTTTCATTAAATGATTTCTTACCCATATGATTCTATCATTTCTGCGACCAGAATGTTGACCATTTGTTGCGTGTTGCATCTGACAGTGTTTTAGTTTTGTCATACTCTCTGAAGATTTCTTCACCCTTTGGATTTGTGCTCAGAACACTTTGAACCTTCTGCAAATACAATTTATTAATTATAAATACATTTATTTTTAAAAGGATCAGTTTCATGCTTTAAAATTAATTTTGTATTGACAGACATTTTTGTTAAATTTAGTTTGGTTTGACTCATTACATCAAACTGGTAAGACTCTATGAGTAGTAGACTCTGATGAACAGGAAGAACATGGTGATGCTGTTGAAAAGTCTTGCAGTGAAGCTGGTGATACTGGGGGGACAGGAATTGATGCTTGAGATGCCGATGGGTCTGGCTGTACAGATGATTCTGACTCGGGTTCAACCAAAAGAACAGCAATATCTAAAATTGGTCCACAGAGGAATAAATTAAATATATATATATTTATAGATTAGTGGAGAAATATCATTACAATATAACCTTACCTGTTACTGGGTGCTTGCGGTATCCAACCTTGAAGTTTCGCACCCCTGATTTGATAAGCTCATCAAATATGTCTGCGTCAACCTCAGTATCTGATGTGTCAGTCAAGCTGAGGACAGTCACAAGTTGATCCTGCAGACTAAATTTTTCGGTTACTGGGAGAAATAAAGAAATTAGATTAAGCTATATAATCAACCATGTCATTTTGTCAAATCCCCCCAAATCTGGTGCAGCATAAAACCTGAAAAACACAAGAGACATAGTGTACATACAGCAAAAATGAATATAATAATAATATAATATGTGGAGACAAACCTTCTTGAAGAAACTGTCTGAAATCAAAGTTTTCATCTGGTTGTGGAACTTTGATATACTTTGTGACTCCTCCATATTCCACCTTTGCCAGCATTTTCTGTATGAATTTATTAAATTAAAAAGAGAGGGTAGCTTACTGTACAATTTATATCCACTGTAAAATAAATAGTCAATGAGAGTCAACTTCTTTAATAATCTATAAAGTATCTTACCACAACAAATGCCAGAGGCCATCAATCGAACTGTATTTAGACACAGAAAAATATTGAATCTAAAGGTTTAAGATGTCACAAAAAATAAAACTTAACTCTTAACAAAAATGTATGTGAACAAAGCAAAAAACACAAACAAAGCAGGTAATACATCAATATTACTTAAAACACAAACAATATCGACTTTAAAGAAAGGTTTAGCTCAGATATTGTTAACAATAAGTTACTTTTACATTTTTAAACACTGACTTTCAGCTAAAGATCAGGGCTGGCCAGCAGCAATCAAACTGTAGCTCCTCTGTAGCACGCTAGCGAACAACTCATAACAATGAGAGATAAGTGCATCATTAAAAGTTATTTTGACCACATTTTGACTACTAACTTAGTATTTACTGGCATCAATTTTTATCAGAAAAAAACTACGAGACTGTTTTTTGACAGTAAATACTATCAAAAATTGAAAGCGAGTGTAAGGGTCTCTAGTAAGAGTGCGGCTACATAAATTCAAATTACTGTGGCTTACCATTGCAAAACGGGTACCAGAAGGCAAATAAATATAAAAATATAACATTAACATTAATAATACTTCAGTCGGTGTAGCGCTCACACCGGGGGCAGCGTCACATGAACATTTCAAGTGTACAACCCAGGATCGGAGTTTAGAGAGAGAAGTTCAGAGTCAATATTTATAAAATTACACTTACAGGTTTAATTTACTGACACTTTGTTTGTACACTCGGTTTTGACACCAACTACTTATCAACTGAAGTCAAATATAGTGGATTTTAACTCTATCAGAGTAGAATTAACTCTACTTTTGCTCAAATTTCTCTAACCGAAAATTTAACACGTCTGAATTTGCTGTGTACCTGCATATGAGAACGACCCTGAACATAAATGCAGATGTTTTTCATATGAAAACAACCCTGAACATAAAGGCAGATGTTTCTTCATAGGAGAACAACCCTGAACATAAAGGCAGATGTTTCTTCATAGGAGAACGACCCTGAACATAAAGGCAGATGTTTCTTACATTCCTACATGTGAACATCGTTTGTTTTTCACACAGAGCGATTCAAGGTATGTGTTATCAGAAGAAAATATACCTCAGTATCCTACAGGATGTTTACATGCTGGTATATAACTGCTGAGCGGGAAGAGAGAGGAGGAATTCGGCCAGAAGATGCATCTGACATCTTGTTTTTTGTTTAATAAAGTCTTACATTATACAAAGCAATAAGAGTGGCGGACTTTTTCTTTTACAGTCATCCACAGACCAACTTTTGGTAACCACGAAAATACACCATAATAGTTAGTGTGACAATGGTAGGCTACTACTTCTTCTTCTTCTCATCACTTCCTCCACCTCCAGCCGGGCTGAGAGGAGGGGGGAGGAGGAGGAGGAGTCAGTTACCCGCCAACACAGCTGACAGATTGACGGCTGAGCTGCAGCATGAGAGGAAGAAGCAAACTCACTTTATTGTCGAGTTCATTTGGACTCAAGCTCCACGCTGGGCAGCTACACACCAGCGTTTTCATTCTGCAGCTGTAGATGATGATGAAGATGTTCTCGTACTGCTGTTTTTAGTTTTGCTTGCAGAAACTTGTTGACCATGGAGAGCAACAACAACTTGGACTGCCAGGTGGGTGAAGGCGCCACAGTCTTGTTTTAAAGATAATTGAGAGATTCAGATGGAAAAAGAAGCTGATATTGAGTCATATTTAGTCAAACTAATCAAACCCCATCTGTTTCTGAGTGTTTCCTGTGTTGCTTGTGCATGCTTATTTCTTAATTTTTTTCTCGTCTGTTTGCAGCTTTAACTCCGTGTCGCGAATTATAAGTGCGCTATCCAAGTGAAAACGTTTGGTTGCCTTTGGTTTGCTTTATGTTTATGTTTTCAGACATTTCTATCCTAACAACTTGTTAATTGGTAACTCGGGCCACGTGCAAGGCTGCTAACTTCTCAATTTAGTTTGCAGTGAGACTCCTTAAACTTGAGGGGGGGGTTGCAAAATGGCATCCTCAGGAAAAAAACAAGCAAACGCATGGTTCAAAGACAGTGGATCCTGCAGGATGATTTTGAAAAGGAAGTAGAAGAGGATGAAAGGAGCTTTTAGCTGAACTTGTTTGTTTGGATTTGTCATATTTTTCTTGCAATGCATGATGATGTTTTTATTTTGAAGATTGTAGTTGACCTACTCACCTCCAGGGAGGCTCTAGGGTCACACTATTGATTACTCTGAGCAGCAGGCAGGGGAATTAATCCTATCTGTATGGACTGGATGGAATCTGTGTGATCAAAATAATAACGAGACAGCCAGTGTAAATTCATGCATTAAAGATTGTATTTAGATTATTCTATGAACAGTCACACTGTCATATAGTGGTGTCAAGGAGAGATCCTTGTGGTGTCAAGGTGATCCTTGTAGATGTGGTATACCCAGAATGAGTATGAGTATGGCATTATGGTGATGCCAAAAATGGAGACGTATGGACACCCTTCGATCTATTTAGAAGAAGAATGTGGGCATGGTGGGCCCATAGGGAGAAATAATGCAGTATAGAGTTATGGCGAGATAATGGCCAAGAATAGTGGGTAGGGGCTTGCAGCTGAGGCCACAAGAGGAGGGGATTGTGAACAAGTATAAAAGGAGATGTATTGTGAGAAGAAGTTAGTTGCTCCATGGAACAGCTTATGTCTAAACTGCTTGAATCTATATTGATTTTATTTTACTGAAGAGTTGTGCCGTGGGTGAGAAGATCCAAAGATATCTGGCTGAGCTGAAGGTTTTTCCTCTCTCAGAATAAATGACAGTGTAATATATTTGTGGATATTTCTCCACATGATGGTCTGAATGTCTCGCTGCACAGTGCTAGTGTTGTGCTGTGCTGCTCTGTCTTGTCTGTCAGTGAGCTCTTATTATGCCGTGATATCAGTTATGAATTTGTTCTTTCACTACGTGACAACATGGACGTGTGGGAGTGTGAATTGCACGAGTCTCACAGTCAGTTGGCGGTCATAGGTTCACCAGGCAGAGCAGGTGTAAACCATTCCTCATTTGATGACCTCAGTAAAGCAGCAGGGATTCACAGATACCTGTGTGGGAATATGGGATATTTACATGCGTATTAATCTTTGAGTATTGATCCCTCATGTCTGAAATGACAAACTGACGGATTAGACATCACCGTTCTTCACTGGTACTTCATCCTGAAGAGGGAATGAATGACATTATAATAGAATCCAATTAAGCAGTTGTGGAGATATTTTAGTGAGGACCAAAGTGATGGACCAACTTCTAGCATGGCTACAGAGAAAAGAGGAAACACACACACTGGGAGATTTTGTTTTGCTGTTTTTATTTTATTTTTTAAACTGTTGTTTTTGTCATGAGCACTTCCACACAGAATGCGACAATGTGATGCCATTGAGGTCGATTTTCTGAGCTTTTAGCATCGCGAACCAAGGCAACAACCAATCAAAGTGATGTCACATCTCATCTCATGGCGGGCCGGTTGATTTAGTTTTATCATAACCCTGTATTATATAACGCAGGACGCAATAAGACAATGTGACAAAAGTGACTTGGGGTGGCGATTGCTCCCTCTGGAGGATTTATCGACGGGAGAACTGAAGCCGCTCTCTCCATCTGTGCTCTCTTCAAAGCCCACAAAAACTAATTTGGAGTTGCTGGTTTACCGCTGCCTAGGTTTGTTTCTTTGTGTGATCATAGTGTCTTAACATATTAATACATCTTAACGGACTGGACCACACCGGAGCCCTGGACAGCCATCCGAGATCTCTCGCTCTGCTGCCTTTTTCTGCCATTTCCTGGCCTGCAAGTTTTTTGCTGTTTTTTTTATTTTTATTTTTGAAAGCTACAGAAGACATAATATGGCTTTTAACAGGCTTGCCCTCCTGATGAACTGTTTGGAGAGTGCAAAAGTCAAGACTGCCAGTGCCTCCTACACGGCCAGCCAGAAAGGAGGAGTTAAACCCGAGACTGATTTTCACCCATTGAGCAAAAAGTTGAAGACTCCATCTGCTTATCTCAAAAGACAGGATGTTCAGTTGAAATTAATTATGACCGGTTACGGATAACAAATATCTAAATGCTTAAATGCTTAAGCAAACTGCAAAGCTAGCAGCTAAGGAGGAAGGTAGTGTAGTACTTTCACCCTTTCCTGTTGTGTACATGCAATTTATTTCGGTTATGCAATCAATCCCTTGGATCTCCTGTCATCCCTTCTTGAAACATAAACCCACCTTGCATGAATAAACACCAACCCTGTCCTCACATAACCTTTCCTCAAATAGGACATGTACCATATTATACCAACAGGAAGGCTCTAAAACAAGAAGTTAAAGTTGCCAAGAGCCTTACTGGTAGCAGCCTACTCCATGACAGACAGCTGCACTGAAAGATATCAGAGGAGTTTCCAGGAACACCATGAAACAGCCAACCCACCGTACTTGCAGACTGTTTGACATCCACACTAAGAAGACCAGGCTCAAGAACAGTTTCCAACCCCAAGCTGTCAGCTCCACCCCTGACCTCCGTGATGGCTCTTTTTTTTTTTTATGTACATTGACCATGTGAACAGATTTGAATATAAAGTGTTTGTTTGTGTTCTAAAATTGTTCAATGGAGGTGATTTAGTTCCCTTTGCATGAGTGTTTCTCTTCATTTTGTCTGTAGGGGGCCAAGCTTGAAGTGAAGCCACTATTGCTGAGCCTGTCCAGGTCCTGGGTGCTGGGTGTCGTGGGGAGTTGGTGGAGTGCTGTGGCGCAGTGAAAGACAGTTGTTGTGTGAATGTAGTAGTATATACAGTGGAACAAACGCACAAGACTAGCATCTGTATCCGAGAGAACCATTTGCATGGGAGACCACCGCTGACCAAGACACAAGTAGCCTCCTCTGTGCTGGGTTACAGAATTGCGTAACACACGTATTGTTACGCAATTCTGTACGCAATATGGAAAAGTAAATATGGTGTAATAACTACAGTGATTAATTTATGGAGGTTACTACTTATGTGTTCTACATAAAGATAAATGAGCCCTTTTGTCATGTGATGTGTTTGTCATGGCTCCAGAAAAGGGAGAAATTAATTGGTTTGAAAATTAACAAAGAAAGGGAAGTAAACTAATAGATGGGATCTGAGACCTGAGAGTAACTGAGAATGCAACAGCTACTTCAGGTTTTTAGCCATGCCAGTGGTATAGTTAAAGGCATGGCTTGGTTGACTGGAAATATGGTACAGACTCATCTCCTCAGGACTGATAAAACCATCTGGAAAGTCGATGTTGCAAACTGTTTGGAAAAGAGCAGGTGATTGGATGAACCATCTATCGGTATTTCACAGGTGAACTTCAACTAATCAGACCAACAAAACCATATAACGTAGTCAAACTCTTACCAAAGCCAGTTTGAAGAAGAGGAAAAATATCTTTTCCATTGATAAAAGCCTGTGCTGTTCTTTGCTCTTGTTCTGATATAACTGATGCTGGCAGCATCTACACTCTGTTCAAGGATTACCTCCGGTGCTAGATGATCTTTGTGTGGTTGTTCACTGACTCCTCAAGCTGATGAATTCTAATTTATAATGCAGCGATGTGACTCCTAATATTCAGACGGGGGATTATTGCAACACGGCTGTGTTCTTTGTCGCAGTATGCAACGGATGTTTTCAGTTTTTGTGGGGCCTCATGGTAGATCCTCCTCAAAAACTCAGTTGCAACACATCTTTCTCTCTCCCCCCAGCTGTGACGTGCCTCCTGTTTCACTGGGCCTTTCCTAAATCAGCTGATGCACTGTTAGTGCCATCGACATAATTAAGATAAAGGAAGTTTAGGTTTTTTGTTCTTCTGTTGTACAGTACAAAAAAACAAACCTCCAGCCATTTCAAATGAGGCCTGCAACCAGATTTGTCTCATGTAAACAGATGTCCCTTCCATTATAGTTCTATGTTGTTGATGCACCTTTCTTCTTGTTTTTTTCCCCCTTGTTTTAGGTCTGCCTCACCAAATTTAACAGGATATCTGATTTCAAGAAACATGTGCATTCAAGGGCACATCGAGAGGTGGGCATTAACCTTCATGTACACTTACCTTAAAGGATTTACTGGAATAGGCACAAAATTCTGAATCTGAGCCATTCACCAACCAAAATAAAAAACAAGGGAATGGGTTTTCCTTTTGGCTACTGGCAATCCTTCAGTTGGTGATGGCATATGCACAGGCACTTTAGAGTTTCCATTTCATCTAAACAGCATGTCTTTGGACTGTTAAAGGTCCAGTGTATAACATTTGGGAGGATCTATTGTCAGTAATGGAATATAATATTCATAGGTATGTTATCATTAGTGTATAATCACCTGAAAATAAGAATTGTTGTTTGTTACCTTAGAATGAGCCGAGTCTACCGCGTTGAACCGCCATGTTTCTACAGTAGCCCAGAAGTACGGTGGCTGACATGGGCAAACGCTCTGCAAACGGCAAAATGCTGCCAACACGGGAATGATGCAAATCCAAAAACACACAAACACACAAAACAAATCCAACAGAAAAACGCAGCAACAGAAAAATGCTGCAATCACAGAAACAAAGCAGAAGCAAAAACTTACAAACCCTCAAAACAAATGCCAAAGAAAAATGCTCCAAATACCAAAAACACACAAAACAACAAAACAACTCCAAGAGAAAAACGCTGCAGATTCGCTCGACAAAACGGAAGTGTGCCAGGCCACTAGGGGGACCAGACCTGAGGGATGGACCAGTCCTGTGAAGAGGAAGAAGGTGAAGAGGAAGAAGGTGAAGAAGAGGAAGAAGAAGAAGAAGAAGAAGAAAAAGAGCTAAGTTTTGGAGAGGACCGTAAAAAGGTAGTTTACTTTGTCTTTTTCAAACACTTTGCCGTAATCTTTCATAATATTATAATTATATTACCATCCCTAAGGTCGGGTCCCCCTAGTGGCCTGGTGCACTTCCGTTTTGTCGAGTGAATTTGCAGCGTTTCTATCTGGCAGTTGTTTTGGGGTTTGTACGTTTTTTTCTTCTGCCTCATTTCTGTGATTGCAGCATTTTTCTGTTTCTGCGTTTTTCTGTTGGATTTGTTTTATGTGCCCCTGTCGGCCACCGTACAGAAGGGACAAACTAAACTCTATACTCGAGAAGTATTCAGTTGGTTGCAATATGCAACTTCACCACTAGATGCCATTAAATCCTATGTACTGGTCATATTATGCTCATTTTCAGGTTCATACTGGGTACATTTGTACATGTTCCAAAAAGGCATTATTTTTCTGACACTGCCTCCCTCCCAAGTAGTTGCTGTGATTAGTCTGCTCCCATAAGCCTCAGTGGGTGGGACTAGACTGTCACCTAGCCCATTCTTTCATTGCAATATTACATCATACTGTAACAGGTACCACTACAGTGTGATGTAATATTTTAATGAAAGAAAAGACTGAATACAAACAAAGCATGTGAGACAGTGCAGGAGCAGTGTTTTCTGTGGGGAGCTGTTCCGTCTTTGGTTTCTGTTCAGACCTGTTACATGCTCAAAAAATCTGTTTAAGACTCTAAAGCACAGGTAAAACTCCAGAAAGCATAATACGCCTTCTTTTAATGTGAAAGGACATGAACACAATGGTGAACTCGCAAACTCTACATCATAGATGCTCACAAGTACTTTTTTGAAAGTCCAAATCAAGTCTTTTAGCAAAGTCCAAGTCAAGTGTCAAGTCTTTGAGAGACGGGTCAAAAGTCCAGTCTCAAGTCTCTGCATAGCTATATAAAGAATGTAAAGAATTCAAAGCATGCTGTATTATCATCACTACTTTATCTTTTAAGATGCACTATAAATTAACACGTCCCTCTAGCCTCTCAAAAACCTAGAGGTAACCTAATAAGCCCATAACGTTGTCAACAAATAACCCTGTAACCTAATAATTAACTTCATCAATTTATTGTGAGCCAGCAGATGGTGACAGCGGAAAATGGATGATTAAGTTATAACCCAACGATTTGTATAGTTATGGCAAAGCCAGCACACTTTCCCAGCGTTAACAGAAAGATTGGTCCTTGTGTTGAGTTGAAGCTGGAAGCCCTGAACCATTGGAGTCAAAAGACCAGTCCTTGACTAGTTTTTGAGTTCACTGTAATCCTGCATCATGTGACAATCCTCATATTCCTTTTGCTACGTTTGCCTTGGCATCAATAAACCACCTCAGCATATTCCTCTGTTCTTTACCAACAGCAAATGGAAAAAACCTTCCAGAAAGGTAATGCTAATTTTGTTATCATTATGTCCGGTTTATATCTGGCATTAACATGGGTCTTGGGTGATCTTTTATCAAGTGGACAGCGTTAAGTACATCGGTTTGAGACTTTGTGGAGATTTGATGTTTTTATATTACAAATGACGGAAAGGTATTGATGCTGTCAAAGGAAGTAAAATCTCTGCTGCTGGGTTGCTGACAGTCTGTCCCATGACGAGCCAGTAGTGGGCAAAAGAAGAGGTTATACCACCGTCTAACCACTTGTAATGGAGTGTCACTCCCTTGCTCATTCCCGTTTGCAATGATGAAGTGCGATACTGTTTTTTTAACTAGCAGCCCAATAGTAGTAGCCAATCCGCTGGGAAAAAGGGACACAATAGGTGTTTCTGGGCCAGAGGTAAGTTTTCTAATTCTAACAGTTGAAGCGCCTCATTTTTTGGGTCTGAACTGTTGGAACTAGGAATGATTGTAGTTTTCGGAACCCTGTTTAGAGGGACTTTTTTTAGCTCCTACCTCAAGGTAGGTACGCCATGGTCACATTAGTGTTTACACATAAATATATGTGATCACAATGTGTCTCTGTGGTCATTAAGACTACTTAAAACTGTCCACTTGTGATGTGATCACCCAAGACATATTAATACCAGAGGCTGTACTATGAAGCTGGGTTACTTATCCAGGTAACTCAGGAGTAACAATTGCAATTTACACTCCTTGTCTGAACTTCTCCGATCAAGTTTTCTTTGTGGTTAACTCAATGTTACTATAAATCACCTCTCCTCCGCCCACAATCTTGTTGAGAAAAATGTCGAAAGAGAAAACACTGTAACAAGCCTTTCTGGCTTTATTGGCCCCCACGGTGAGATTTGGCCATTGACTTTTATGTAATCAATTCTGATATTATCATAATGCTGGGGACACAAATAAGGAGCATGTGCCATTATTGTGCCAGCAAGACCGGCAGTTTTGGCCTGTCTTGCTAAACGTGTTTCTGGGTATCATCTGATAAACTGTAATTCATTTTTTCATTTAAAAAAACAAAAAAAAAAACATAAATTAGTTTGTTTCATTCGAAAAAATCAGTTTTTGGCTTCAGAATCAAAAAACGGAAAACGAATCCAGAGCTTGTCAACCCTGACTTCCTTAATAACCCTGAGTTAAATCTGAGTGGATTAAACTCCCTTTGTAGTACAGCCCTCAGGTATAAACAGGCTCTCATTTTTGTGTACTATGTGTGTTCTTTTGTTTCTGGAATCAATAAATGTGTTAATTTTATTCTGTCTCTAGTTCACTAATCCTTTTCTTTCTTTTACCTGTTTAGATATATTCAAGGGTCGTGGTAAGTGTTCTTCTTTTCCTTCTTGTTTGATAGTGTTTAATGTGCTTGTACAAGTTCTTGTGTACTGTCTTGTTGAATGCATTTCCCTGTTCCACGTTTGCAAAGCCATATCCTAATTAACACAGTTGTCTGTGTTCACAAACTAAATCTTAAAAGTTGTACTTATGGCGCCCGGTTCGCTCAGTGGGTAGAGCTGGCGACCCATGTACCGAGGCTGAGTCCTTGCTGCAGCGGCCCAGGGTTAGGGTTAATCCGACCTGCGGGCCTTTGCTGCATCTCTGCCCCCCCTTTCCTGCTGTCTTCAGCTGTCACTATCATAAGGCAAAGCACCAAAAAATACTTTTAAAAAAGAGTATTGTACTTATGTATAACTTTCAAACTTAAGGAGATTTGGTTTGGCTTTGATAAGTTGATTTGATACTGGATTCAGGTTCAGAAAGATTAAAAAATAACAGCTCCATAGCACTTCTAGTCGACAAAAACTCCACAAGGGACCTCAAAGCCTTTTGGATTGTCTGACAGAGAAACCCCCGTTCCTCACACAACATGCTTCACGCTTTACCAAATGTGATATTATTAACAAGCTCCCTAAAAGTTTTTGCCCACTTGTATGATTAATTCCCTCCTCTATAGTCGGGTTTCCATGTAAATGTTGCAAAACATTTTATTGAATTCCAAAAGAAAAAGTAAATTATTTTGCGTTTTCATCCTTTAGTCATGCAAACATAAAGAGTTGGCTCAAGACAAACAGCTGGTAAATGGACCTGTACTTGTATAGCGCCTTTCTAGTCTTCCGACCACTCAAAGCGCTTTTACACTACGTGCCACATTCACCCTTTCACACTCATTCACGGCAAAGTCCATCAAACAGAAACTAACTCATTCATACACCGATGCATGGCATCGGGAGCAATTTGGGGTTTGGTATCTTGCTCAAGGATACTTCATCATGTGGCAGCAGGAGCCGGGGATCGAACCCTTCTGATTAAGGAACAACCTGCTCTGCCTCTCAGCCACAGCCGCCCAACTGGCACTTGTTCTCTATAAGGGTGTCATTAATCTATTGTAGAAGAAGACCTTTAAACTATTTAGACAGCGATTGTTCAAACTGATAACACAGTTATTTATACAACAATTTTACTGTCAATTTCCATCACTCCACCTGTTAATTTTGAAGTTTAGGATTGGACTAGTGTGGGCTGATCTGAGTAGCTGTGTGTAATATTTCTTTCTTTCATTGTCGTTTGCTCTACAGGCTTCTTTCCCTACATTACTGTGATGGATATTCAAGCCAAACAGCCCATCATAGGTTTGTTAAGCGCAAGTACATTCTTGACCTTACGAATAGTAATTTGACAAAACAGTACTTTGTGTTATATGGTTGAAAGCTCTAGAAAAAGCTTGTGTGTGTGTGTGTGTGTGTGGGGTGTGGGTGGGGGTGTGTGTTATTATATCCTGACCTGAGGATAATACAACCAATATGTGTAACAGACACATTGCATTGAGTTTCAGGTTGATTCTGTGTGTTTAAGTTTGGCAGATTATAAGTATGTAATCTTATACCTTATCAACATAGCTGAAGGGAAAAAAGGAGAAATCATTTATTCTCTGTTATGAGGAAATATTTGGAATTAATTATTCTTTTTTAAATGTACTTTCTTCCAGGCTTGTCTCTGCTGACTTTGTGTTTCAGTCCAGAGACAAAGATATTTTTTTACTTGTGCCATGTCTGTGAGGAAAAGTGTCGACCTGACAATATTGCGTTCCACCTCTCTTCTGGTGACCACTGCAGCAACTACTTTGTAAGTTACCGAACATAATAAAAATTAACCAATGTTTTATACATTTGAAAGTGTGGTGTATTTCTGCGGCTGCCAAAAGTTGGTCTGTGGATGACTGAAAAAGGAAAGGTCTGCCACTCGTCTTGCTTTAATTTAGGACTTTATTAAACAAAAACAAGTGGATGTGTCAGATGCATCTTCTGACCGAACTTTCCTCCAGTCCAGCTCTTTTTATACTGGCATGTAAACATTCTGTAGGTTACAAAAATGGCGGAATTTCCTGCTATGAGAATTGGTCCAGCTCACACTTTATCTCCTTATATAGAAACAGACATAACTGTCTTTTTACCTAAACATATTCTAAAGAAGATGTTCCTTACATACACTTCTCCTAATATGGAATTCTCCTCCACACTTATAGCGAGAGGCACCGCATACCATTATATGTAAATCATTATGTTTTTCACACAGAGAGAGGGTCTTCATGTTTGGAAAATATACCTTTAAAAGCACAATTTAATTAGAATTTTTTTATTTCAGAACTACACGGACCCCAACGTACTGAGTTTCTCATGGCTCCCCAGCATGAATATGAGCGTCATTCTCAGGCCTGAGCTCACAAAGGAAGCACATGAAAAAGGGCCTGGACAACTGCAGGTTGGTACCCGGAGGTCTGGAATATAAATGTAAATTCAATTGTCTATTGAATTATTGTCACCGAACTCTGCAATTAAATCTCAGCTCTCTAGAGCTTCATATTGTCTTGATGTATAGATCATAGCTCATGGTTTTGATTTTCCAGCCCACAAATTTTAGTCTTTCTGTTCACTGTTCTCATTTTGTTGTTTTGGGCTGCAGCACACAGTTATCCTCAGTGACAAAGCTATGAAATGGATAGATTCAGCAATCTACCTTCCAACCTGTTCAGCAACAAACCACACACAGACAAAGTTAACAACTAGCCGGTGAAAGTAGTGAAGCATTTAGCAGCTAAAGAGACAGATATTTTCCTCAGGAGTTTGTAGTTACCAAAACAGGGCTAAAAGGAGACAGTATTGGACTTCTAAGGTTACCACAAACTAGAATCCAAATGATTGTTGCTGTATGAATCTGCTGGATGTGTAACTATGCAACTGTTGGTTTAGACATCACCACCTCATTATTTCTTACCACTGTTATATGAAAACTTAAACTTCAAGCTCTCTGACTATTGTGAGACGACACAAACTCACTGGAAAGGAACCCAACGTTGTGGCAGAAAGAGGTGAATCAAAACAGAATCAGATGTCCGAGACACAGATGTCAAATGGGGAATCTCTTTATTCCAGACAGATCTTACGCAGTCAGAGATATTAACCAGGGATTTCAGATCGTAACATGCCTTTTATACAAAAACCAGGCTGTGTGTGTGTATGGGCATACCGATCTCATCCTGTCTTCCAGAACTTTTGGCAAACCTAACTTACCAGGAAAGGATCATATCTCATGTTGTACTTCGGCCATTTAAGAACATGCTTTTTGGCATCAACACTATGTGTATGATTGTGTGTGTGTGTGGTGACAATCACTATTACGCAACATCTGGCTGATGTTCCCGGCTCTATTCCAAGTTGTGATGTTCTGGCTCTTTCACTCCTAATTTTCCTACATATCCTGTTGTTGTTCCCGGCTCTGTTCCAGGTCATGGTGACCTGGCTCAAGTCTTGGTGACCGGCCTCTCACCCTTCCAATGGTACTCTAAACAGGAGAGGTCATAATGGAATTCTCCTACACAATTAAGAGATGAGGACTCAAAAATTACTAATTGAATCAGGCAGCTTCACACCACATAAGGTTTATTATGTATCAATACAGAATACAAGCAAACGGACTCTCAAGATCAACTGAACTAAACAAGCAAGGTTTCATCCTTTTTATACTCTTCTGACAATAGACTATGTGATGAGACAGTAACAGGAGAGCATATACATCTTTGATCATGTCTGGGGTTCACTACTTCCATGTTTGTAAAATTAATGTATCATCTACCATCCTGGCATGTTCCTCCTTACCCAGACTTCTTTATACACCTGGACACTGATCCTTCACACCAAATTCATTCTCATTCAGAATAAGTAATAGTCTTGTTTAAAATATGGGCCACGAAGGAGAATACCATCTGGATTTACTCACACTCTGTGACCTCAGCTGACATATTTATTACTAGGAGCAGTTGTGGTGTATTTTCGTGGCTGCCAAAAGTTGGTCTATGGATGACTGAAAAAGAAAAGGTCCGCCACTCTTCTTGCTTTGGTTTAGGACTTTATTAAACAAAAACAAGTGAGTTTCAGATGCATCTTCTGGCCGAATTCTCTCCTCTCTCTCTCTCCCGTTCAGCCCTTATATCTTAGCATGTAAACATTCTATAGGCTACAAAACTGACAGACTTTCCTGTTATGAACATAGCTGTTTTTTTACCTACACATAACATAAAGCAGATGTGTCCTACACACACTTCCTAATCTGGAGTTTTCCTGCACACCGGATACCATCATGTGAACATCCTGTTTTTCACACATAGGGAGGGAGGTTTAATGTATTTGTTTCCCTATAGCATGTGTATGTGAATTGTTGTTTGCTTCATGCTCACAGACGATTATCCCAAGTATCAGTCGGAGGGGAAGGTTATCAGTTTTCCACATTTTCTCTTTGCAGATGTTGGATTTACCTGAAATTCTGTTGAAAACGCTCATAAGAAGTACCTACTCTGAAGGTATATGATATTTTCCATGACATATTTGTTTCATAAATTGTATGTTACTGACAATGATCCGCTCATTCTCCCCAGTGATGCGGACTCTCAGTGAAAATGAGAAGCTACGGAAGCTAATTGAAGGTGTGTGGAAATGTTTCTCAATACCTTTTACTGCATACTATGATTTCAGTGTAGAGTTCAGACTACAGCTTCACCAAAATCCAACAAAACAGCAACAGTGAGGCCAATTCTTTTATTTTTGCTGTAGACTGAAAACATTCGGGTTTGACATCAAAAGATGAATATGAGACAAGAGATTGTCGTGGAAATTCTTCCCAAAATTGAGAGGTGCATATTCTCTGAAGAACTTTGTGTGCTGGTGTGGTAATCAAGACACTTTTATACATGCAGCATGGAGAGAAGACCACATCATGAGTATTCTCTCCAGATTTTCACAATGCTCTTCCTTATATATCTCACTACATCGTAAAACAGTGAACACCCCTGTTTGTCTTGTTTATGTTATTAATGAAAAAGTCCAGGTCTCTCCCACAAATAGTTTTGAGAGCTGTGACCCCCTCCTGACTTTAGTCTGTGACCGACTGCTGACCGGTCACTTCCTACCATAAAACACAACCCCCTGACCAGGACCATATTCATTTACTACCCCTCCTAATACTGTTTATCTACCACAAGATCAACATTTCAGCTTTTTTTCCCAGGTACATCTGGACCTGATACACAACTTAGAAGATAGCACCTTTTGTTTGAACCCATCCATTTTTCATGTGAGCAAAAGTATTGGAACATTTGATTGACAGGTGTGTTTTGTTTCCCAGGTGTGTCCTATTACATTGATTATGCAAACAACAAATAGCGCTGAATATCTATGCTCAGTTTCAGATTTGGGTTTTGCCTGTGCAAACTGCATTTATAGTTAGAGGTGTAACCAACATGAAAACCAGAGAGCTGTCTATGGGTGAAAAAGCAATTGTGAAGCTGAGAGAAGATGCAAAATCCTGAAGAAGAAAGAAACCACTGGTGTACCAAGTAACAGACGTTGAACGGATAGACCAAGGAAAACAGCAGCAGTTGACGACAGAAACATTGTGAGAGCTGTAAAAGACCCGAAAACAACTGTTTCAAAGTGACATCAACCAGAACCTCCAGAGGGCAGGAGTGAAGATATCACAATCTACTGTTCGCAGAAGACTTCATGAACAAAAGTGCAGAGGCTACATCGGAAGATGCAAACCACTCATTAGCAAGAAGAATACGAAGGCCAGACTGGAATTTGCCAAAAAGTACAGAGACGACCCTCAAACATTTTGAGACAAAGTTTTACGTACTGATGAGACAAAGATTAACATTTACCAAAGTGATGGAAAGGCTAAAGTTTGGAGAAAGAAAGTATCTCCTCATGATCCCAGACATACAAGCTCATCTGTGAAACACAGTGGAGGTAATGTCATGGATTGGGCTTGCATGGCTTCTTCTAGGACGGGCTCATTAATAAATGAAACATGTTGTCTGCCAATTTAAAGAAAGATGCAACCAAATTGGGAGATCCTTCATCATGCAGCAAGATAATCACCCAAAACACACTGCCACATCAGGTGCAAGAAGTGGAAGGTTTTAGACTGGCCAAGTCGATCTCCAGACCTAAACCCTATAGAGCATTTTACCTGCTAAAGAGGAGACAGAAAGGAGTAAGCCCCCAAAACAAACAACAACTGAAAGAGGCTGCGGTGAAAGCCTGGAAAAGCATCACAAAAGAAGAATACAAAAGTTTGGTGATGTTAGTGGGTCACAGGTTTGATGCAGTTATTGCAAGCAAAGGATTGCAACTAAATATTAAGTCTTATTCACTTTAATCTATTTTAAGTCCATTTGTTACAATACTTTTGCTCGACTAAAATAGTTGGTGTTCCGTAACAAATAATCTTCTAAGTTGTGTATCAGGTCCAAAAGTTAAATAAAAGCTGAAATGTTGATCTCTTGTCTCATGGTTATCTTTTGATGTCAAGGAGGAGAGAGAAGGGAAATTAGATCAGAAGAGGCATCTGACACTCACTTGTTTTTGTTTAATAAAGCCCTAAATTATACAAAGCAAGAAGAGTGGCAGACCTTTTCTTTCTCAGTCATCCGCAGACCAACTTTTGGCAGCCGCAAAAATACACCACGGTACTACTTGTATAAACCCAGTTAATATATACTTTAGTTTATTCTTCATCTCGAAAACAGCAGTCATCTCACTACAAGGTCCATTTAGTAACTGATCCATGTTGCAGTTGTATAACATGATCAATATTGGCTTATGCTTTTAAGCTTTTAAAATGTTAATTTGAACATCTACAATTCAAAGACAACTGGAAAAACTCAATCTGTTGATGAAAATCATGTGATATGATCCAAAGCTCTAATGGACCTTATACTGTATATCTGTGATCATATCTTACATTTACTCTTTCTTATCATACTTCATGCTCCATGCTTCATAGCTTCATAATCTTTTTTTCCTTCTAGCTGTCGAGCCAAAGAGGATGATGATACAAACATACCAAAGAGACAGCAACAGGAAGCATCCACTTCTTGGTCAGTAAATCTACCTAAAATAACACCTGATCATCTAATGTAATTACATGTTTTATCTTCTGGATTAAAAATCATTTAGATTTTTGGATACAAAATTCTGCTGGTAATGTTTTACTGGGTGCCAGCAGACGGCTGTGAGTGTGGGTGGAAGCTCTGTGGCTCGCAGCAGACCGGTTGAGACGCTACAGAGGGATAAATCCATTTAGAGGAATGCTTTCTTATAGGATAACTTACTTTTCACTACTCATGCTAATACAGGGTAATAATATAAGTCCAATTCAACAAAATTAATTAATCCAAGGAAGAATTGTACCAATAAATGAGATGAAATTCTTACTTCAACAGACCTTTTTGGCCTTCCTCAGCTTTTTTTTTTAGATAAAATGTCTTCCTCTGTTCTTTCTTCTCTGATTCTCTCGTAGGCCTGCAGCACATTGTTGAATGTGTTTCTGTCGGACCCACCGAGAAGAGATACTACCTCTGCACGCTCTGCAAACTCACTTTGGCCACACGCATGGTCATCAAACACGTCCTGAGCTTTGACCACATCTATTGTTACTTTGTAAGTAGCTGTGACATTAGAGAGAATATTTCTAAAAAGTGGCAAAGGCAAAAATAGGTGGAGAGCCATGGTTGTTTTCCATGATGTAAAATGAGTTTTGAAGAGAGATTTTAAAGAAGACACTGGAGAGGCAGTGATCAGGCCAATGGGCACTGATATAGCAATTTGGCAAATTTTTCCATTCTGACAAACAGGAAAGAGAGAAAATGTCTCACAGTATTGTCACACTTTATTAGTGCTCAGAGGACGGTACACATGACAAAGGTTAGTTTGCAATGTGGACCTGAAGAGATGCTGTTTTATACCTTGGATTGTTTTTTCCTCTGTTTATGCCTTCCTCCCCTCCAGCCAAGGCTGTCTCTTCTTGTAACTCATACTTATTGTGCTTATTCTCATCTCAAGCACTGTTTGAATTTAACAAGCTATTGGCCTTGGCAGCGTTCTCATTGATTTCTAGCTGTACTTCCTGACAAAGATGTTATCCTTTTTTGCAATGCTGAACCCCAAACAGACCTTCTGGTCACATACATATACATATACATTCCAGGAATGTTTCTGTTAAATTTATGATACTAAGCACTAAGGTACACTCGGGTAAAGGTTATATGGTACAATATTCAGACTTTTCAAAAACAATAGAAATTAAACATGATTGTTGTGAAGATTTTCAAATGTGACCAGACGCTTAATATGTGTAATTCACATTAATTATGGACATCCTGTAGAGAGAATAAAGGGAATATCTATATATAATAACAGCAGATTTTATTAACGGCGTAGGTCATTCAAATGGTCTGTGAGCTTTCTCAAATTTTGGGTTATAAGTAATAATAAGTATAAGAGTATTTATTCTGCGTAGCGGTTTAACTTTCATTGAATTCACCTCGGGGACACCACCGTTTGAAAAAGGAAATTATGACCAATTAATTAAATCAGGCTCAATCTGGGTCTCTCAGAGCTTTTCTCCGTCCACAGAGAACTGAGTAACTTTCCTTATCTTTTCCTGTCAAGTCCTCTGGGGCCAGTAAATATTGGGACAGGGTTGAACTGGGAACAACATTGGACCCCTCACCCTCCCTGACTTGCAGCCAACAGCACAATAACTTCATTCACCTGAATCTCAACAGGAGTTACAGTACAGGAACAGCACAACATATTCACTTACTTATCTCAACTACACAGAATTTACAGCGCAGATTCACTCAATAAATGTCAATATCAGCTTTAGATTGAACCATAAACAGTTTGACTGTACTCCAGAATTTGCTGCATTATCTACCTTAAATATAGTCTTTGTTCTGATTTTGATATTGAGTGAATCCACAACAACTGAAATCAGTACAGTTTGTCTTTGTGTTTGTGTAATTCACGTCAGTTTTATTCTCTGTTGCAGAAAGCGTGGCACCCCTCTACTCTGCTGTCAAAGGAATGCTACAAGGATTACGACAAGGCTTTAGCCTCCATGATACTTGATTTTGCCAAGCAGACAGAGGAGATTCATGGCACTGCAAACGCTGATATGAAGGTAATACAGTCTACAAAGTCACTAGTAGTTCCTAATTGATGCCTTTGTTCATATTAATGTGAAACTGAATGACTTTGTGTTGCAGCAAGTGAGCCTGGAGCCTGCCAAATTCACCTCAGTGAATTTCACTTGTTATGCAGAAGGTTGGTATTTACTCTTTGTGCCACAGTTTGTGTTGTATTCATCTGAATGATGTAATGATTATTGAGCCTCTGGTGGCTTTTAGCTTTGAAGGAACTGGAATCCATCACAAAGGAAAACAAGGAGAGCAGCTTGATTACGAGCATCAATCCAGGGAAGAAACTAGGTGTGTTTGATTTCAGTGTACTCATCTCTCATCAGTTTGAGGCTCTTAACGCTGGTTGTTGTTATGTGAAACTGTCTGCTGTGTGAAATGTATGTTACACTACATGCAGGTTATGATTATTCTATTAATTTCAGAAGTATTATAGTATATTACAATGAATCACTCTTTGTTTTGGTGTTGCATAGTATCTTTGGAAAGTTTAAAATAATATGTTCTGTGTATCTGTCATAGATGGACAGTAAATTCTCAAACAGTTGAAATAAAAAGTAGTCAGACATTTGATAGACTCCAGAAAATATATGTAATGTATTTCAACTACTATCTATTTGTACAATTAACAATATGAAATTAACAGCTCTTTGTTTTTATCTTTTGTAGAGCGTCATACTGTGTCAGCAGCTCCTATAGCGTTTTTGTACAAACTATGCTGTCAGGTAATAAATTATAAATATCACAATTAAACATTTCACTACCTATTTTGCCTGGCTGTCATTGTTTCACCCTTGTGTCTCCCTTGTTGCAGGACTGTAATATGATCTTTGAGACGACAGCTCAGTATTTCAAACACATCTCACAGGGAGAACACAAAGAGGTATCTCAACATTTTCATATCTTCCTACAGAAAAAAGGAGTTCTGATTATTGATGATATGTTGCAAACTCTGACCTTACATAAGATCTGTTCCTAATATTCTTCCCCAGATGTTGGAGAAAATATTTGCCAAAGGTATCTTCCCCTTTCTCTCACTTTGCATATTATTGCATATTATTAAAGCTCTGTTAAGATATAATTATTTTCCTCTTTCTTGCAGCTGAAAGACCTGATGGTTGGGACCAACCAGGTACACTTGAAAATATTATAGAAATAAATAAATGTATTTATCTTGAAACCTTGAGTTATTTGTATTTTGGTACAAAGTTTGAGCACGTCTGCTGTAATTAAAAATTGTAATTGATTTTTTCATTCAGCTTTCTCTCTCAACCCTCCTTTCTTTAACCCTTTAGTTCGGACACCCAGTCTGGGCTTATACAAGTACCTCAAAGAGAGCTTTTATCAAAATCAGCCAGCTATTGGTGAGCACTTATCATTGTGGGTATTTTTTAAGGTGTTAAACTGAAAAATATGTTTCTTATTTATTGTGTGTGTGTGTGTGTGTGTGTGTGTGTGTGTGTGTGTGTGTGTGTGTGTATCTGTGTTTTTACAGTAGGTGTACCCCTGGTTGTGACGTGTGTCAGCACTCAGGTTCAGGTGGAACCTATTTACATGTGCTTTGCTTGTCAGGACTGTTTCTGTGAGCCCATCCTCAAACAACACTTCAACTCTCCAAAGCATCTCATACGCACGCTGGTGAGCTATTTCTATATTTTTATAAGTTATTTCTTGATTATTTGTTCCCTTTTTATTAGATAGGAGAGCAGAGGCAGGGACTCTGGTGGAAATCTGTCATTCTGTCGATTTAAAAGGCAAAAGGCCTTCGTCTGTGTTCAGTACATAGTCCAACGATGGGAGGGAGGGGGCGGCTTCCTTCCTGTCACAAATAGATCATGCACTCGTTTCCTTTTTTCCGTTTTTTTTTTAATCTTTCTATTATCTCAGCTAACTTGAAAAACAGTGCATAAAGCTGCAGGTGTTTATTGTATTCATTAAGTCCAAGTGCAGGTCAGCATGACATGTGTAGGCTGGACTATATTTCAACCTATCATCATGTCATGCCTCATTTGATTAATTTACCGGTCGGGTACAGTTCAACAGGAAATAAAGTCAGTCATGCTGTTTACAGTATAATACAGTAAATCACAGTTCATACAAAGGTTATTTACTAAATGATAATTTTCCTCTACATTCTGGATCTGGATGTTCCCAAACCACAGTCTGAATTTATGTTCCTTTCACAAATCACACACACACACACACACACACACACACACACACACACACACACACACACACACACACACACACACACACCAATAATAAGTTGTGTCATTTGTATGGAGATTGAACAGACCGGGTTGATTGAAAAGTCACCGGTGCTTGTGTGGCCGAGGAAAGTTTTACAGTAATATACAGCAGTCTCCGATGGGAGATATGTCTGCATGTAATAACCAGCTTTTGTATTAAATTCTCAGCTGTACCAGAATCCCTGGCGGCTCCCTTTTGCCTGGGAGAGTCTCGATTTAAAAGTCTTAAAGTCAGTGGCGTGGGAAGAGGAGAAGGAAAGAGGACCAAATCAGATGATGCTGAAGGTAGAACATAAATTCAGTGTTTTCTTACTAATGTATTCACAATTTGTGGATTAATATATATATAAATTTTACCAGCTTCGTAGCGCACAAACAAAGGGCAATAACTGAAAGTACCACAGTAAAGCTGGTTATTGTCATATAATGCACTTATTTTCTGTAAACTAAATATTTCTTCTTATTCATTACTTTCTCAGGTACTTGATATCCCATATTGGATGTTTTGGAGCCTCATCCCTAGTTACCCAAAAGGTACTGTTGATTAAATCTTTTACCCGAATTATTAAAAATACTAACATAAACTTAAAGCTGTCTGACTAATGTGAGACAGCACAAACTCTCACTGAAAATGAACCCAATGAAGAGACGAGGACTCAAACGACATATTAAATCAGTTTGCTTTATTCGTATCAATACAGAATACAAGCAAAGCTGTCTCGAAGATCAGCTGAACTAAATAAGGTCACATTCGTTGAAACTTTCCTTAAAATGAATGTATCATCTATCACCCGGCACATTGTTCCCAGGTCGTCCTGTCCCAAACTTCCCCATACACCCACACATTGATCCTTTAAAAACCTTCAACTCACAAAACTATATCCCAGGGTGCATTTCCCTGCTCTTAAGGAATTAGGTTTTTAATCCAATTATTCCTTTCTGCATTTAAAACTGTGTTTTAGGCAAAACAGGAAAATGTTTGTCACTGATCAGTGACTGAAGTTTCAGTTTATATCCAATTGTGCATTTTGGTCACGCATGCCACCAAGTCCACTAGAGCAACATTGAAATACAAAAATGAAATATGAAGCAGTCTCAGATAGTTTTGTTTCTCATTGTTGATTTTGTCTGCAGTGATGGCGAGCCTTGAACTACACCACACTTTCCTGAAGCGTGAAGGTCGGTGATACAGTTTTTTTCTCAGCCTTGAAGATTGAAAATGAGTACTTTCATCTGATGTGTGAGTGTTTGTCTGTTATGTCTGCTCAGTTCCACGGTGTGAAACATACAGCAAACTCAAAGAAAATGAGAGATTTCCTCTGCTGGGTGAGTACCACAGGAGAGAATAAAGACTTCCAGAAATCATAGATACACTATGAATGTTTTAGATTTTTCTGTACCTTATGATTGCAGGTCAACAGTTCCTGGTCATGTATGACATGGTCAAACAGCATCAGTCCCCAGGAGTGGGATTTCTGTGTTTGCTCTGTAAGAGGAGGTTGTCGGATGAGGAATGCTACGCTCATGTGTTCAGTCGGGAACATGTTGCAACATTTCTGGTGAGTATATTATATTATATTATATTATATTATATTATATTATATTAAATTCTTAAAACTTATCACTGCAATATGTAAAGAATAATGCCAGATGAAGTGTCCATAATCAGGAATTAATGGACAATGTGGAGTCAATTAATTCCTGATAATGGACACCTCGAAGGGCATTTTCCTGCTTATACCATGGTCACTGTTATAACCTTAGATGGTTAATAATTCCGGGGTGCAGTACCCTTATAACACAGTGACACAGTTTCAGTCTGTCACAGTCACCAAAAGAAAAAACAAAGATTATTTGACTTGGCAAGGGGAGATGCTTCTAGTTCCCTAGAACACTGCGTACGGCGGACAGACAATAAATATAAACTGACAATATGTTTAACAACAAGACAAACTAGTCACATATATTGATATTGATATTGATTTGGGGACAGTCACATGACTGTCCCCAAATCAATATCAAAATCAGACCACAGCATAGGAGTTGGCTGAAGCCACCACAGTCATAAAAAGTCCTGAGGAGATCCCTGCACACTCCGAAGGACCTCAGCAGGTGGAGGCGACTCTGGCCCTTCATGTAGAGAGCATAGGTGTTGTCAGTCCAGTCCAGTTTGTTATTGAGGTGGAAACCCAGGAATTTGTAATTCTCTACCACCTCAATGTCCAATCCCTGGATGTTCACCGGTGTGGCGTAATGGTAATTGTTATCATCACTCAATATCCCAAATAGTGTGCAAAGGCAGGCAAACATGGGCACAATAAGTCATGTTAGGAAAACTCAAATACTTTTTAATAAATGCATGTAGCACTGTGTTTACAACTTGTAATTGAAAGTAATATGTGAAGCAGTTCACATGTATTAATCACTTTGTATTGCCATTGATGTGTGAAGCATCTGTGTTCTCAGCATTGGGTTTCTGGGTTTTTAGCCAGGAATGTCTTTTGACTAGCCCTGAATATACATAAAACAACAACATATTTTGATTGAAAAAAATTACATGAAATGAAAATGAAAAACCCTCCAGTCCCGTGTGCCCAAAGACTAAATATAGTATGATAAGGAAAACTCAATTTTCAGCCTAACAGTTTAACCGATTTTGAAAATTTCTTTAGATTTGTCCCAGACAAGATTTTCACCACAGGAAATTCAAAGTTTTAGTTGCAGGCACAAATGTTTTAATATACCCACATCTGGAAATCCTTTTCATTCATACTAATCTCCTCCAAGGGGTCGCTCCTATGATACCTTACACAACACTGAACACAGAATAACTAACCCTCTGCCAAGAACACCAGATATGTGAATGTCAAGATGATAAATGAATATAATGAATGAATACAAAAATACCTCTACACAGCACAAACCTGTATGAACTACATCAAGAAATTACATTTTACTACTACTACTTAATTAATTGTACAAGATTCAAAAACTACTGTAATTAATTATGCAGCACTATAAAGCATTCTTTGATTAGTCACTTTTTGTTTTATTTTACCATACAGTAGTAAATTGTCATATGATACCCAATGCTACTGTATACAGTGTATTCTGTTTGTCTGGCTTAAGATGCATTCGTCAGTATTTCTTGTTAGCTATGGTTGCTAAAAACACACAAATAAAGTGTTTAAAGTAGCAGAAAAACTCACTTTTTGTGTGTGTGTGTGTGTGTGTGTGCGCGTGTGTGCGTGTGTGTATGCGCGTGTGTAGGACCATTTCCACCCAGGCTCGCTGAAATCAAGCAACGATGTAGAGACCTTATTGGACTTGGCCAAACAGGCGGAATGTATTCACTCCATATCACATGTGCAGGTATTCTGTGCCAGACACTGAATTTACCATGTCATGTGACTTCATGTCATTCTCATCTTGCACTTATGTTTGAATGTTTTCCGTCTTCAAAGGTAATAAAGTTGGACAAACCCATCTGGGAGCCATGTGCCTACCACAAAGGTGAGTGTGTTTATTAAAATTAGTGAATAAATGTTTCCCATTGGCGTCTGTAACTGTGAATTGGTTTCTTGACTATTACATTATTTCATTCAGCCATATACATTCTGGCATCTGCAAAGAGGAGAGAAGGGAAAGGAAAGCTTGAACCCCCAATAACGCCTAAAATGAAGCTGGGTAAGTTATTCCAGAAATGTATTTATATATAAAACGTTTAGTTATGTAGATCCCTAACCCTAAAGAGTACAGCTGAGACTTCCATCTGTCACCATGGAGCAGATCATTTATATTATGGTTGCCATGCCGCCGCCGCGAGTGGCAGCCTTTTCAGCAGCTCCAAGTGTGTAGTGTCTTTTTTTACTTTTTGTTGTTGATATTGTTGGGGGTCTTTTTTATATACGCATTTGTGCCTTGTCACATCTGATCAACTTCTATCCTATTGATATGGATATTTATTTACCGAAACTCGTTTATACAAGAAACCAACTTCTCACGCTGAAGACAAAGTCCTGGGCCGGTGTGGTTCCCCATTTACCTGACGAGGGGAGGAGACCCTATCGTGGCTGCAGAGCCGGCGCAAAGCTAAAGGCCAAGCGACTGGCGAAGAAGTGGTGATCATGGGAAATGTGAACTCACTGCTGTATAAGATCGACGAAGTGGCTGCGCTGGTGAAAAATGTTAAAATCTACAGGGATAGGGCGGTAGGGTTGTGACCCTTCTACTGGCCCAGAGAGTTGGGACATGTCATTGTGGTCATTGTTTCCATCCCACAATGTGCCGACTCTGTAGTCGCGTATGACGCCATCCACTCCGCGGTAGCAGGACTACAAACACAGCACCCCGAGGCTCTGGTGTAAATCTCTGGGGACATTAATCATGTGACTCTGGACACAACTCTACCTGCTTTCTTCCAGTATGTGGACTGTTAGACCAGGGGAAATATACAACGGAGTATTAGGGCCAGGCTAAGAGAAAAATATATTAAATTTTTTGGGAAATTACGAGAATAAAGTCATAATATTAGGTCTACGAGTATAAAGTCATAATATTACGAGAAAAAAGTCGTAATGTTACGAGAATAAAGTCGTAATAACACTATTACGACAGACTTCAAATACAGCTCGGAGTCCTGTCACATGCAAAAGTTTACCGACGACACGGCTATCGTGGGCTGTATCAGGAGTGACCAGGAGGAGGAGTACAGGAAACTCATCCAGGACTTTGTCACATGGTTTGACTCCAACCACCACCAAGACCAAGGAGATGGTGGTGGACCTCAGAAGGCCCAGGGCTCACCCGGAACCTGTGACCATCAACGGTGACTGTGTGGAGTTGGTACAGACTTACAAATACCTGGGAGTACACCTGGATGATAGGCTGGACTAGACTGCCAACACAGACGCCCTGTGCAGAAGAGGTCAGAAGGCTGGCATCCTTCAACATCTGCAAAAAACTGTTGCAGGTGTTCTATCAGACTGTTGTGGCGAGCACCCTCTTCTATGCAGTAGTGTGCTGGGGGAGGCAGCATTAAGAGGAAGGACGCCTCCCGTCTGGACAAACTAGTGAGGAAGGCGGGTTCTGTGTTGTCACTGTTCTGCTCCACTGAAAGACTAAGGAGATTGTTCCTCCCCCACGCCATGAGGCTCTTCAACTCCACCCAGGGGAGAAAAACCAAAAAACTCTAAACTCCAGTATGTCTGCCCTGTATGAAACTATACAACCAGATGCACTGCACCTTGCATTATGTGTGACCACCTACTTGACACCTACTTGACACCTACTTGACACCTACTTGACACCTTAGGCCTTTCAAACACTGGATTTGACCATGAACCTTAGGACACTTACCCAATGCTCGTTATTTTTTTAATTTTATTATTTTATTTTATTTGATTTCATTGGTTCTTTTGCATTTGGCCTCCTGTTGTTGTTGTTGTTGTTGTTATTATTGTCATTATTATCAGTCTGTGGATACTGCTGGTAACTGAATTTCCCCTTGGGGATGAGTAAAGTATCTATCTAATTTAATTATTTTGTTGTTGTTTTTGTTTTGTTTTAATTTGGTGAGCAGTCAGAAATTCCTGGAAATGAACTACTACTAATCTCTTAACACATCCATTATTTGCTTATTTGGATAGATTGTTGCTCATGTATTTTTGTTTTCTGAGTGGAAACATTGCAGATAATTATAATAAAATGCATTTGTGTAATGCCATTTCTGTTTCTCAGTCCCCAGAGAAACTTTGAAAGACTTGGACAAGGACACTAAGGAAATCATTAGGATGCAGAGGTCTGAGAAAAAGTCTGGACAAAACTCTGGTGAGATGATGCTGAAAAACATTTCAGTAGAAGTTGAGGCTGAAATCGCCAATACACAGTGTGTAAAGAGTGCAGAAAATGGAGAAAGCAGAGCAGACAAAGAGATGCCTACACCAAATCAAAAAGACTCAGAGCTGAGAAAAGAGATTAGTAGTTCAGAGGAGATAAAGAATGCAGGTAGTGAGACAGGCCAGAGGATAAAGGAGAAGAAGATTGAAGAGCCTTTAATGAGAACACCAAGTGGGGAGACCCTAGAAAGCTGCAAGATCGCAGACAAAGCTGATGGAACAGAGATTGGAGAAGAAAGGAGCAAAAGTAGCAAAGATGTCCTCACACAGTTGAAGAATAACGCATGCAAAGAAAATGAAAATAAGCGTTCAAGCAGCACGTGTGAAAAATCACAGGACGACACATGTCCTAATGAGGAAGCAGAGAAAGAAATGTGCCATAAAAGGCAGCGACTCACCTTCAAACAAGAAGCATCTTGTGAAGAACCCCAAAACCTGCCAAGCAGCAGACAAACGGAGGGAGCAGACAAAGAGACTCCTACTCCAAGTCCAAAAGAATCAGAGAGGGGAAGAGAGGTGTTTCCAAAAACTAGTTCAGAGGAGATAAAGAACGCAGATAGTGAGACATGCCAGAGGATAAAGGAGGAGAAGATTGAAGAGCTTATAGTGAGAACACCAAGTGGGGAGTCCCTAAAAAGCTGCAAACACACAGACAAAGCTGATGGAACAGAGATTGGAGAAGAAAGGAGCAAAAGTAGCAAAGGTGTCCTGACAAACAAAGAAAATGAAAGAAAGCGCCCAAGCAGCACGTGTGAAAAATCAGAGGACACATTTCCTAATGAGGAAGCAGAGAAAGAAATGTGCCATAAAAGACAGCGACTCACCTTCAAACAAGCATCTTGTGAAGAACCCCAAAACCTGCCAAGCAGCGGACAAACGGAGGCGACCACCGCAGACGAGGGAGAAAGTGGCAAATTAAGTCACAAGACTGCAAAGGATAACGGTATGTACATTTCATATTTAAGTTTGTGGAAGATTTTCCTGTATTTCTGTGAAAAAGGCTCAGTCTGTCTGTGATACAGTGTCTTTTATAGACTGCAGTTTTAGCTATCATATTTTGATTCCTCACAAAGTTTCGTGTTACATTTACTGGAGCGTCAATCGTTTCCTAATTAAATAATTTCTGTGAATGAGAACATTTCAGCAAGAGTAGAGGTTGATACACAATATTAATAGTGACCAAAATATCCTCTAGGCCTGAATGCACTTCTTGAATGCTATCGTGATCAGCGTGGTCCCATCTACTTCTGTGAGTGCTGCTCTCTGAAGATCCCAGAGAAGGACTTCATCAGCCATGTTACTGGAGCTGACCACCAGAAGATGTACCTAGTGGTGAGTAAATGTTAAAGGATATGTTGGATTTTTTCAAGGCGATGTTGTACTCTATCGTTGATGTCGTATGGCGAATTGTATTATTTGTTACATGCTTGGGTAATATTGCCCAGCCCTATGTTATATATTGATAGAATTATTGGTCAGTGTAATCCTTCTCGAGACAATATCCTCATTCTGTGCATAAATGCATTCCAAGTTTGCCAAATCGATGGGGAACTTCCAAAGTTGTAGTTGTTTCAGTACAAACTTCCCTTTTGGTCTTCCTTACTGTGCTGTAGTTGAGAAATACATCCTGGCAGTTACATGTAGGTTTTGTTTACATAACAAAACATAGGCAATAAACACGCAGACAGCTGAGAGGACAAGGTTACCCACCTGATTTGGACAACTGAGACTACTGAAGATGGATATAGTACAGAGAAGAGGATTCCTGTCAGGGGTACCCAGCAAAGCCCTCGACAAGCTCCAGAATGTGCAGAACTCAGCGGCCAGGGTCCTCAACTGCAATTAGCCCTGGGAGCTCATCACTCCCACCCTCATTCTCCTCCACTGGCTCCCAGTCAAGTCCTGTCTCTCCAAAATCCACTATAAATCTATTTATGCCCTTGCCCCACAGTACCTATCCTATCCTGTCTTATCTGCAGACTTCTGGGAACAGAACCTTTAGTGTGGCAGCCCATGTTGAAGTGTTAATGTTGTCATCTAATCTGTGGAATTGGACATTGTTCCAGCTACTCTAAATTGCTTTTTATTTTCCAAAAATTTATAAAAAAAATAAATAAAAAAAAAAGAATAAAATCACTATCATCATAGCTCGCTAGTACAACACAGCAGCTAACATTACTGTCAACACTTAGTAATGTAACATCTCCATTACAAGAGCAATCCCACCTTTAGGACTTTTCTTCTGGTATCTACAGTCATTTCAGCCATGTACAATAGATATTTTGTTGTAGTAATGTGTTTTACTGTGTATGTTTTTAACATTAGGGGTTACAGAAACTCCCACCTCGACCAGGGAAGCACTTGGAGCAGAACATCAGACATTTGGCTGCTTTGTCTGAAAAAGCTAATGGATATGGAGAAGCTCAGGTTTGGTCCTGGTTCTTGTATTTGTGGACAGAGTTATATCACTTCATAAACTGAGATACCAAAATACAATTGTTGTTATGGTCAGAAAAGAGTTGAAAGATTAGAATATAATTCAATATTAAGTTTTACTAATTGTTGTTTATGTCTGGTCTCCAGGTTGTTGATCTGGATGAACGGATTTACAATGACATCTCTAAACAAAACTCAGGTAAGGGCACAGCTTTCCTTAATTCGGAGAGATTATAAGATTATATTATTTTGTTCTTACTGGTTTTGATTGATTGAACTTTTACTGTACAATATTATATTGTGTGTGTGTGTGTGTGTGTATATATATATATATTATATTTTATTATATAATTTTTTTTATATATATATTATTATATCTTCTCAGCCATACAGACAGTGAAGACACTTCTGGCTCAGCAGGACAGTTGTCATGAACTCCCTTCGACCTCTGCACTGTCTGCTCTTCAACCTGTGGACACCTCGGTCACCCATCATGCTCAATACAAGGTCTATTCTGACTTTTGTTGTGTCTTTTGATGATGCCCCAGTAATGAGTCAAACACTAGGACTTGTGGATTAGAATGAGTTTATTTGCAAATAAGCTAATTTAGCCAGTCTACTGTAACAAATGAACACAAGTAGCTTACACAGTATGTCAATAACCACAGGACAAATATTGAATCAAAAAAAGCACAGCAAATTACCACCATACCATAGCTTTACCACTCACCATAGCTTTTATATCTGTATTTATTTATTTCTCTCAAATGCTGCTGTGACAAGGGAATTTCCCCATTGTGGGATTAATAAAGTATTAAAGTAAGTAAAGTAACTCATTATAGGCCTACACAGTATGAATGAATAGATGACGGCATCTGATCACACAATTACTTGCATAAACAATTCATTAATCATCATTCATCATCAGTGGCACAGCGGCCAAATCAGATTACAGTGAATGCTCATTTTCTAACATTTGAGAGGTAATTGAAATCCCTGATGCTACTCCACAACAAAGAGGCACCTGTATTCACCCATTAGAAGTTCATCCTGTGGGCCTTTTGCTCCGCACAGTCATCAACAACACTTCTCAACTCCAAATTCCACGCTTTGCTCTTCTCTAGTATACTGCCCTACAAAGCCAGCAGTAACTGCAATTGAGTTATAACTTTTACTGACTTCATCTGTGTATTATTAGCTGAGCCCATTGTAGTATATTCTACATTCTACTATAATAGTTTGGACATTACTCTAGGTATAACTAGCTAGTTAGACAGGACAAGTTATTATTGTGCTTGTTAAACCTCACAAAATACTAACAAGTCACCTGGGAAGACAAGAGAGCTGAAAAATGCTTAATGTAGATGTTTTATTTCAAAGGTGGTGGACATGGAGCTTGATGATTCAGACTCGGAGCCATTTTCCGTAACTACAACCGTGACTGAAATGTCTGAATATGCCTGCAAAACAACAGAAGTCCCCCCTGAATCAAATGAAGATGCCAAAATGATAAAAGTGTCGGAGTCAGCTGCCAACGCTTACACCTGCCCGACTGTTTCGACAAGTAGTGAAGACCCATCAAGTCTACACTTGTGCACAAGGGGGACAAACACAACCGATCTGCATCCTGATTCCAGAAATGACTCCAAAGCTGAAATCATTTTAAAGTCAACTGTGGGACCATTAAAAACAACATCCACTTCCAAAATAGTGGGGGCATCCCAATATGCAGCAACTTTAGACTCTACTGTAACCACCTCCACCAAGTTCATGACTGGGATCTCCAAATGTTCAGCCAAGTCTTCCAATTATACTTCAGTAACCACCGAATCGACAGCATCCATCTCCAGAGCCACTTCATCTAGCTGTACTACAACTACCCCCACCACCTCCAAAATGAGAGAAACTACCTACAAATGTGTAGCAACTGCATCCAGCGCCACTGCAACCTCCACCAAACCGACTGCAGCCAACCCCTGTTCCAGTACAACCACCAAAATTGAAACTGCATCCAAAACTTCGACTGCATCTCAAACTACGGTGACATCTGTGGCTCCTAAAACGATTAAAACGTCAGTCAAATGTGAGAATACTGCCAAGACTGTACTTATGAAGCACTCAGTGGGGCCAAATACTGATGCTGCACCAAGTGTTCCTAAGAGTAACGCGCCTGCAGCTCCGCACTTGACCGTGTTCTTGTCTGAAAACAAGAATCCACCAACAGAGCCATCACATAACTCTGCATGTAAGACAAAGCCAAGTGAAGGCCCTCCTAAAGTTGGTAAGTATTAGCATTTATTTATATTTTAAAGGGACAATCACCCAGTAAGTCTCTATGAATTAGTGTCTCTGCGATTCTAATCAGAGTTCTGCGTTTTTGTCTTTACTTTATAGGCTTAAACCAGTTGATTAAAGTATCGTGTGAAGGAAGGCGGCAAGTCTACTGTCAGCTGTGTTCAGTCAGGTTGAGACAGTCCAGTCACCCTTTCAGCCCAACGCACCAGTATAACTACGTGGTGAGTGCTTTAGAAGTCTTGAAGTCTAGAAAGCTTTTAAAGCAGCATTCTGTTACAGATGTTAACTGTGTGCTTTCAATGCTCTTACTAGAAAATGAAGTTCCCTGCGTGGACTGTCAAGCCGTCTGAGAGCAAATTGGACAAGATAGTGGCCCACTTGGCTGAGGCTGAGAAAGACACAGGATCCCGATCCATCCAGGTGATCTGCTCGAATCTCCCCACACATTCAAAATGACCCAAAATTCACAATCTGGGTATGTTTTACCAAGTAGCTTGGTATGCGTTTTAATTATTCTTGTATGTCTTTCTTTTTTCAAGAGAATGGAAGTGAAGATTGATGTGTACAAAGAGCTGGCTGCTCTTCCAGAAGACAAAGGTAAAACTATCCTAATAACCCATCATAAATATAAGTTCTATTTTTGAACTGTTTTGCAATGTTAGAGGCAAAAGAACAGCCTACAGAAAAGAAAAATCCTGTAACAAAAGCATAAATTGTGTCTAAACATAATGAGGTTTTAGTTGAAGGTCATAATGTCTGATACAAAGATTTTAACAGAATTTTATTGATAGCAAAAAAAATTGAATGCAGTGAACAAGTAACATAATTCTGCACTGAGTTGTAAGTGTCCCATGAGCTGAAAGTAATACACTTCTCTGCACATCCTTATTTGATTAATTAACATTTGACACCAATTTACTCTTAATATGGTTAATAATACATTATTTTATTTATCAGACAGGCGGTCACTTAATTTAGGGAATGGATAGCTAGTCAATGAAACACAGTATGATTAAATTTGCGTACGGTCATTTTCTTGGTCTTACTACTTTCTCGTTGTTCACAGCTCTAGAAAGACTTACAACAATGCTGAAACAGAGAGTTCTCAACGGAGAGGTCTCATCTTCCACAGCCGACACTGCAGAGGAGAGACCTGCCCTCACTAGTCCATGTGAAGCTTCAAGCCCAGAACATGGTAAATACAAGTGTCATTTTAAGATTTTATGTTTGAAATATATCTCCATTTTGAAGATACATTTGAACTTAGTGATAATAATTATTGATATTATAATTATAATAATATTTATATAATATCAATACTTTTGCACTTAAATTCACAGTGTACTTTGTCGACCTTGGACATGTTTTTCCCTAATATTTTCTGGCTCTTCATTCTTGAAGTCCTTGCTGCAGCGGCTCAGTGTTCGAATCCAACCTGTGCTTTACTGCGTGTCATCCCCCCCCCCTTTCCTGTCACTCTTCACTGTCACAAATCTATTTTCATGTAACTGATTTAAATCTTTACATATTGTATCGCGATTTAACTGCTTTGCAATATATCTCATTTCTATTGTGCTTGTAAGAAATAATGTTTTGGCCACTACTCAAATGGTCTCTCCTTCTGCATCATCACTCATTTACACAAATCCACCACCTCTCTCTTCCCTGCCATGCAGCTGTCAGGATGGAGCCACCTCAGGGTTGTGCAGATCCTCTTGCCACTGACTCAGAATCACACAGAGGCAGCTTTGTCCAAACCCCACTTATACACCAAAAGACGGCTGAGAAGAGACACATGCAGGAGAGAAGTGGCCCAAAGTTACAGGAGACACAGAAGGTGCTGGAAGGCACTCAGAGAACATCACCTGTAAAATTCTTCAACCGAGACCCGCGCACTGCTGCTGCTTCACTGAATACCAAACAGCAGAACCAACCAAGACATAGCGAGAAGGCAGAACCTGTACCAAAGCCCTTAAGATGTGCTCCAGGACGCAAGCACCACAGTGCATCACAGGAAGTCCCAACGATAGGTAGGTGTTAAGCATTTATGAGTCGTCTGCTTTTGCGCTCTAATTCCCTAATTTTTAATTTTGTATGGCTGTCACAGGGGAAAGAACTCAGGGCTGCAGTCACTTGTCCTCATACTTGAAGGTGAAGGGATTAAATTGTAAAACAGTCGGTCTTGGCTTTGTGTGGGAGTGTCGAGGGAAGCCACCACAGAAACCATTCTTCTTGTGTGAGAGCTGCAGAGAGACAATCGCCTTGAGTGACATCTGTCAACACATGGTCAGCAATGAGCACCAGCGCAAATACATGGTGAGCGGCATCTAGGTAATGCACTGGAAACTTCTAAACAGCAAAAGCCACATGTTATTTTTATGATATACATGTCTTTCAGCTGATGCAGCACCCTCAATATATGTGGTTCTGGGATGAGAAGGATCTGCTCCCACAGATGAAACTGGAGATTTTAAATGATGTTGTCCAGCTGCTCTCAGAGCAGGAGAGTAACAACAAAATAGATGCGCAGGTAACCTGTGGTTAATGTATCATGCACGTTATCTCAAATGGCCTTGGGGTAGTTTGAGCAAGATATAGGTGATGATTTATGTAACATATTTGTTGTCTTTTTGAAATAAATTTCATTGTGTATGGTGGACAAGATGTGATTGTTAATATTTCATAACGTGTATGTACAAAGTAGGAATACATATCCATCATGATAATCTCACCCTGTTTGTTCTCTTTCACAAAGGTTGTACTGCTGAGACCGCACATGCATAAATATGTTGAGAGAGCTCCGTTCAGTGAAGGTAATAGTAAGCTTATTATGCAATGGCCTACAGAGGTTAACGTCCACTGGAGTATAAAGTAATTCGTATCTGTGCTGTTTACTTTTAGCTTCACAATTAGTGCAAGACATCAAGAAAGAACCAAAACGGAGCGTCCTCTGTCCACCTGTCAGCGCTGAACAACAAACAGGTGAGTCCCATTAGCCCAGTCACAGTATCAGTGTTTCTCATTCTTATGCACAGCCTAAATAAAATGACTCATACAGGCAGAATATGGGTTTGAGCGATGGGTTTTGGTTTCTGTTGCACAGACCGGCAGCCTGAGGACCAGCAGAGTCGAGAGGAATCTCTTCGACCAGAGAATCAGTCAACACAGGCACTTAGGACAGACCAGAGAATTGACAATGGTATGATGATTATCATATTATTTACAATATTGGATAACATACTGTAGTTATGTTTTAAAATTCCAGTCAGTGATGATATTAAGTCTGTTAACTGTAAAAAATATGCTTAAACATTGACTCATTTCATTATAATTGTCTTGAGCTTGTTTAGACTCAAGACTACAAATTAAAACCTATTGAAATGGACACAGTGTCTTGTGTATTACTTGTAGGTTTGTATTGGTGATTGTCTCTTGTTCTCTAAGATGTAGTAAATGTAATAACTTCTCTTGTGTTCTCTCTTTTCTTCTCCACTGTGTCTCTTAGAAGCAAGAAAAAATACAGAAAAACATCATTTGGAAGAGACTGCAGTGGTTGGAGATTTGGATGGGGTCAAACAAAGAAGAGTCTTGAGTGCTCTGGATGTGACCAGTGCTTCCTCAAAGGATGATAACAGAATATGTTCGCCCCATCTTGCTGGCACATGTCACAGTCCACAAGAGACCTGCAGGAGCCTTTCTATGCAACCTGAGCTCAGACCACCGGCCTCTCAGAACCAGAGATCTATCCCTGAGTTGCAAGTGAAACAGGGAGAGGTGCACTCAGAATCCCCATCTTCCTCTGTTGTTAGTCCTGAAACCAGTCAAACCCTGTCTCTGTCTCCGAGAAACAACTGCCCTCCGACCAGGAAAAGGCCAGCTGTTGAATCTCTGGAAACATTGGTTAGACCTTGCACCAGTAACCCCCAACCCGATGAGCCTTTGCCAGCCAAGTGCACATGCTTCTCAGAGAAGTATATCAGTCAGCCCAGCACTGAATCAACCTCAGAGTCCACTCCTGTTAACCCTGCTGCAACCTCCACCCTCCTGGCTCCCAAGGACACAGGACCTGGAACTGATGAACAAGACCCATCCATTGTCAACCAGAAAAAGTTGGAGCATCTAATGGCTCTGCTGAGAGAGATGAAGTCTGACATAAACATATCAGCTCCAGATGATGCTGAGGCAACAACCTCCTGTGCAGACGGTAGATCTGAAACGGCAAAAAAACAAACAAGATGGGATTCGAAGTGGCAGCAGGTTAAAGCTACACCGAAAAATAACTCCCCCTCCACCGACTCATTGGAGGGGATGTTTTCAACAACAGCAGCTCCTGAGAACCAACTCACCACCACTCATGTGAACCCTGCTTTCTCTGCCGCCAGCTCATCTATTGAGGGCTATTTAGCGAGGGACAACCAAGCTGAGGCAGTCAATGTGTCTTCCGCCAGCACTGCTGACCCCAATGATCCACAACAACAGAGAAGTGTTCAGAGCATGTTTGTAAATGTGAGCCAGTTCATTCCTACTTCCTTTCACTGTGTAGCCAACAACCACAATTCAGGTCAGATACCACAAGGTAACACAGACACAGACAGCCCTGGGGGTGGTCAGTTGCCCATTGACTCCATCATAACCGCCAGGCCAGAGCTCCCTAACCAGCAGTTTATGGGTGGCTATAATGCACAGGACCACACGGAGGTGAACAGAGGCCATCAGGTCACGCACAGTTTGCCCACAGTTGCAACAGCAAGTCCCAGTGACAGTCTGGCTGCTCTCGGGGGGTATGGTCAGTACAGCCAAATGGCTTATGTCACAAATGGAGACGTTCCAGGTTATCTTTCTTCTGAGGCTGTTGGATACACAACTCAAGACAACCTTTCTGAAAGGTACACAAAAAGGGTTTTCTACACCAGCCAGATTTACCCAGAACAAGTAAACCGCTTTGGACACTTAGCAACTCCAATGCCACCAGGATGGCTGGAAATCCAACAGCAGCAGCAGCTAATGCAGCGGCAACTAATGCAGCAGCAACTAATGCAGCAGCAGTACTCCGCATGGACAAGATGAACTGCGTTGGCTGCTAGAGGTGGAAAATTGACCAATGAGGCTGCTAACTTAGGCGCTGTTCCATTCACCCCTCCAGCCAACAGTTCACAAACGTTTAGTTACATGAACGACTACAGAATCAACATAGAACAGCACTGACGTAACACACAACGGTCCCCTAGTTTACCTCAACCCTCCAGTCGTTCACTATCCTCCTACAGCCAACAGTGAAATCCCACCCCAGACACCCGCAAACGTTCTTTTTTCCTCTGACAGCGGGTTATAAACCATGCCGGTATTCATGTAAATGATGTAATTGTGTATTTTTGTGTGGAAATATTAAGGCACTCCTGCCTCTGAGCATTTTATTTGGATGGTAAAAGAGAATACACATTTTCATCATCCCATTATACCTTATTGGCCTCATTAGGGTGTAACCTCCACACACCAAAAATTGGAGACGAGAAGTTTTCTTTTTTCTTTTTGTCCCAACAATGTTTTTCCCACTTCATTTCAATTTGTGTTTTATTTTTGCATCTTGAAAACAATTGTTTGACTTACTTGCCACAGATAGTTCTGTGAAATGAACAGTTGTCATTTCACGCTTGTCAAGGCAAAACAGCTTTGTTGTTCTTGTTCGAATGATTGTTATTCTGTAGTTATCTGTTCTTTTCAGGGTTTAAAGGTGCAGTATGTAACATTTATAAGGATCTTGGCTAATTGTGCCCATCAAATGGCTCATTCTAAGGTGATTAAAAAACACAAACATTCTTATTTTCAGGTCATAAATATATACTATTCCACTTCTGCCAATAGATCCTTTTTAGTGTTACAAACTGGACCGCTTAAATATAAAGAATGTGTTTGTAAACCTTTTGAAAAACAACATATTAAGCTATTGCACGTTCAGTTTTTAACATTTCTAATGTAATATTGTAAGCAGTCATCTACTGTTATTTTTGAAGTAGTTTTATATTCATATTTTGTTCGTTTTAATAAGATTTCTGTAAAATGGAGATGCTCTGTTAAATGTGAGATGTATTTGTATATTTTTTTAAAAAAACGTTCTTTTATTTTATGTTTCATTTACTTTTTTGTTTCTTGGACATTCTTGACAGAATTATTTCATGTTCTTCCAAAATAAAACAACACATTTCTTACTCCATGTAAAATCCACCAGTGGACAACACCTAAACCTAACATCTCTGACTTTGCTCTGGTGGGGAAAAAAACAGCAAAAGGTGTGTTCTTGGATGCCCGTAAAACATATTGTGGCCCAATGTGCATGCCAATGTTATACAGTGCACTAATGCCCTAGATGCTAGAATGGGGTTTAGGACTATCTCACCATGAATGCATCATGACTTTCTGCGTGCTGGTGACCCACGGCTTGCAGCTGGTGCCCTTTTTATTTATTCCGTCCCTGCCCCTTTCCTATAGTGGAATGATGCGTAACTTCACAGTTCCTCATTTGGATGGAACTTGAAAGTATCTGCTCTGGTTTAAAATGAAACCAGAGACAAAATTGACTGAGATACCATCTTTCTTTCTCCCATACTGACTTTTATACTTATGATAGTGTATAAATATGTGTGTCTTTATTCTGAAAGAAAACTTTTGCTGGAACATAAACTAAAGTTTCATAAGAAAATAGAGGAGTGCGCAAGGAGATAATCAAACATACATCAGTACTTCTCTGACCAATAATCTGAAGGCAGATCATTTATATCCTTTGCCCAACACACAAGTGTCTCTAAGTGTATTTACACAGGTTAAAAACACACCTGGGCTCTCCTCACAATAGAACAGGTTTCACTCACAGGGGCCAGACTGGTTGATCATTGTAAAATAGTTTGTCTCAATATGGAGTTCACTGTCAGTTAGAAAAGCAGTGACTTAATCAGGAAACAGGAAAGACAATATAAAAGAAAAAAATAGGTAGCACATTTTCTTCTCCAATATATATATACAGGTATAACAAAAGACAAACGTGATAAATACTATCACAATCATCTACACTTCAAAATTATTCAATTTAATGTCATTTAAGATGAGGAAATCCTGTGAATTTTCATATTTTTGCATAAAAAATTACTTAAAACGATTATTCCGCCATCAAAAAAGTGACTGATTCATTTTTGATTTTTGACAAGTAGAGTAGAAGTACAAATTAGCATTAAATAGGACAACCCATGAATAGTATAGATACCTAAACGTAAGTTTAACTCCACCACTATAAATATGTGATTAACAGGCTACAACGAAATGTATATAATACTATAATAATAATAATATAATAATAATAAAAGTGGTGTATTCATCCTTCACCTGTGGTTGTAGAGGCAAAGTTCTATGGATGTGTATGAATAATTCTTTTCACGTGGAAGTTGGATGTCTGGTGATGTTTGAAGATATGAACAATGGGCTTTCTTCTTTGTCTTTGAGAGAGATTCCCACAGTTCCTGAGAGCAGTGTAAAAGTAATGAGGGAGTGGAGGAAGGGAGGAGAGCAGTTCTGGGTCATGATTATCAAATTGTGACTAACCTCCTCCACAAGGGAGGTATTTGCTTTGAGTTTTAAGGTTGTGGATGAAATCCTATCAAGGTCACATAGAAATCCACAGCTTTTATATCTGAGGGAAATTCTTCTTCATGGGGGAGCACAGTTTTTATTCAGAGAGATAAGCACGTTTAATGACAGACAGGTGTTTCACAGAAAACAACTCATGAAACATAGGACCTGGGAAGCAATCTCTCTCTCTCTCCAGTGTTAGGATTCTGTTCAAATAAATACTTCACATGAGATGAAACATACACACAGTTCAGTCAGAGAGTCTGGTGGCTTTTCTAATAACTACTTTAAGTGCTGTATGAAATCTATTTCAGCCTTATAACTCTGACAAACATGCAGAGCATTTTGTATAACTTGCTGTGGTATGTTGTTAATGCGCTTCGTGTGATATAATGCATTGAAACATAATCTAAGAGTGAGGTTTTAATAACATAAGTAATTGATTCATGCTACAGCAGCTCAAAATACACCACAACACAATAGATAATGAAAGTACACATTAAATAAAAATAAAATACAGTGACTGATGACTGAGAGTATAAGTCTGGATAAATATGTTTCTTCAGTGTCTGTGGTATAACACCAAATTACTGTCAGCAGGACGTAAAAGCCTGGAGGAGGAGAGCGAGCAGAAATATGCGGGAGGAATGTTTTAGACAAAAGCATCAACTGTGTTTACTGCATCATAACCTATAGGACATACTAACCAGAGCCTGTTGCTCCGTTAGATTTAGTGATTTAGTTGTCTCATCTGTATGAATACGGGTCGACTCTTGTTGGTGAGCAGTGAAGAATTCTGATGAACTAGAGACAAATGTTGTGTATTTCATTGCCATCAGCAAAAGCATCAGGTTTTCTTTTTTAAAGATATTTTTGGGGTGTTAATGTCTTTATTTAATAGGAGACGTAGACAAGAAAGCAATCAGTTGGAATCAAATTCCCACCGCTGTGATCAGGAGTCAGCCTACATCTCTAGGTGAGCTACGCTTTGTGATTGCCCCAACACACCATTTATCACAGTGTTTGTAACCTTGAGCTAATGCAATTGTGTCTGTCTGTCATCAGGATTTTATGTTCTGACTTCAGCTGGGAAAACAAGGCATAAAACAGCATAAAGAAAGCCAAATCTTAGAGCTCCTAAAACCTTATTTAATCAATGTAACACCAAGCACACTGAATGTTTCCTGAACCTCACAAAGCTGCAAGAAATATTTGAACCTCAATTAAGTTTTTAAATAGTTCATATTTATAACCTTTCCTCATCTTGTTCTTACAAAACCCAAGTCTGTAAGTGTGACAGATTATCTCTGTGCTAATGCTACACAGTGCACTGGTATGTGTTATGTAGTATCTGAAGGCTTATTTGAAGGCTTATAAAGTTAAATTACATTTTGGTATAAGTTCAAATGATATTTTGTTAACATATGTAGTGTTAGAAGTTCATGGGGTTCAATGACATCATTCTTACTATGAAATGTTTAGGTTAGGGGCCTCGCAATGGCCTCTGACCTCTACCCTGAAAACCCCCATCTCCCCTTATTACCTTACATATTTGGATTGGATCCAGATGTTTCTTTTTATCTTTGGAGAAAACAACAGGCCTATATAAACCTATTTTCGATGCAAAATAGACAGAGTTATTCATTTGGCTGGATGCTCTCCAAGCTCCGCGGTGCTTGTATTGATGCTGAACTTTTTGTAATAAACCTTTAAATACAATCAAGACGGTGTCAGCGGACTTCTCTTCAACACATCTTCACATCATCGCTACTTAATATACAACAGTTACTTCTGCTACAAACTTCCTCACTAAGTAGCAGACGTGACTACTGTCTCCTGGACTGAACCAGCTGCCAGCCTTATCTCCTCAAACAGTGCTTCCCCGAGGTCCTTTGTTATCTGCTACCAGCCCCTCATGTCTCCCACAAGCTGTGCTGTGTGATGGCTGCAAAGGACTTTCACATTATGTTTAACCATCTGACACAGAGTCATACAGTTTATCCTCACAGTAATTGAATTCCCTACATTACCACACAAATTTAAGAGAAGCATGTTTGCGAATTGGTGACTGCAATTTGTTTTCTCAGAGGTTTGACCTTTGCACAAGATGCATGCTGAGAACTTGCTCATGTTCACTGGCTGAGTCAAAGCATTACAGAGCATTACCATTATAGATCTCCCATTCCTCCCACTCTCTGCACTATGTATAGTTTTCACTATGCTGTAATATTACACGGCCCCAGATTTACTTGATTAAACACAAATTAATTTAGGAATATGCAACATTTAAAGGTCCAGTGTGTAATATTTAAGAGGAATTATAATATTCATACTTTATTTCAATGGTGTATCATCAAGGGAAAAAAATAGTCTTTGTTAACTTAGAATGAGCTCTTTTTATCTACAGATGGAGTAGGTGGCTGTCTGTGGAGGCTGCCATGTTTAAACTGTCAGAACGGACAAACTAAACACTCTAGATAGGGATGTTTTTCACTTGTTTCACAGCTACCGTAGTTTTCTCTTTCACGCTTGGAAGGCGAGGGTGAAGCGACGAAGTTAGGATTTGCAACTACAAAGCTAGATGCTAATAAATACAGCACCCTGGTTGTTTAAGCACGAACCCTCCTCAAGACAGGATCCACCTTAAAGCCCTTATCATGTATGTTGATACTGTGTTCATATTAGTGTAACAAAAAATCTAATCAAATTAGCAAAAAACAAACAAAGAAGAAGAAGATTTAAAGTTCACAGGGTCAAGACACGGCGAGGTATTGACTGTTCAAGATGGAGACGCCTGAACAAAAACCTGTCAACTCTAGAGTTAGAACTGTAACTCTAGGGAGAGCACTTAGGCAGATGTAACCCAGGCCCAGATAATACCACGTGTAGGTTGTGGTGGAAGTTTGACTGAATAAAGGAAAACCAACAAAGAGAAATTTGTCTTTGTATATTTATTTAGCTTCTGCGCAGAAGGATTTAAACCAGCAAAGTGACAGTCAGCGACTGCAGAGGAATCGATGCTGCGTGCATCGCTACCAGGGTTTTTATATGCATAAGAACAAAGAGTCAATGACCATAAAGAATAAAAAGATAAACATCAAAGGGAGATAAGGGCATTCCCAAATGAAGACATGTTCCCGTCTCAGACTAAAATTGGCTAAAAGTTTAGATGTTCAGGCCAGGCTATATTTCAACCAGAGCAGAGCAGGCTATATTTCAACCTTACATTACATAGATGTGGTTATTGTATTCATTAAGTTCATGTACAGTTCAGCAGACATGTGCAGGCTGGGCTATATTTCAACCTATCATCATGTATCACATAAATAAATGTGGTCATTGTATTAAGACAGCCAGTTCATTTATAGTACAACGGAAATAGAGCCAATCATGCTTTCTACAGAACAGTGTAACACAAAGAATCACAGTTCATACAAAGATAATTCACTAAATGATCATTTTTCCTCCACATAGGTAAAGTACAATAAGTAGATGGAGGAGTGTTGAAGGGAGTATGGGTAGAATTTGAGACGAGACGACCTTGAAGCTGATTTTAGGATAAGAAAAAAAGATCTACGTCAACTGTGGGTAAGATACGGATGAGCTACGACAAGAGCACTGACGTTATTTCAGTACCAGGCACCGGCAACAGGCATCAACAGGAAAAAGATAAATGAGCGCATGATGTCTTTGTTAATGTCAGCTGCTTCTGCTGTATCCGGTTTGATGCAAATAAACCTCACACGTGGAGCGAAGCTGCCAATTCTGTTCGTCATCTGTGAGTCTGTGAGTCTGTGTCACTGTTTCTGCGTTCCTTTCGTGGAATTTGTGGTCTCTCACTGTAGTCAGATTGCTAAGGGTTTACGTCAGATAGACATCAATCAAGATGCACTGAGGCCGCGAAAATAAACCACAACAGAAGCCTCTCTGCATAGTGGGTCCTTTTCTTCTATTATTTGCCCTTTTCAGCTCCCTGTGCTCGTAGTGAACACAACAGAATAATTCACACTAGGAGAAATTTTACTTTATAGTTTATAATATTATAAACAAACCATCATCTGAGTAAACTGTATATTGTAACCTAGTAGATTAGCAGGTAGTAGTTCACCCAAAATAGGAAATATTGTCAGAATCACTTTTACTGGCCAGGTATGTGGAAGGAATTTGACTAACTTTTATAAAAAAACATTTTTTCTCAAGCATCTTTTGTTGTTGCTGCAGGACTTGAGGATCATTATGAAATCAACATTAGCCACAGAAGAGGGCAAGTTTTTGCTCCATCATAACTATGTCCCTCCTTTGCCATCCTAGGAAAATAAATCAGCTGCTGAAGTATAAGACTGGTAGGTATCCTCCATATACCTGTGTATAACCTGCACCAAACCACTGGTTTAAAATGTGAAATTGATCCTCACCAGTGGTGTAGTAGTGCCTGGAGAAGAGGTTATTCTTAATGTATGCCCCAAAGGGTCGTCCAGCAAAGGATAAACACCCTGTGTTATGAACTGTGATATGTGAGACTACTCTTGTATATTTAGTTCACCCAATAATGGGCCAGCAGTATTTGCACATTGTGGTTTGACTTCAGGGATAAGGAACATTATGAAAATGAACATTAGCCACAGAAGAGGTGCAGCTTTTGCGATCACTACTGGCCCACAGGTGGGTGAGATGACTATATAGGCTAATTATGCATTTAGAGTTAAGTATACTTTATTCCTTACTCCATCCACTCATGAACATTTGAACTATGTCATGCCTTCGCCATCCTATGAAAACCAGCTCACAGAACACTACTGAGTGATGAGCAGATGGGATTCAGAAGTGGGTTTACCAAAATGCTAACGTTATACACTCTGCACCAGAGCCATTAAGATATAAATAAACAAAAGAATGAATGAATGAATAAATTAATATCCTAATGCCTCTGCCCTGCACTACTTGTCCTCACACACACACACACACACACACACACACACACACACACACACACATCACTTGTTGATTTGATTGGTCAAAGAAGAGACTGGACTCGTTCCTCCACTCTCTCTCTCTCTCTCTCTCTCTCTCTCTCTCTGTGTCTCTCTCTCACACACGCTGGGTTCAACGGGAAGACAATCAGCGGTGCTGTTAGCGTTTGCTAGTAGCAAAAATATCAATATATCGCCTTTTAACTGGATCGATTACCTCCACCAAGCAACACAGAGGCTGACGCTAACGTTACACCGGTGAGTTAATCTACGGCAGGAACTCGCTGAAGTTAAGTGAAGAGTTGTTCGGCAGTCACAGTGGTCAACCAGTGTTTGTGGTAACAGGTCAGCAGTGGCAAACAGCACATTAACGCCTAACGTTAGTTTAATAGGTAACGGTTAGGTAACGGTTGACGTGTATTAACGCTGCTAGTTCTGACTGAATTGACGTTAATTGACGGTTAACATTAACGGCTGTTGGCTGTTAGTTTCCGTTCGAAGGGGGGGACTTTACGCTGGTTATGGCGTAATGTCGTTAACGTTAATGTCATGTTACGGAAACTTCACTCCTCGTAGACTGAAGTGTAACGTTAACGGCAGCTGAGATTAATTAACCCGTTTTAATGTGTTACCCATTTTAATGTGTTACCCGTTAACGGGCTCCAGATGTGTCCCGAGGAATGAACCGTAGCTGACGTTCGTTAATTAGTCGTGTTAAGTTTAAAGTGACAACCGGAGAGTGAGCTGTGTGTGACGTAATCGGTCCAATCTCGGGACGCCTCTGTGATTTTTTTTTTTTGTGTGTGTAATTTTTGGACATTGAATAATATAGGGAAAAGCCACAATAATTAAGTGATCTTGTGACTGTATATTATCAAATGGTGTCTCTTTAGCTTTCAAAATCACTTTGACAACCCCTGTTCGAACCTGTGCACTGTCAATGGTCTGAACGTGATGTTGCTGCGCCATCTTGTGGTTACAGTTTACTTACAGCCTGAGGTTATTTCATTTAGCTGTAAGAAGACTCTCATGTCCATTTAGATATGTAAATAAAACTAAACTAAAATGTATAAACCAGTTAGAGTAGATGTCCCTCCACAGGTGGACAGACTTTACTTTTGTAAAATGTCCTCCATTTATTGTGATTTCTTTTGATGATTATGAAAATGAAGGTAGTCTTTCCTTTTGTGCCAGGCTTGGAAGAGAAGGCAGAATATTTAGTTGAGTATACTGAGCTGTATAATAATGTAGTGATTTTGTAATGGAATCAAATGTTTGATCACTGCAACTGTATTGAGGGTTGGGGGACTTTGTGTGCACAACAAAACCAAAATCAATCAAAATCACAGGAAGATAGGTAGAAGTTCAATTACTTGCACAGTCTCAGGTCTGACTAAAGCTACAGCCCCACTGCATAGAAGAAAGGATTAGTGTCTGTCTGCAAAAGAATGAGTGGGAGTCCACCTCTCTGAGATAAAAAACCTTAATGCTGTCCTAGACATACAAACCCTATTCTAAAGTATGTTGGCAGGCTATATGCACACAACCTGTTTCACACCATGAATGATAACACTGGTAACAAATGGTGACAACTGTAACATTAGTTGTAATTATCTTAATTCAAATTGTATACAGAATATTATTTGGACCCTAATATTTTTGTGTGATCATTTAGAGTTGTACTTTTGATTGTGGAAGTCCGTAAACATTTGCGAGGGGACTGGAGACTTGCGTAGAAGTTGATAAGAAAAGATTACATGAAAAGAAAAATGTATGAAACGTACACTACATGTGAAGACGAAACGATTTCTGCAGTGTTTTTATGAGGTAGCACGAGGAATCACAAATACGTAAGCAAATAACAACAACTTAAGCAATAACACCATCGTCAGTCGTCTGAGTTAAACATCCAATGACCATAACTAGATATTTCCTGGTTTTCTGGAGCATAACAGGAAATTCTCCTTGGCTTCTTGGCAAGTACAGATCTTGTGCAACCTATTAGGAGGCAGAACAATAGGCACAGAGTTGAACCAAAGTCAAAGCCTTATAATTTTTATATGAGTATTGTGTGGAAAATATACCACAACCTAAACTCGTGTCCAACTCTGTGTGTTAGCTGCACACTATCTGTTAGTCATAATAATGAGAAGGACCTTGAAGATTAGCTCTGTTCACTGTATCACATGTGTGCTATCCTGTAAATGGAGACACTGTCTGACCTACTGAGATATCTCATCTGACATGTTATAGTGTGTAGGACCTATATGTCTGTCCTTACATGTTGTACCAAGATCTTCTCTGATATATTATATTTGTGTTGGAATAAAACCATATACGAAAGACAGGAAGTTCTATTCTTTTATTTACCATTAGTAAAGTAAAGGTTTTCTTCATCACTCACTGTTCACTTCATCTCTTCGACTGTATGCAGGTGTTGCAGGTGGTGATTCTACAACTGCAGCATGCAGCCAATTGAGGCACACAATGGTATGTCTTTCACTGTCTGCATGTGGGCTTCCATGCGTTTGCCATTTTCTTGTAATTATGTTAATCTGATGCATTCTTTGTTTGTAGGATTTTCTACCAAAAGCAAGCTGTACGATTCCCTGAAGGTGTATCTGAACAACAAGGACAGGCTACAACCCATCATTGGTCTGTAGCAACAACTTTCTATTTTGTTGTCAGTGTTGTGTGCTTCCTGTGTGTATTGTAATAATCAATCGTTTTTATGTGCATCCAGGCTTGGGTAGTATTATAGAATGTGTGAAGGCGGGTGCAAACTACAGAGAAGCATTGTACCTGTGTGAGGTGTGTGCGTGTCGACTCAGTAAAGCTGACATACGGAACCACATTATGGGAAGCCTCCACAGATACAACTACATTGTAAGTAGTACTGTAGATTAATTCATGATGGCCGCTGCTTTAGATTGCAGTTCATTAACAGGTGGTGTGTTATTCCTGACAGAAAGCGTGGCACCCCCACTTAGTATCTGAATGGAAGGAGAACACTGACCTATCTAAGCTGGCTTGGCCACTGATGGAGAAAGCCAAGATACTTGAGGGGAAAGAGGGACCAGGAGATGTCCAGGTATGTTATTTTGACTGTGTATGTAGTTGACAAGACAGTTTTTTGAATATGAGTACTCATATCTTTTTGCACCTTCATATTAAGTTGTTAGAGGTTGAAGACACTATATACCAGAAGATGGCTACATGCAGTGAGAATGACGGTCAGTGACTATTGACTTATTTAGAACAGTGGTTCTCAGTCTCCACCCCCTTTAATCCCAGTCTTGGTCTTCCCATTTCCTGTGTCTGTCACCCTTCATGTTTTTTGTGGCAATATTTCCATATGTACATGTCCCATTCTGTTTATTTACTCCATATGGGTCTCTTTCTCTCTGTAACACCACAGCAGCAACTCTGATAAATATCTTAAGCCATGGGCAGGGTGAACCTGAGAGCCATTCAGAGGCTACGTCAGTGCAGCTGGAGCACAACCCCATCCAATCGCATAGAATTGTATTGCTTGCCAAGAACCAACAGAAACACTCTCAGACCTCAGCAGAGACAAACAAGGCTCCATCTCTGATACAGTCGACTGTGGCTCCTTCTGTCACATCAGAAGGCTGGGTAAACAACATGTCACTGTTGGACAACTCTCAGATGTTACCCGAAACGTCTGTGCTATCAGACAACAACAAAAGCTTTCTCGATGGCTACATGGGAACCAAGCCTCTTATTGGTGAGCACAAATAAAGAAAAGCAACAACAGGTGGAAGAATTACAGTAAAATGGTAAACTTTTGTCAGCATGATTGAAAAGTAAGCATTTACAGTAGGTTGTACGATATGACATTTCTGCTCAGATTGATTGTTGTAATGCATTGAAGCTGTATAAAAGAAAAAAACTACACTGTTACCTGTAGTAGTAGTAGTAGTAGTAGTAAGTAATAAGTACTGGATATCAGTAATAAATGGTGTTTTTTTTTGGTGAGAATATTACTGATGATTGCAACTTCATATATTATGGGTATGGATCATTTAAAGGAAAATTTCAACATTTAGGGAAATACTTTTATCTGAGAGGGTCTATACCACTGTCTTCTACGGTAAATATGTAGTGACTGGTTAGTTTGTCAGTTTAACCGGGACTAGAAGCTTCCTAGAGTCTCCACTGGTTGATCTGGAAACTAGTACAGCACATGTGTCTCGTATTGTAAAATGGCATGCAGCAAAGGGCCGCAGGTTGGAATCGAACCTGGGCCGCTGTAGTAAGGACTCCTACAGCCTACATGGGGTGAACACTCTACCAGATGAGCTACCGTGCACCCCAGCAGAGAGATCTGACATTAGTGAGCTTTAGTGATGCTAGTAGATGGGTTTTGTTACCTTTAGAGACAGCCAGATCGCATGTTTCCTTCCAGTCTGTGTGCTAAGCTATGCTAACCAGCAGCTTTCTCCAGCTACATATTTACCGTACTGTTGTGAGAGTGGTATTGACCTTTTTATCTAAATCTTGGCAAGAAAATCCCCAAAACGCTAAACTGTTGCTTAAAAAAGCTGCTTATACGATTTTGCAACAGGTCTTTTCCGTGTGGTTGAGTGTAGAAGTGAAGATGGCCACACATACTGTTTCTTATGTCACTGCTGCCGCGTCAGATCCAACAAAAAGGACATCATTGATCACCTAACCAGCTCTTCCCATCTTGTGAACTACTTGGTCAGTTTGTTGTGGATCAATACTTGAAATGAACAAGAACGCCAACCCGTTACCATTACCCATCCAAAGGCTGTAGAGATAATGCAAGGTTGTGTTAACTGAAAACGTCTGTGTGTAGATGGAAACTCATCCTGAGCAAATGGAGGTATTGATGGCAGATGTTAATGACAACTATCAGCTTCTCCAATCACTGGCCAAGAAAGTGGAGCAAGAAGAGGACAGAGGAGAGCTGAAGGTATCATATTAACTTTTATACACAGATTCTCCCGCCATGTGCGAGGCGTAAAATGACTCTTATGCTATTGTCCACTTGTACTCATCTGTCCATTGAAATGTTCAAACAATCTCGTGTTTCCAGGTCGTAAACGCACCAGAATCACTCTGTATCCTACTGACCGGCAAAAGTTACCACTGGTGTAAGTACAGATGTATGCTCGTCCACTGTTTTCTTGTTTGGCCATAAACCATACACCTCTTGAGTGCCAAATCTCTGCTCTTGAGGAGCGATTTGTGAGGTAAGTATAACTCTCTGCGTCCTCACATTGCTATGGTTTCATTTTGTGAAGTGGTGGTGTAATACTTGATGCTGTATATAAAAGTGAGGCTCCACAAGGTCTTGAAACATTCAGCTGCCTCCAGGGAATTATCTATTATCAGTTGTTAACGTCCCCATTCTTTGTTATTCTCTTTGAGCTCCTTTATTTTACCTCTGTTCAACCACTTCAGTGTTTCTTTTCCAATATTCAAACATGCTGTTTTGAACTGCTTACTTACACTTTCAGACAATTATTTCTGACTGCAAAGAGTTATGTATGTTTGCATTTTTTCTTTGTATACCCCCTGTGTTGTTTTTCTGCTTTCCAGGCGTAAAGATGCTGTGTAACGGATGGACACACACAAACATCCACAAGAGGAAAATAGCTGTCAAAGGTGTGTCTTTAAAAGCAATAGTTGACTTGAAGGGGTCAAGTAACTCAATAGTTGTGTACTTTCAAGCTCTGTGGGTCTGATTTACACTTTTTCTTGAAGTGCCCAGTGTGACAAATCAAAGAATGCCAGAGAAGTGCGCCGCCGTGCTGTCGGAACGTACCAAAAGGATGACAACAAAGAGGAAGATGAGGAAAATGAGGAAAATGAGTAATACTGTGTTCAAGGTAAGCCTGCCTATTAACAAAGGTTCAGTGCTGCTGGAGAGGACGTCTTTCAGTGTGGACAGCCTCCCTGTGTCATCTGCGTACTCGCCTCCACCCGAAGATGACGTCATTCCCTCGCCAGAGTCTCAGTCGGAGGACTGTGAGTTGGACTGTGGCACTGGATCCTTAGCAGTTAACGACGCTGAACACACTTCTCCTGTTCCGCAAGACCAATACAGTGTAGATGAAGATGCAGACGCTGGTCAGTACATGGGATCAGAAAGAAACTTTGACAATCATTATCAAGAGATGGATGGTAATTTCAGTCACAATGAGTACCTCAACCAACCTGAAACAGAAGACCCAAGGCTTTATGGGGAAAATAATTACAACGGTTCAGAATTCTGGGCATTTTATAACTCTTTCTATGGATGTGAGGAAGGTTGCACTGAGCAGTGGTACAATTCATCTTCACAGAGTAAAGTTGGCACAGGCGTGGATGTGCCAAGAGAGGAGGGACAGAAGGAGATGAGTTCAGGTGCTACTCAGAATGATTACCAACAACAGCCCCAAGATCAGTACACGGCACAAGATCATGCTAGTCTTCTGACAGGCACCGTGGGGCAGCATGGTTTTTCTGGAGAATCTGCTCATGTAGATGTTGCTTGGATCAACATGCATCCTCACTTGGGATACTCCATTGCTCACAGTGGTAACATTACTCCTGGAGTACAGTTTCCTAAGGTTCAACAGAGACAGTGGCCAACATACATGGGGTTCATTCCATTCCCTTCCACTGGCCATGTCCAGACAGCTCCACAAAGATATATGACGCAACCCACGGCCCATCAAGCCATTCAAGTAGGCCATGGAGTAATGTCTAACCCCAACTGCAATACTGGACCTACACCAACCCCTGAGCAGCACTTTCCTCATCCCTCTGTGATATGGAACCCACGTTGATCCTGTTTTCTGCTGGTTTATCATGTTTGATGGACTTTAGATGAAACAACTTCATTTATGTTTGCAAAGCCCAATTCTAATTCTACATTTTGCTGCAGCTCACTGAGACCACATTTCTACCCAGCTGACTTAGCATGGGTTCTAACTGTGCCGTGGCATTTTTATTATGTTATTCTAAAATCAATTTTTTGTCAGAAATGGGAATCTCCTAATGGAAAGGTTTTTTTTGTTGTTGCCTGTAATGATATAACCTTCAGAGCCTCTGAGATGAGTATTTGGCTTTGTCCCATTAGACTTTCATTTTCAGAATTATTTTATGTCATATCTTTTATATAAAACTGACTTTGTACCTTCATTCACACAAATCTAAAAACGGCTGCACTTGGACATAGAGGTGTATATAGTGTAGTGTTACATAAAAACAACAGCTAGTGCTGATAATTGTAAGTCTCAATCTATGCAAGCAGAATTGGGGATAATGAGATAATTAAAAGTTAAATGTACAGTACTAGAATATATTCATATATTTCAAGGTTTTATATGCATCCCAGTTAGGGTGCGAAACTCCCAGTAATATTAAGCACCTGACTTTCTATAGCAGCTGGATGTTTTTCAGTGTTTTATAAATTGTATTGGTTCAACAACAGATACATTATACATTTCAAATCATATTGAGGGTGTGGCCTGCAGTTGTCACCATGCTGAATTGCTAACACCTACATTTTCTCTTTCTATTGGACCATTATGTTGTATACAAACTGTGCCTGAATAACTCTAAACAAGAAACTTTAAAAGTCATTTCAATATGTGATGGGTCAGTTAAGGTTTGTGTTTGAGTAGTCTTTTGAGAAGAAAGTTGATGGTTTGAAACAAGGTCAAATGATTTGCTAATTGAATTGAATATAGCACTGCTGTGGATACTGTTGTGCACCACTGAGTATGGGGATGTGTGACAATATCAATTTATTTGTTTCTTTGGAGATTAAAGAGGAGAGTGAGGTGAAAGGGCTGTAATCTGCAACTACGCCATTAGATGTCACTAAATCTCAAACACTGATCCTTTGATGGAGTTGCTGGTAGTACAGTTTTGACCGCAGGACTTTTACTTGACCATTTTGACACTGTGATATTGTTACGTTTTACTTAATGTAAGTAAAGGATCTGAGTATTTCTTCTACCGCTGCTTACTGTGATTTATGTTTTTAGTCTACTGTACTCAAGTTTCCGAGCTCAACAGCCCCTCTTTGCAAAACTTTTGCCAAAACATGTTGTTTAGGGTACACCAGCATCAATGTCCAAGTCCTCTAACCTACAGTGATGCCATAAGCATGCAGACCATGCCTGAAGATTACAATGTGTTAGACGCTGTAATAGGCATTGTAATATAATTATTATTTATATTCTTTAACATTGTGTGAGCACCTTGAGCAACTGTAACAGATTTACACCCTGGGGATGAATGAAGTATTTCTGTTTCTGGTTTTTACAGACCATAAACATTGTAATAGTAGTTACTTAAGTTAATCTTATAATGAATTGTTTAACAGCATTAGTACAAAACGTGAACCCATAAAAGCATCACTCAACAGGGATATACTAGGTTGCTATAAACAAGATCTGGGAAATGAGCACAGCAATAGTCCCTACAATAAACTATTTTGTTTACTTTTTCAGAGACTGCAGGGTTTATTTCGTTGCGTTGAATTGAGTTGTCGAATAAACCTTTTTTTTAATGTGATTTATCTTAAATATCTGATCTGACAGCTGCCAGGTGGATATTCATTATAAAATCTGTAAATTCCTTCCGACATGAACGCACCGTCGCTGCCGTACGTCGATGCCCGGGACGTACGGAAGCCTGACGGAAGCACCTCCTGCAGGCTGCTGTGGTTTGCCCCAAGCTGAACCAGCAAGGCAGCCACCCTACGGAGAGGACGGCGGTAGCTAGTTAGCACAAACAACCAGTCTTTACACGGGGAGAGGAGTGTGTGCCATTTCATTTGGATGGCTAATGTCCCTGCAGTGACTGGCTAACCTGCTGTAGGTCAACACATCTGGGAGAAACATTAAAGCCTCTCCCAGTGTCTCGTCCTCGCTGTAATCTCGCCAAGATGTCAGCTTTCTCTGAGGCGGCTTTAGAAAAGAAACTCTCCGAGCTTAGCAACTCACAGCAAAGTGTGCAGACGTTGTCGTTGTGGCTCATTCATCACAGAAAACACTCGAGGACCATTGTCAATGTTTGGTTCAACGAACTGAAAAAAGGTAAGGTCAACATTAGCTAGCGAGTTCACCATGATAAAGACCACTGACATGATTGTACAACTCACTAACAAGCTACATGTAGCCTTTGGCTAGAGGGGCTAAACCACGTTAACTAGTTAGCTGTTCATGTGTTAGCCATATTAAGACTAATAAGTTCTGTAAATTGACGCTGGAGTTAGTTAATGTTATATTTAATCAACAAGATAAATACCCAGATAAAGACCACCCAGCTCAGAAGTTACTCTCAGCTCTGCAGGGCTTTGTAATGTCTTTCAACTTAAATGTTTTTGCCACAGTCATCAACCTAGTTTCCAGCACCAAATGGCAGACTGACATAGTGAACGACCAAATAACAAATAAAAGAGCCAGATAGTTTCCTCAGAAGTTGGTGGAGACCAAAACAGAGCAGGAGGCCAGAGTCACAACTCCAGATGAATGCTAATGTTGCCACATTTGTGAGATGTGTAAGTATGCAGTTGTTAGGTAACATGTTTGCCACAACGTGTTTAAAAGCTGATATAACAACATGTTATGTTAACAGCTTGTTCTGCAGCCCCCCAAGTGGCCAATAATGCAGCTTCAAGGAGGCTATAATTGATGTATTTATACAAAATGACTAAATGTGAAAGGAGGTTTTTCGTAGTGTTCATCCTACAGAGAAGAAGACTTTCAGCTCATTGTCTAGCTGTCTGGCCCGCAGCTGTACTGTTTTAATTCAGCCTGACCTCTCTCATAGTGTTGTTTTCCAGCAGGTATCTATTTACAGAGCTATAAAAACCCACTGTACACTACCTGCTCAGCACCAAAATGCAGACTCACACTTGGTGGCTACCCGGTGACCATAAATTAAGAACTTGGTAGCTAAAGAGCCAGCTATTTCTCTCAGGAGTTCGTTTGGACTAAAAACAACTAAAAGAGAGTAAATATTAGAAGAACATTGACCTGGTGACTCCAAATGAATGAAAATGTTGCTCTGGGTTTGTAAACAACAACTGTTTGCCACCAAGTTCACCATATCAACCTGAAAGTGATAATATGTTGTTGTGTTTACAATTTCTGTTTCTGCTGCCTCGAAGTGGCTAAAAAAATCTGTTATTGCAATGTTTCACCCTTTCTCCAGTGATTTCATCATTTCAATTTTCATAATGAACACTGAACATCTAAAATAGGTGGGTTACGTGAGATAGCGGATGGTCTTTGATCAGGATTATCAATAACTTAACCCCAAATGTGGGCAGTTGGCTGATGCTACTCATGCTAGTTATATATTGTAGATATTGCTGTTTAAAGCTGCTGGGAGGGGCCTGAATTTCTTTCTGAATTTCTACAAACACTTTGATGTGTCTTAAGTGTCAGTCAGTGTAATAGTTCAAGTTTTAGTCAGCAGATTGCATCAGAAAAAAATAATACAAACTACATTATTAGTTATGAAAGTTGTACTTTTACTGATGCTTTGACACATTATTAAAATTCTATGGTAACTTTGTTTTCTTGTAAATAAAGCTGTTAAGCAGTTAAGGCAGCAATATGACAACAACATACTATTTTTTCCCCGTCAGACATTGAACAATAAACACATTGTGACCGTGATTTGCAATGTCATTTTATTTTTTGCTTGTTGTCACATATGTTCATAATAGGTTTATGAAACATCACACTACAAAAAAGAATACTGAATGTATTGAACATTGCTGTGTCACTGAAATGTAAGGGGTGGCTTAGGGATTTCTGGGAGTTTTTTTGTATTAAGGTGCCATTCAAAGCATGTCAATTGGAGGGTGTAGCTCACTAACCTGCCAGTGATTGCTGGAAGCAAACTTGTCTACACTGAATGAAAACATTAAAATGCTGGCTCTGATTTTATTGAGTGGATGCAGTTACAGCTTCATTACATAACTGAGCTGTTATGAATATTTTTTGGACTGGATGTCAGGTATTGCTATAGTTGTAGCTAATACTGGCACACCTTTCCTCGGGGGGGTTGTCAACAACCTAATGATATCTCAAGTGGTATGTTGTATTTTAGGAGCTTGTCTGAGGACTGAAAGGAGTGTGCAGCGTTAATAGCAAGGGGTCATTTCTCTGGAGCTTTATGCTTTGCTTAGTGATGACTTTGGTTTGTCCAAAAACAACAAAGACATCTGCGCCATTACTTGTATGATGTGACTGTGCCATCAAGTACATGTTAGTGGATAAAACCCAAATGGAAAAGACACAAAACAAGCTGCGCGATCAGAGAGACAAAAGTTAAAATTACTTGTTAAATAAAAATTGGAAACGCCCTCACCCATGGGAGCTTACATGTAGTTATATTGAAGAATTAACTAGGTTTTGACTGAATGTTAATGGATAGATTTTATTTTTAGTTGTGACTAGTGGCTGTAAGGTGAGTTCATGCAAGAAAATAGTACCTTTTAACACATAATAATCTGGCTTGGTGGGTAAAACATTGGGTTTACGTTTACAATTAGGCTTTTTTTTTTCTTTTAATCATTTCTCAGATGAAGAATGAAACCAATAATACTTTCAGTACTTTTTAGTTTAGGTAGGTTAATTGATAGATCATTAGTTATTAGCTTAAAATGTCTTATCCATGAATTAAAACCTACCTGTTGTGCATTGAAATCTCACCATTGTGTTGCTCAGTGTAAAGTTCAGTCTTGTAAGTCATAACCAAATGCCTCACTGTAATATGTGTATGTGTACATTTGAATTCATGCAGCTCAGGTATCACGCAAGCTGACCTTCCTTTACTTGGCCAATGATGTCATTCAGAACAGCAAGAAGAAAGGACCAGAATTCACCCAGGACTTTGCACCGGTCATTGTGGACGCATTCAAACACGTATACAGGTCAGAATACTAAATCATTAGGAAGTCTACAATGTCTAGATTTCTTTGGAAAAACGAGTGAATTGTAGCTTAAAATGTGACTTAACATCACCCAGACTTCCTGCCTGAATACCTGCCTGTTCTGTCTTGCGTTTTCCCGTCCAGAGATGGCGAGGACGGCTGTAAGAAACAGTTGGGTCGGGTGTTGTCTATCTGGCAGGAGAGAGCTGTGTACGAGAACAACCTGCTGGATCAGCTCTCACAAGTCCTATGTAAGTTCACACAACACCTGTACCAGCACAGGCATGTAAGTAGTGCTCAGCACCCAACGCATGTCTACACAGCTGCTCTTTACAGCAAGACGCTATGTGACTGTTTACCCTGCCAATGGTTTTGAATTGTATAACATTATTATTATAGTTATTATTAAAGGATGGGTGTGTAGGATTTAGTGGCATCTAGTTGTAGTTGCAGATTGCAACTCCATCACTTCACCCTCCCCTTCCATGCACAAAGGAGAAACTATGGTGCGCAACAACACAAACAACCCGTATTTAGAGCCAGTTTGTCCCTACTAGGCTACTGTAGAAACATGGCAGTTCAACATGGAGGACTCAATTGAAGGTGACCCGCGGCGTCTTAGATTAAAAAAAAAAAAAAAAGTCTCATTCTAAGGTAACAAAAACACAACGATTTGTAAATTCTGGTGTATTCTTGTGATTTTACATGAATGAAAACATACCTGCCAATAGTATATTCTTACATGCTACACACTGGACCTTTTAATTAAGTTGTAGTATAGGACGAGTTTTGATCAATAAACATTTCACTTGTAAATGTAGATGTTCTCTAAGGCTGATCAGCCTTATGGCAGGAAAGTGAACGTGACGCTGTAAAGTTGCAGTTTAGTTTATTAAATAAAAACATTTCATCTGAGCAAAAAAGTCAAATGATAACTAGGGCTCCCCCCCCACTAAATTTCTAGATATTCCTCATCGACTAGTAGTCATTAAATAAAACCAATAGTCGGCGAGCTGTAGCACGTTAATGATATTAATTTAATTATTTAAATATATACATTTTAACAACCGCCTGTTAAATGATAACGCAACCAGTCAGGAAGCTGAACACGTAGTTCATTTATTTCAACACGCATAACATCACACAAATCTCGTTCAAACAAAAAAACTTCCAACTTCACAAAAACAAATGCTGGCGGGTAGATGGTGTATAATAACAGTTACTTACAAATTAACTGGCTTCTCTTCCTCCGTTTCACTCCTCTCCTGTCACTGCCTCAACCCGCTGTGTCGTGTTGCACATTCCGGCCTCCCTAACCCACTGGGTCCCCCCACTCCTATGCTATTAACTCCCCCCTGTCCTTCAAACGCTCAGTCTGGGTATAGTCAGCCGATAGGCCCACTAGTTAGCTAGTGGCAGCAGCTAGTATAGTTAGCATGTACAACAGTGCACCAGTAAGTGACTCCCTGTGTTACAAAAGAAAAGGTCCGTGTTGCAACAATCTCCTGATACTTTCGTCCTGGTGACCAGGCGCAGCTTCCGAACAGAGTTTGATGTTGTTTTTATTTTTCTTCTGCATATGTGATGATTTCTGTTTTTTCTTGTAAATCCTAGATGGCGAAAAAAAGGCTAAGAAGAGGCCATATGAGGAGATCCAACCAGATGATGAGGACTTTGCTTCCCAGAGCTCCCCAACTGAGCCCCCACAGGTGCTTGCCTAGACAAATAGTGTAGCCAAAAACACAGGGTGTTAATAAAATGATACTCTTGGCCACATAGAGGTGATTTATTGATACTTTTTACAGTTGATACAGCTGCCTCTGGATGGATTTATATTGTTAAGCTTTGTTTATATTCCCGTGAGACACAGTGGCGCACTCCTCCACAGATGGTGCACAAGTGACAAACTGGCACTGAGGCCTTTATGCTTAGCGCTTTGGTGCAGTATTCTCTGAGCGTTCAAAAAAATGGTCTGTGAATAAGCAACAAGTCAACAGTTGTTATTGGGAGGACCTCATTATTAAAGATGGTTACACTGCCAGCTGCCTGGAAAACTGTTGCTCCAACGTACCACCAAGCATTGCATTTGTGTACTGTAATTACTGTCACTTACAAATTAAAACAGTTCAGTGAAGTTTAGAGTCATTTGGCTGCCCCTGACCCAAACAAAATATCCTGTTAGGAAGCAAGAAGTCAACGAGTGTTTACCAGAAGAACATTGCTACATCCGCTACCCTTCAGCTGCTCGATGCTGAGGATGCATTGATCTGTTTATGGCTAAAAGCAACGCTACTGATGTGCCAGAATCAGTTTATTTAACATTAGACTGTGTAAAACTACTGACGAAGCCTGTTTAGAAGGCTATGCACATACTCATAGTTACATTTGGAAATGAAATGCGCAGTGTGCACCTAGTTACAAACATGCACGACCAAGTGACAAGTGATGACATTTTTGGCACGCTCACCCTTGCACTGGGGACATTGTGGCGAGCATAAACCAGGCCTAATACTTCCTGTTTCTGCTGCCTCTGAAATATTGTTCATATTTGACACACTACCGATTGACTGTACCTTCTTCCTTAACCTCTCTCCTGCCTTTGTTCCTTTCACCTCCCTCCCCTGCCTATCTCCCTCTCTCTACCTCAGACAGCAGAGTTAATCCGAGCTCTGCAGGAGCTTGAAAATGCAGCCTCTGGCGACTCAGTGCTGCGTCAGCGTATCTCCTCCCTTCCTGCTGAGGTGCAAGACACGTCACTGCTTCACAGGATCACAGGTAGGAGGCAGGACACAGCACACTGTTGTACACTGTACACACACAACTCATTAATACTTATTGGTACTAATTAGTTAATAAAGTAATTGCCTTCCTAGGGACCAGGGTGGCGTACTGAGTAGAAACACAGCAGTTAATACAATAGACCAAGGTGCATTTTATTTTATTTTCTATATGGCTCAAATACCAGAGAATTTTAACACTATAATATAATGGAGCAGTAATTTATTGACATTTACTTCCCCTTAAATGCAGACCTAAAACTTAAAATATGTTTGTTATTGTTAACAAAAGTGTTGACTATAATGTTATTGATATGAGTGGAATTGGATAAATAGACACCCCAGGCACATATAAACACACTGTGCGTACATTGGAGCTGAGTAACGTACAGTGAATGATTTTTCTATATAGTCAAAGATTGTTCACTGAACCTTAGAAGATACAGTTTACTATACAAAGATTAGTAAAACATTTCTAAGTCATTCAACCATGTAGACATATTATACATTAGAAGGCCACAAAGAACTTCAACAAAGTGAGGTGACTTTGAGCACTGAGACTACACAAATAAAAAGGACTAAAATGTTTGATTTGCAAGTGTTTATACAATAGCTATTTACATTGTACCATTATTGATTGATAACTGAATGACCTCCAGTTGAACCCACTACACTGGTTATCTTTAAGCATTATGCTCCGCTCTCTGTCTACTTTTTGTGCTTTAGATAAAGAATCAGGGGAGCGGCTTTCCCGGCTGGTGGAGGAGGCGTGTATGCTGCTAGCGGACTACAGCGGCCGCTTGGCGGCAGAGATTGACGATAGGAGGCAGCTCACACGCACACTAACGGTCTTCCTGCAAAGTCAAAAGGACGGCCTGGCCCAGAACGAGCAGAAACTCGAAGTGCGTAAATCACTTTTTTGCTTTAATTACTGATTGTTTATCTGTGTACCTTGTCTACCTCACCTTTGTGTCATCATTATTGATTCTCAGTGTTCATCTGTCTGCGTAGCTGTGTGGTCACGCTTCTTGTCTGTCAACTTTTTGAAGTAACATTTCTTTTCATGTATTTCAGCATGTTGCATACTTCTGCAGAGTGCCTGTTTTGTTGCTGATTCAGACTGTAGATTTTAGACTAGAGTTAAATTTGAGTGTAAGGTCTGCTGGCGTTTTCAAACTGAGGAAAGATTCCTGAATCAGATACACTCTTAATCTAAGTAAGATTTTTCCATCATTGGGAAATGCTTGCTCTTTTAGCCTTTAACTCAAAGTGTATCTCCTACAAGGTAAGTATCGACCAAAATACTTGATCTTGAACAGCTCCACTGCAGATTTTCTTGTTTTCTCATAACTATTCTTTTTTTTTTGTGTTGACAATAACTGTCCAGACTTTATCCACAGGACACCAAGAGGACAAAGTATTTAACATTTGTATCTTCACTCAGTCAAGTCTTTTGTAATAAAAAAACTGAAAATAAAAAATAAAACTGATTTTGTGAGTGCTTTTATTTTGCTGTAACTTGCAGCTCCTGGTGGTACATGCATTGTATAAATGTTCAATTTCCACAATAGTCTATAATAACAGTATTTCATTGTTTTGTAGTATTGACACGCAGTAAATTCTAGCCACACACTCATGGTTAAATTAAGCTCAGTCCAATAGAAGTTGAGCTCAAATTGAGGAAAACTCATAATGTTACATTTCAAACCAAAACTAAGAAAAGAGACAGCAGGTTTTAGGAATCTTAATGTGGATTAAGATTATTTTGCCTGTTAACACTAATTTATTAGATCTGTCAGTATTGATGACATGCTATAAGTGGAAGCCTCCTGTGGCAACACACACATACATGCATCAGCTGTTTGGCAAACATACAATAAGCATGTGCGTGCAGCAAAGCCAGAACAGTGATAAAACATTTGATTAACACTTAATGTATCTTTTAAGGAGTAAATATTTGTGTAAATACATGAATGAAGTGAAGTACTCTGTTAACATGGCTTGTTCCATTGCTTACCAGCCTTCAGTTGTGTGTCACAGCTGTTATTTCTGTCATAATGTAATTCTAGTACATCATGGGGATATAAGATAACAACTTCCCTGCCTAAATACGTTGTTAATTTGGTGATCTTTCACGTGTTTCATAGTTGGAAGTAGAAGTAAACCATGTAGAAAGCTAGTCTCAGCTTGACCCTGAAGTAAAAGTTTTGTTTTTCAAATATCGTCATACATTCAGTGGTTTGAAAGAGGGTTTTAAGCTCCACAGCAGAGAATATGTATTTAACATGCTCACACAAACATTTCTTATGTATGTGTTGGTGCTTTCAGATTGAAGTATTTTGGCCGGAAATCCAAACTTTGTTACTAGGTTTTACTTTCAGACCTTTAACTGTTCTATAGTGTACAATGCATCAAAAGTGATCATACTAGTGACATAACCTTATTCCCATTTTTATGCTCCCTGCATATCCTTGATACAGATTTTCTAGTAACTGATCCCTTACAAAAATGTGTTTCCAAAATATTGCTGTTGAGACTTCACTCATTCACACTGTAAGATCTTTGAGCTCTCATGGACCTTTTCTGCTGTGGATTTCTTTCAGGAATACAAACGCAAACTAGCGAGGGTGACCCAGGTCCGGAAAGAGCTGCGTTCACGCCTGAACAATCTTCCAGGAGGACTCTACAACAACTCTTCAAACTGAGTGAACCTCCGGACTGGATCCCTTCGCCTCCTGCTACTGAAACATCTCCACCTGATATCTGATCAGTGACATTGCCGTAGTCCTCTGTTCTTACTTTTGGAGCAGTGTCTGTGCCCCCCCCCATGGTGACCTGTGGTTCTCATTCTGTTTTCAACAGATAATTTCTCCACGTTTTTTTTTTATTAACATATTTGTCATCTTTTTCTTGTCTGTGAGCTCATCTTATTGTAAAAGAAGACTCATAATCATCAGACACAGGCCTCTCAGGCTTTGGCCCCTGCCCAGATAACCTTTACAGCTTTAAAGTGTTATGGGTGATGCTGGTGTGATATTTTTTTATTTATAGTGACTTAAGATAATGCACCAGAGTACATCCTGTGATCATTCATAACAATTTTCTGTATTTTGGTTCATAACTTTATTTTATTATTTCTGTAAATGCATCCGTCTAATTCTTGGTTGTATGGATCTTTGCAGCAGTTCTTAAAAGCTGAATCGTTGTTTTCATGTAGTGTGATAATGGCCTCTGAAGAGAACTCGTGAAATCACTAGGAAACCATATTCTGAATCTGAGTAGTAAGCCCATGAAAGCAAATCAAAACATGTTTTTATCATTTACATAAGGTTTCTTTGTGAGAGGGGGTTTGTAAATCATCGGTCAGTGTACATACTCAAATTTGCATGTAAATATAATGAGAGTTACACCCGTAAGTGCTTATGATTTGTATCTGTGTCAACATGGCTTGCAAAATGCTCATTCAGTCAAATTCCTGGGGTATATCTGTACATCGACACCTCCTCTGTAGTGAAATAATGAGCGAAGGAGTCTGTTCTCTTGTTTACTGTATCATACTGCGTCACAGATGTATCCTGAAGTCTACTGAATGCTGTGCAGCCTCACACAGCTTGATAGTTGCCCCAGTTTCCAAAGCCAGACTTAAGCTGTTTGTTTTTGTACATATGATGCAAATTCTTCTTAGAACCAAATAAACAGAAAACGTACCAATCTTTGCAGTATGTGCCCTCTGAGTTTGATTGCAAGTGAGGTCCTTGGCCAGCAGAGGGCGTCCATCTATCGGGTGCGCTCGTTTTTGACACCGTGTGTTGCTTCTTTTACGGTGTCTATGGCACAGACGACCCCGCTCGTGTGTGTGTGTGTGTGTGTGTGTGTGTGCTAGGGTGAACTGTACAAAAACACAGGAAGTAGCCACCATTAATCGACTGGTTAAATATAAGTAGCTGAATGCCATATATTATAATTATGTAATAAATTACAAATAAATAAATCACACATGCGCTAACTGGTTGTTGTTAGCCCCTTTGCGCGAGCTGCTAGCTAACAGCGTACAAAGACACTAGTGGTAAGTGAGCTTGGTCCTGTTCGCTAGCTAACTTTAACTTTAGCTGAGTTAGATACCTGCTGACGGTACGAGCTGTTTCTTCTTGTCGTTAACGTTAACGCCAGTTGTAAACTAGCCAACGATGGACAACTTCGAAACACCGTACGACGAAGAGGCTGAATTCATTGAATGCACGGTAAGCCAGCTAACGTCAGCTTGAGTTACATGCAAGGTTCAAGACAGATGCAGCTTGACTTTTACTACAATGTGACACAAAGGAATATCGTTTAAACCAGAAATAAACCCTCCAGATGTGGGTTATAATCAGTTTTCGTTTGTTTGTGTTGTTGTTGTTGCCTAGTACTGCGTTCATACGTACATATACAACATACAACCATGTAACTCATGGCTGTGAGGATGGACTAAACACAGCTGGAAACATCCTACCATCGTACGCAGCTACGATACACACTGACTTGTGTTTTTCTCTTTAATGAAGGTCTGTGAGAAATCCATAAGAGGTGAAACCTTATACAAGATACACCTGACTACACCGGGACATATAAAGGTACGAGCTTCAGCTGTGAAAGGTCTGCTGCTTAACACTTACTGTAGCTCAAACACACAGTGAGAGACTAATGGTTAGTGGTCAGTGAGCCCTTTACAGTGAGTAGTGTTTTCATTCAGTCACAGGTTTTCCACTGGTTCAAGATTTAACTCTTGCAGGATGGAAACAAGGAGTATCCAAAAGTGATATTTCACTATTGTTTGAACCCATCAGCATCATCTGTGGACTTTCTATTCCCTCCAGTGTGTTATTTCTGATGTATTGCATGCTTGTATATCCTGTGACCTTACATACTTAATCCTGCCAGCCATCTTGGTATGCCAAAGTTAATGTTGCAAGCAAGAACCAGATCAGTGATGACAACAGGAAAGTTACTTTACATTTTTTTCTATGTCAAACTTGAAGTTCTGTGCACGTTGGCGTTTTTTCATGTGTCCTTTAAATTTTGGATCCTGGCTACAACGGCTGATTAAATTGTTCAGTCTCTTCTTTAAGCTGCAACAAACAGACAAAGAAAATGAATGCTTACCAACGTTTGTCCTTGACCATTGTAAAGCTCCTGGTGATTTTGGAGCACCGTGTCTTTAAAGAGCGCACCTTGAAGTAAGTTCATGGCACAGGAAAAGACAACATTTGGCTCAGACTGACTTGCATGACTTGATGGACATTTGCCTCAATGTCTAATGAGGACGATTGTGATGGAAACCGCTTTCTTGCAACAGCAGCTTGTTTCATGTTTTTTTAAAAAAACATGCTGTGTAATTGCTCACCATCACAACCTGTCTCCTTTCGACTTTGCGTTTCAATTCTGAAGCAGCTATTTGTTTTCTGCAGGCCATCACCTATAGCCCATTTTTCTTCATCCTCATCAGTCAAGTTTTGGGGCTCAAGGCTTCAACAACACAGCTCATAGCCGTGGTTGTTTCTCACACCACGCCACTGGTATGGTTGTTGATGGGTTTTGTACATGACAACCAGAAATCCTGGACACATTTACAAGAATATTGGTTAAACTTGACAACCATCTCCAGTGAATCCGGTTCATCTAGTCAAGTGATTTTCTTACTTTTTCTTCAGGGCCTTTTACTTGATTTGTTAACTACTGAGGCTGCCCTAGAGCCACTGTCTCACATGCACGTAAATTGAAACATGTTCTGGCAATTTTGTGTCTGCCGAGGTTTTTGAACCCTTTTTGGAAATTTGCCAGCTCAGGGCCTTGTAAGATTTCTGGACATCTTATGCTTTGGCTTTCATTTGACCAAAAGTTGCAGCGCTTCCAAGTAAAGTGCATTTAAATGAATTTTTTTTTTACGTTCTATGAGGGAGCCAATCGCAAGAGATCTTGAAGATTCATGCATTGATGGGACGGTTTGATAACTGACTTCACACTCGATGCCTGCCTCAGGCCTGGAAGACAAATAATGCACAAGCATGGACAATGCTTGGACAACTAAGCCTTACAGATGCTAATACTTTGTTCACGCTGTGTAGCGACAGTAACTTGGCAGCAGCTTTAATCCTTTTGTCAGTGTCTACACTGGGTTGGTGTGGGGTCAGCTGTGTTTTGGCAGAGCTCAGTGCCCAATAAACAACCCTTGTAGTTATGCATGCAAGGAAAAGTAACTCGGACATTGGTCACTGTCTTTTGGTTATCTTGGTAATGCTGAAGAAAACTGGATTCTGCTTCTCTGCATACGGATATCCATTTTCACATTAAATCTTGTCTTTAAAAGTGAATACAACCTTCTCCCAGGAAGACAGCTTAATATATACAGTTATGTTTAAAAAAAATACTTTTGAAAAACTGACAAGCAGGAGGACACAGCTCTGTCTCCTCACCTACATTAGTTCCTTATGCACTAACTGAACAAAACTTTTACTGCACCTTAAGTGAGCTTTGGTTTTGGTTAACCATTATGTGTTAAAAATGTTTCCATGATATAATCCTTTCTCTGTTTGTAGCAGTGGTGAACTCTAACCAGTGTCCTGTTTACCCAGCACTGATTGACTTTATTTCTATTGCTCTCCTTTTGTTCCTGCCAGAAGGAGGATGGCCTTGTTGCTGCGGGTAAGTAGACGTCATCTTCAGCCTTGTCATTTTGTTCTGCTCTGGCCTTGAGTATATTTGCTGTCTGTTCTGGCAGGTAAATCAGTCCACACACAAAGGTAAAAGAGGTCACTCTAATCTGTTTCCCGGTTTTAATGGACAGCAGTTTCATTCTAGATCGCATCTAGATCAAATCCTTGTGGAATCGTACCTGCCCTGAGCCCACATCGAACACCTTTTGAGATGAATGGGAACGACTACCACAAGCCAGACCTTATTGACCAACATCAGCACCAACCTCTCTAATGCTTTTGTGGCTGAACTGGAGAAAATCCTTGTAGCCAGTTTCCAAAATCTTGTGGAGAGCCTTCAGAAAAGGTGAAGGCTGCTTATACAGCAGGTTAATGCTAGTGGTTTTCTAATGAGATGTCCCACAGTCGCAAGTGTAATGCTTGGTTGTCCACCTACATGTCATTTCATGTATGTTGACAGTGAATTTGGAGGGAGATGTGTGTCCCAAGAGCCAAGATGGCAGCTAAACAGCTGTATAAATCCAGCACATCTGATTGTCAGACTAATGGAGGTTTTGTCATAAATGAAGTGCCAGAACTGGCACATCATTCTGGGTACTGAAACTGGCCAAAGCTAGCCGGAGTGCAGCTAATTGGAGGTCACTGTCAATTCAAATGTCAACATGGATGGCCTGTTGTGTTTTGGTCTTGTTAATAGTACAGGACAGAGGACAGGTATTCCATTTTGCACTTTGTGAGAGATGATTGCTCTCAGTAGTTGAATTATGTGTCTATAGGACAAGAGTGAAACCCCTCAGTGACTGATGGACAGGCAGTGTTTTTCTTCATCCCTGCTATGGGCTGCACAAAATCGGGTATTTCAGGGTCTTTTACTGTCATCCCACAATCTGCATGGACTAATGCATAGAAATTTAGATTTTCACTTCATTTTAGATGGATGAAAGATCCAAATTCCAATTCCCAGCCTGGAGAGCGATGATAGAGCTACCAGCTGGACTGGATCCAGCCTCAGATGCACTGGCATCACAGACTTGGATAGCAGGTTAGCCGGGCTCGGTTCGCTGTGAGATGGGCTTCTTTCACAGCGTGTAGCCTGATTTGTCAGTTTGGAGTCTGTGGACACAACTGGCTGGCTTTGAGAAAGCTCCTCCTATTCTTAGTGGTGCAGTCACTTGATTATATATAAAGAGTTCTGTTTCACATTCTGCAAGGGGAGAGACTGTGGACAATTTTACATTTACACAAGTTAGCCACCTTTACCACTGGGAGACTTTGTGTCTCTTGTGACTTGAGACCTGTTATTGCACAGGAGTGTCCTCTGCTGGTGTCCTTTTGAGTTAGCACTTTATGTTATTCATAAATGTTACTCGTTTACTCATTATTCACGTTGGTGACACTCACACAAAACGGGGCGACAGAGGCCCACTGGTGCCTACAAGGCCGCCCAAAAACTTACACCAGTGAGTGCACCAACACTAACCAACATCGCTGCGGCTCAACGCAGAGAAGCCGACGCGCACATCAAATGTCACCAACGTGTTTTTTTAACTTTCTGTTAAGTCCACGTTAAAAGAAATGTCGACAAAATGTTTTCCAGATGATGCCTGTGCATGTGTCACGTGCAGCCTGGGGAAGAATATTCCAGTTTTACCTGTTGATGAATGTGGTCTACAGTCAAATACAGTTCAAATACTGTATGTTTAAACTGAGCAAAGAGCTTTGACACGCTTATAGTTCACATGAACGTAAATGTTTTGCGAAAAATACATTTTCCTCTCCTGTTGGTAATGTAGGTCACATCTGCATTTAGTTGCTTTTGTCACAAGATGGATGTTACAGGAGGCTAAGGCCATAATGCCTCACCAGGCAGTACTTTTTCTGCAAAGGAGCGTTTATATTCCATATAATCATCTTGGTCAATGTTTCTTTATTGAAGACATTCAAACAGCAACACAAAACAAAAGAATCACGAGATACAGAAGACAGCACGCTACGTTTGCTTCACAGAGATGACTTCTCTGATGATGTAAGTAGAGCAGAATTTGAGGGCAGCAGTGTTCAAAGCTGAAGCATTGGAAATTTATACATAAAAACATGTATGGTTACTCATTTGCAGTAGTCAGATTTTTGATATCAGTATGTAAACTGGAGAATTTAACCCTTCTGTCAGCAGCTCCATTAAAGAAAGTATTTGGTTATTACGTCATCTGCATGAGATGGTTGTGACATCAAGTGCAGATTTAAACAGCTAATTTTGCAAACACGCAAAATGCATTTCTACACTTAAAGGTCCAATGTGTAGGTTTTAATGGCATCGAGCAGTGTGGTTGCAGATCGCAGCTCACACGCTACATTTCTACCCATATAGCCTCCTAAATGTTACACACTGGACCTTTTTAAGTTAGACCATGCACTGAACATGTAATACTTTTACTCTCTGTTGTAATGTTTTCTTTTGCTAACTACAAGTGTTTTGATTTCTCAGGGATTGCTGTCAGACAGCACAGCGTACCGGTATTTGAGGACATTTTACAATATCTGGATTACATGAAGCTTGATGAGCCGATCATTGGTAAATAATGTCAGACCAATTTTTGAAAATGTTTTGTTATTTCATATGTGAATTCGATACCTATTTAACTTCTTTCTGCTTTTATTTTTTAGGTTTGAACTATTTGGACGAAGTGCCTTGTAATGACCCACTAGCAGGCCCCAGATACACATGTAGGCTGTGTCATCAGACTGCAAACCTCGCCGAAATGGTCCGTCATGTGATTGGACGTAAACACCGGCAGAAATATGTGGTAAAGCATTGTAAACATTTTCAGAAAACTCCAGTGGAACTTTTTGAGTGTCTGCTTTGCTGTTTAGTTGAGTAAGGGGAACAGAAGTGAGAATACAGTACCTTTGTGTTTGTGTAGGAACTGAAACGGCCTGACTTGGTGACCTGGGATAAACAATCTATAATAACCCAAGGAGGAAAGATCATACGAGCCAGAGCAGAGATAATAGAGAGACAGGATGGGCGAGGAACTCCAGTGGTGGGATATACAGATTTCATTAACCAGACATGTTGAATATTATGAAATAATATGCACTTTCAGAATCATAACATTTGGAGAGTAACCTACAGTTTGTTTTTATTTATTTCAGATAATGGCGAAAAAGGGGAAAGAGGGCAAATTAAACATCACAAGAGGTACATTCAATTTTTTCTGTGTTGTTGTAACACTGAAGAAAAACAGCCAAGAAAGTGTTCTCACTAGCCTGTCAGAGCATGAATAGTTGCATAGAAATGTCAGGTTCAGAGTTTCATTAAAAACTGATGGTTATTGCAAAAAGGTTTAGAAATATTCCTCATCATATCAGTACATGATGTAATTGTCTCAACATGCATTTTCTGAGGTGGATATGGATAATGATGTGTGAGTCGATAGTTATTTTTTTACCTCATTTTTTAGAAGAATCCCTTTCTGTTTTTAAAGATACGTTGACACTGGGTATGTACATACACATCAATCCCAGTACATATATCTGCATTAAGCGATTTATCTGCCTGGCCAATTTAACAGCCTATCCTTACTAATAATTGTGAAAACATGAATATTTTATTCAGTGGCACAAACTGGTGTTCGGGAGTTGTTTTAAAGTTATGACATGCATTTCATACTTCAATTAATCTAACGTGACCTACTTCAGTCATCTACTCCTCAGACTGCTTATACGAGCAGTATAACATGTAATTTTTTTCTAAACAAATGATGAAATGACCTCTGCTGTAAATCAGAAGAATCCTTGAGGGCTTAATTTCACCCGCACTTTTAACAGTTTATGAGTCACTGCACGTAGCACAAGGTGGAGGGTCACTGCAGCTGTAAAGGAATTATTAAATGAAAGTATGTCTCGGTTAAATTTACTTAAACTGTATGTTTATTCTTGTTCAGTAGTTCCCCCAAGGCAGAACCAAAATAGGGACCGAAATATCTCCCAGAGTTCGACCCAACAAGACGTGCCACCACAACTCATGGACTATCAGAATGACTACTCTCACCAAGGACGCTATCCCCCAGGGCACCCAAATGCACCCTTATTCCATCCAGAAGACCCATACACGTTGGACCGAGACAGGCAGATGTACCAACGGGGCGATGCTCTCAGCCATGACCGTATGGAAGAACAGCTGCAGGGGGCAGATTACAGGGACAGTGATATGTACAGACGAGAGTATATGGACCCTGATTATCGTAGGGAGTACGAAGAGGAATATGGTGAAGATCCACAAAGAAGAGCCGTATTAGAGCCTGGAGGTGTCCCCAGGTATGACTCTAGGGTAGAGATGCCCCGTGGACAGGCTCAGCATGTAGACTATTACCCAGAAGAAGCCCCTTACAGAAGACCCCAGACAGAAAGAGATCCGCTGAAGGAGTTCTACACCGAGGAAGTTAGACGAAGGCGACTTCATTCTGCTGAGCATCAGCCGTCGCAGCCGGTATACCCTGAAGGTGATAACCATCGGTCGTCTCTGAACAGGGAATCCGGTAGACATGACGGTATGAATAGAGCAGGTAGGCAGGGATCGAGTGAACCAGAGGCCAACAGGAAGAGCTTCCCCACACCCCTGGAGAGTGACAGGTCGCGGGACCATTTGTATAATACGATCAGAGATTATTGCCACGAAATGAAAGAGCCACATCAGGAGGAGACAGTTGCCATCCGTGGGCCAGGCAGAACAGGACCCCCTAACTCCCAGAGACAAGTGGAAGTTACCAGGGTCATTTCTGACATCCCAGAGCCATTCAGGCGCTTCCTGAAGGGGGCCGCTAATGACGAGGGACACGGTAAAAGAAAAAGAAAGAGTCGCTTCTCTGATGCCACTGCAGAGGAGCTGGAAACCACAAAAGAGATGTGAGTGATAATGTATCAGGTGGTTTATCTGTTAATCAAACTCCCTTATCTCCATGAAACTGTCTTTGTCTTGTCTTGTTTTATATTGTTTTATTGAATGCTTTGTGTTTTCATCTTCTTACATTGTTGGACGTGTTTGATTTCTGCTTCAAGGTTCAGTGATGAGTACAGACCTCCAAATCCAAAGTTTGGCGGCCGCCCTAGACCAGTCAGTGCACCACTGAGACCTGAAATACATGGAATACAACATCCTGATCTCTATGCAGAATCGCAGGTAGTTCATTGTAAAATTAGGCTATTTGTTGTGATTAATCAGTAAACAATCTGTCTGTTTAAATGATCTGTTATCTGTATTAACTGTTGTAGTGATGCCCAGCCTGTTGTTGTTTTAGGGTCCACATCATACTGAAAGCTACCAAAGAGGAGGCTCTGAGTCAGAGGGTGTCTTTGATATGCTGGTAAGGTCTTGATCTTATGATTTCTAGGAACACGTAGCAGTGCTATATTCGTTATGTAACCATTCATTGAAGTGGAGATTTTAACTATGTCTTTTACGCTTGTCACTTTTTTCCCTACTAGAAAAACATTGAAATTGAGAATGCAGAAGAGGCTGAGTTCCTGAAGAACAAACTTTGCGAACTTCTAAAAGAATTCAAGGCCAAAAAATCAGGGAACGCCGGGGTATGTGGATCTGTTTTTCTAATGGAACGTGTAGTTTAATTCTCTGCCTCTCCGCAGTAGAAATTAACTAAAGAAATATGTTTTTGTTTGTTTGTGTTCAGCAAAATAGCCACAATAGAACAGTCATCTCCAAAGACTACAACAACTATAAGCCAGACCCAGAGCCGTCTCCAAGACCTCAGTATGACACAATCCCCAGAGAAGATTCAGACCTTAGACGATCAGAAGACCTCTACTTTCAAGAAGATAATAGAAGAAGAGGCTGGAAGCAACATGAGCATATACCTGAGGAACAGCTCCAAGAATACCACCATCCTGTACGAGGCGAACCCAGACACCCAAACTCAAACAGAAGCCGTTACGAAGGTAAATTGTATGATGTATTTATTTATATAATGAATGATTTTCTATATGCTTCATAGCAGGCATTGGGTTTGTTCACACTCACCTCAGTCAGATTTGACAAAATGAATCTTCATTTAAACAATTTCAATTCATGCCTTTGCCCTTTTTTTTTTTTTTTTAAATCAGAAGTTTTTGGGAGTGCAGAGATGTCTCTCACACCACGTGCTACACATCTAGATCAGCCAGCACGTTATCCTGAAAGGTTTCAAGAACCTGTGCACCCTCGTGACTACCAGCCTGCTGCTGAGGAGTTTCTGGACTCTCACTCTTCTGCACCTCCCTTCCAAATGGAACGAGGACCCAGGATGGACAGGGGGCCCCGGTACTCCAACAACCTGGACAAAATCACCTCCACACTCTTGGAACTTGTGGCAAGGAAATAATTTTCAGATTTCCTTAGATGTTGTGTGAGCTAAATATCCATACTTTTAATGGAATACTTCATAAATATGATTTTATGTTAATTTTCATTCTTCCTTAGTCTTTGTTCTTTAGAACATTTTCTGTAGACATTTGTGGAGAGTTGCTTCTTAAAAAAAGTGTTTATGTAAATATTAAAACATTTGTCTATTTCAGCTGTCATTTCTTTCAATCCTCATATTACTGTTATCACCAGCAGCAGGAATAGCAATATTATTATTGATTTTGACATTTAAGGCTCAAACTGCAACACATTCAATTAAACTCTAATTTAATTTAAATTTAATTAAACCTAACTGATGTTTTTAGACTATTTACTGCAGACAGTTGTGAATAATAAGGTCCAATAAAAGAAAATTGGTACTAAATCTGCCATGTTAGTTCTTCCTATTCATATATTTTACTATTCCACGGTTACACCGTTTAATTGGGCATAAGGGTAAATATTGTTAAACTAGCTCACGTTAAATAATTTTTTTTACCAGTTTACTTATGTTTCACTGAGATCAATAATATTGTGGACACTCATCGCAAAGTCCATATCTTTGTAATTTAGAGTATTTTGACGCCGTTGCTCGGGGAACGTCACTGCGACGTCATCGCGTTCGTGCATTCAACTCTTTCCGGTTCGAGTAGCAGCCATCTTGTTTCCCCTTGCTAGCTAAATAAAATAAATAATACGCTGAGCCGGACTTCACTTCGAACCCGTAAAACAAAGTGAGTAAGAAATTAAAATTGTATGTGTGCAGAAGGTTTACAAGAAAGGCGCCCGTGTTGGGTGAAAGAAGGGACAGTTACTTCGCTTCTTTTCATTTGCTGTTCTTGACCAATCGACGATTGTTTTGGAAGATGAACATAGGCGCCATTTCCCTCCCCGCTCTCTGAGGCGCTTATTGGTGGCCCGCTGAAGGGATCACGGGCGGTCAGGAAACTGCTGTTTTGTGTCCACCATGTTGGCTCTCGCGTCCCTGATTGTCAGACGGAGTGGCCAATTTCTACTGGGCCCCGAATGGCGTCAGTTGCAGAACGAGCTTAGCCCTAAAAACCTTGATTGGTGGAATCTAGTCCGAGGTTTGATTGGTCTGAAGGACAGAGCCAAACGTTGTCTTTATTGGTTAGACTGCTTCTTCCTAGCCTTGGAAAGCTTTGCAAACTTTCATTTGATCGCAGGACTCGTTGTCCAGTGGTGATTAAAATTACACACACTGCGGATGATCACCTGTCGCCAGTGTGCATCTCCAACAAGCTAACATTAACTTCACTGATGTTAGCACGGTTAAGTCACGGTCAACAGCGACCACTAAAACATTAGCTACTAGTACTGACTGTGTGTGTTTTAACGTTGATGTCCCATGTGTTTAGTAGCCGATATGTGACAGTTTATTTTTATTTTAATATGCTAGTTTACTTTAGCGACCTTAGGCTCACCGATAATGAAAAACTTCCCGTATGCTTCCCTGGGATGTGCCATTGGTTTCAGTGTGTCCCGCTAGCCGCTTTGTTCGTCCTAACTGGCTTATAATGTTTACTGTAACGACCTAGTTAAAGTGCAACATCTTATTAAAGGCTAACGCGTTAACGAGCTAAGTTGTCCTCATAGTTACTGCCAGTGTAAATGCACTGTGCTATCAGTATGTAAATACAAAGTGTCTTTTGTTTTGCTCACTCAGGTTAGTTTAGGCAACACTTGATTAAACCTAATGCATACACCTAAGAATAGATTTTAAATGAGCCACAATATCAGAACAAAATCTTGAAGCTGCACTAGGTTTTGTCATTAATGATTAAAAGAACAGAAATGTGCTCCTCTCATATTAAAGCTATACAGAAAACAATACCACCTCTCAGCTGTTTCCCTAGTGAATGTAAGAATTTCAGAGCTGCTTCAGCATTTGGCTATTCATTATTAGCAGTGGAGAGAAATAGGTTGTACAGTCCTGCAGCCTTTCCTGCAGCGTAATTTACTTTATTAATCTATTAGATGTAAAATAATCTGTTCTTATTTCACTGTTCTCTCTGCATGTTTAATCTAGTGGTGACATTATATTTTAAATGACTTGAGGGTCGGTCCTACTTTCGGTAGCCTTAATCTGAGTAATTTATGTGCAAATCAGTCAGCTAATCCTTTAGTCACTAAGGTGTGCATGTGCTTTTGCAAGTTTGTGGGTCAATGCATTGCTTGCCTCGCTATCCTGCGGGTGCCGTGTATTTATGAAACCCATAGTCTGGCTGGTGTATGTTTATCTCTAAATAGCGTCAGTGAGAGCAAACATATCCCTGCTGCGGGCAGCACAGGTCATGGGAAGGTCTCATTTGTATGGTGACCTTGCCAGGTGTCATTACTGAGGCATTTTGGGTAGCCAGAATACATATACAGAGAGGACTGCTCTGGCATGGCAGCCATGCTGGAGAGATTAATCTTTGTGCAGCTCCACTCTAATCATTAACTGGATGGCTGTAGTACCTGCTCTAGTCCCCATGCTCCTCACAAAAATAGAAAAGGGAACATTTAGCTTTGTTTCTCTTGAGTCTCTATCTTGTTCTAGCGCCCTCTCTCCACTTGTTCTACCCCTCCCATCCTGTAACAACTCTCCTCTCTGTCCTTCTCCATCCTTCCGGTTCCCCTCCCCCTCTAGATTTTTCATTGATGGGGCAGGTTTGCGCTCTGTCTCTCTCTCTCTTAAGCTTGTTGTGTTCCTCGCTACAGTCGGGATTTGCAGTAATATGCAGCACAAAGCTTCAGGTCATGCCACCATCCTTTTGCACAAGTTATCAGTTACTCTGGACAAAAGTACATTACCATCACACCTTTAATTTCTGTCACTTCTACACACTTTATTGTCTAAGCTTTATATGTCTAAATGAGTTTGCATATTATATGTGGAGTGGTGCATTAAACACTATGAGTTATGCACATGAGCTGCAGTGTCCTGCTTTGGTATTTTAAAGTAAAGGTTACGGTGTAGAAAGTATTCACATTATACCAGTGGTGAGTTAACAAGAAGGGCATTGTATGACATTGCTGACGTGGTTTTTTGATGACGTTTTAATTGTGGAAGTTGCTGTGAGCGTAGTTTTTTGGGGTCAAGACAACAATGTCTTTGTTTACAGACTTTCACCCATATCTCTTCAGTCTTGTTTATCCACAAATAGGACGAGAATCAAATGCACTCTTTTCTTCTTTGCCCCCCTCTTCCTGTTCACCAGTCAGCTGATTCTTCTTCACTTCGTACAAAGGCTCTGTAATGATCTGTTGTGCAGTAATTAGTTTTTGTGTAAATTTGATTGACACCATAATTAGGATTTCATTGGATTAATGTTGTGGTTGCGGTAAGTTACATAACTAAATATTTCCATGAGTAATGAGAATTTGTTGAATAAAGTCTAATGCAACTAATTTATATTCTAACCGAATAATTAGTGACCATGCATGTAGACTATTTTTTTTTTTTTAGCATTAGCATAATATTAACAGTACAATGAATCTCATTATAACAAGTAGGCTGGTTAGAGGCTAGATGTTTGCAGTGTGACTGTGAGCAAGGATGAATGAGAAAGCAAGGGCAAAACGTGTGTGTGTGTGTGTGTGTGTGTGTGTGTGTGTGTGTGTGTGTGTGTGTGTGTGTGTGTGTGTGTGTGTGTGTGTGTGTGTGTGGATGTGCATGTATACCTGTGCACACGTATGAGACAGCGAGTCTGCCTAGTATGCTTTTGTACTTTAAATCATGTGGATGCAACATGCGGCATCCATTCTGGCACTTGCTCTAGCCAGTGAGGGCCAGCGTGGCTGCCTGCATCACAGTGCTGTCAGCCTGTAGCAGCAGAGAGGAGGCGGGGCGGAGGGAGACATTTAGTTTGACATTGTAAATAAGCAGAGAGCAGTTGTCAGAGAGCAGCCCGTGGAACCTTTCTCATCCGTCCAGCAGCAGGAGCAGCAGGGGACCGCCTGAGGACAAACAATGCCGAGGCAAGCCACCACTAGCACACCCTCACGCACTCCCCGAAGAGCTTTCTACAACTTTATTTGCTCTTTTTCACCTATTCTCGTCTCTACTGTCTCTTCCTCTTTTCTTTTCCCTGACCCCTATCCTGCAGCTCAAGGTAACTTAGAGCAGGAAGTTGGCTGTCGGTAAAAGGGGGTTGGGCGGAGGCAAGAGGAGGGGCAGGGGATGTGTCAGAGCTGATTGGTGTGCGCAACGTCCAATGGCAGAGGAGGACCTTGTCTTCTCATTGGTTGCAAGTGCCAGAGTGAGGTGGGAGCCGGGTGTGAGGCGGGGTTTGAGTATCACGTAGCATGCTAGATTGATTACTCTTGAATGTTAAAGGGGAAGGAGGCTAGAGATTTTTGTCTGTGAGTTGGGAGTGCCGCTGTACTGTTTGCCTGCTGTTGCGCTGTTGCCTGCTGCTGCGATGGCTTTCTATTCCCTCTCACCCTCTTTTCTGCGCCGGGCCAGGGGTCAGCTCAAAGACAAACGCACAGGTCACCGGCTAGAGAGAGGGAGAGGGGTGAGATAGTAAAAAAGACAGGGAAAGAGAGAAGGTCAGTGAGTTGAGAGGACTTGGTCAGAAGAGAAACAGGAGAGAGACGGGGTTGTATGTTTAGTTAAGAGGAGGACGTTGGGGGGCTGCTGAAGGAGACGGGACCATGTGTAAAGGGAGAGTGGAAGAGAAAAGGGGGGAGGGGTAGAATAAGGGGGGGGGTTGCTCTTCTGTGTGTGTCCAGGCTGAGAGCCTTTTTAAAGCCGTCCAGTGGAGCCAGTGTGCCTTTTGTCTGTTGATACGATCAGGCGACTGAAGGAAGTGAAGGAGTTTAAGAGAGTTTTTCTGTCAACCTCTGTGCCTCTTCTTCCTGCTGCTGCTGCTCTCAAGGAGACTTGAACAGGGCTATCCGTTTCCCTCTATTCCGCCCTGCTCCAACAGGGCACACCGTTCACCATGAAGGGCACAGGGGTAAGTCTGACCGATGAAAACACAAACCTAGAGAGAAGAGCCGTCAAGTTGCTTAGGCTTTGAATAAATTGTTGACGTCTGTGCACTTTCTGATATCTCTCTCTCTCTCTCTCTCTCTCTCTCTCTCTCTCTCTCTCTCTCTCTCTCTCTCTCTCTCTCTCCATCACGCTCTGCAGTGATGAGACTGTCTGTCCTTTACAGCCGT